GAGTCACAGCATGACTTCACCAGGGAATCACCAAGCCCAGCACAAATAGCAGCCATCTCAGACTGCTTTACAGCTCAGGCAGGGTGCCCCAGGCAAAACAAAGGTGGGAGCTGACCTTGGCCTGTACCACCTGGGAAGCCCAAAGGCCAGCGCACCCAGTGGACAGCTACAGACCACATTGGGGCACCACCACCCTGTCCCTGCACAGCTGATCCTCCATGGAGGGCGGAGGTTGGTGGTCAGTGGTCACAGCCAATCTCTATAGTTGACTGGCCTGGGTAAATCCCTTCCATTGATCTATCAATAGCAACCAAGGTTCAACAACAAGAGGAGGGTATACTAAGCCCACACAAAGGGCATACCTCGAATACCCAGCTTGGGTGATGGTGGAGGCTGTGCCACTGGACCCTACATGACACCTACTACATTAGGCCACGCTACCAAGACATGGAGTCAAAGCAGCTCTGCCTAATACATAGAAACAAATACAGGGAGGTTATCAAAATAAGGAGACAAAGAAACATAGCTCAAATGAAAGAACAGATCCAAACTCCAGAAAAAGTGCTAAATGCAATGGAAATAAGCAACCTATCAGATAAAGAGTTCAAAACACTGTTTATGAGGATGTTCAAGGAACTTAGAGAGGACCTCAGCGGCATAAAATATTCCCAGTCAGGAATGAAGGATACTAATTGAAATGAACAATTAACAGGGAAATGACAGTAGAAAGGATGAAGCTGAGAATCAAACCAATAATTTGAATTATAAGGAAGCAAAAAACCACCATGCAGAACAAGAAGAAGAAAAAAGAATCCAAAAAAAAAAATGAGGATAGTATAAACAGCTTCTGGGACAACTTAAAGAGGTCCCACATTTGCCTCATAGGGGTGCCAGAAGGAGAAGGGAAAGAGCAAGAAGTTAGAAATCTATCTGAAAAAATAGTGAAAGAAAACATCCCTAATTTGGTGAAGGAAATAGACATGCAATTCCAGAAAGCACAGAGAGTCCCAATTATGATGGATGCAAAGAGGCTCAAGCCAAGACCCATGGTTATTAAAAGGTCAAAGGTTAAAGATAAAGAAAGACTCTTAAAAGCAAGAGAAAAGAAGTTAGCTACTGGAAGGTTGCCAGATGGGAGGGAGCAAGGAGAGAATGGGTGAAGAAGTGAGATTAAGAAGTACAAACAAATAGGTAGTTACAGAACAGTCAGGGGGATGTAGAGTGCAGTATAGGAAATGGAGTAGCCAAAGAACTTACGTGCATGACCCATGGACATGAACAATGCTGGGGGCATTGCCTAAGGGAGTAGGGGGCGCTGGGTGGAGGGGGGCAAAAGGGGGAAAATCGGGACAACTGTAATAGCACAATCAATCAAACATAATTTAAGAATTAGTAAAAGATTTTCAATACACACAGACATAAACGTGGATACACACCCATGTGTAAACTTGAATTCTTTATATACAATATTTCCTAAAATTTACAACATGCTTTCTATTTTTTATATTTTCATTTTTTTAAATTGGAATGCAACTTTTAATATAGAGTATTATACCTCTCCTACTCAACAATAAAAAAATTGATATAAAACTAATGGTATACCTTACAATTGAAAAATTTAGTGATTGCTCCTTTTAGGCTGAAATTCATGCTCCCTGAAGAGCATCTTTTGTTTTTAGCTCTCTTAATACCCACTAGATTGAGCACAGATTTTACAGTGGAAAACGCAATATCAACTTTACTACTTAGCTCTGTGACGTTGCGATTCTACAGGTCTTCACATTCTGCATCTGAAAAATGGGAGTGAGAATGCAATTTCTCTCAGTGCATTATAATGAAAGTCAGTGATAAGAGCAATTCATTAACTGTAAAGCATAATATTTGGTTATCTACAGATGAAGTAGGTTATTTTGACTGAAACCCTTAATTGATGCTGATGACCCAAGGAACAACCTTTGCTGCTCCCTAGTGGTGGTATCTTCTCCTGGGAGCACTGTCTAGAAATAAATCGCTTTCCTTGCTCTTTGATATGCTGAATGTTTTGTGCGGAACAACTGCATGAACCCTTTGTGTACAGAATATTCATAAAGAATAATCAAAGTAGAAAATAGTTTAAGTATTCTGCAATTGCACTTCCTTGCACTTCTCCATTTCTCTGCCTTTATTAAACTTAAATGTCCTGAGTGCCCTCCTTTTAATCATTCCTGTCCCCTTGTCCTTATCACCCTGGCAAATGTGAATTTTGGATAGAAGAAGCAAGCCTATAAATGAATTTGTGCCATGAGCTCTTTGTACGCTCACATTTACATTCTGTTACACATAAATCCTCTGACCCCTTTCTAGTTTTCATTATTGTTAAAAATAAAAACTAATAATTTTATTTAAACTTAACCTCTTCTGGATTCCTTTTACCTTTAGGCAAGTTAGAAGTTCTTGAGAGCAAAAATCATGCTTACTTTTTATTATATAATTTCAAGGACCTATCCTTGCCCTGTGCTCTCTTGCTATTATATCCATGCTGAATCAATGGTATTTCCAAAACAAAACAACAAACAAACAAACAAACAAAATGGAGACATTCTTAAATGCTTATTAAAAACTCAGCATCAAAGGGTCCAAATAGATTATGGTTTGGGTTTCACAAAACTTAAACTTCAAAATTATATTTATTTATATTCAGCATCCCTTAATGTTTAATGACAAAAAAAAGTGATAATAAATTATACTTATGCTTTTCTGAAATAATTCTGCTACTTTGAAATTTTTTGCCATGCAGATGCAAATAGATGCAGTGTGTGGTCTCTTGGGTCTGATATTTAATCTTACTCCTAAACTAGAATTTAGGGGGGTGGGGAGGAGGAGACATATGACAAATGACAATTGTGTCTCATCTTCTAACTGAGCTTATGGAGCCTTTTTTTTCTCTTCTTGGAGAGCTACACATTTTTTGCTCCAAGAAAAACAGTGAAGTGTTTGATTATGCTCTTATTGTTCCAAGTGATCAAAAATATTTTTCTTTTGCTATTGATTTTTACATGGAACTCTTCCTAGAACTAGACTGAAGGTTTTATTTTAACCTTGTACACAAACCTTTCTTCTCTAATCACAAGATGTTGATTTCAAGTTCTGAAGATACGTAATATAATATTAAAGATTTGATTTTTTTATGAATAAATTCTGAGAAAACACACCTGATTTAATGAGTTAATCTCTATAAAGTATAGAGAACAATGTGCAGCATGTAATGATATATGATTGTTAGCTATATATTTATATGCTACAGAGACATTGCTACAGCTATACATTTGTAATGAGCATTACACATTGCTAGAAGTCAGTATAATATATTTTGTTGAAAGAAGTTATAAAAATTAATATAAATCCATATAAATTATTTCCTTTAAAAATTAATTCAGATTTTTATGAAAATCCTAAAATATGAAAATCTGCTGTTCCAGGTATTAAGTCAGAATGTGCACCTTAAAAATCTATGTATATATGCAACTGTTTTATTTCTAAATTTAAAAAATGACATACTGGTAAGCAGCCCTGAAATAAAACAACACTTTCATAGGGTGGTCGCTTTTCTGCTACTGAGCAGGAGGGAAAGAGCAGAGTTCACCCAATTCCTCCGAGTCCCCTCCATCGGAACATAAGGAGAGTCTATATCAGGCTGTGTTCTCTGTTTTTTGAAAATGATAATTTTATTTTTTATCCTCACCCGAGGACATTTTTTCATACTTTTTAGAGAGAGGACGGGAGAGAGGAGGGGAGAGAGAGAGAACAACATCAACGTGAGAAAGAAGCGCCGATCGATTGCCCTCCGTAGGCGGTAGACCTCAACAGGAAACACGAGGACTTGGGATCGCTTGTGCAGGGAGGGTTTATAGACCCCAAAATCAAGGATTTTAGAGTCAGAACTTACATTTCTTGTCTAGAGAATTGTGATTGTACAGTATCATTTGTCCCTGTGTATTATGTCTTTTCTTAGAATAAAGATATGAAGAATACATCCGTAGGGTTAGCACTCAAATCATGGATTTATGTAAACTACATTGTATATAATCCACCCTAAGTCTCTGGAACTTTTAAGAATTCTCGCAAAACCAAATATACCACATTTTTAATTTTAGATAATTCCTAAAATTAGCAAATTATACTTGAATCTTGCTATATAAATAGAATTTAAAAAGTATCAAGTATAAAGCATTTTCAGGAATCCTGTACCTTACTTCAGTTGGCAAATGATACAATAATTCTTGGATTCTGTCAAGATCAGGGCTGTCAAGAAGAAAGAAAAGTCACATATGTAATTTTAAATTTCTAATAGTCATATTAAAAACACTTAAAAAGTAAAATTTATTTTAATACTTTTATTTAAACCCGTACATCCTAAATATTGTCACTATAACATGTAATTAAAATTATTAGAAATATTTTATTTCTTTGTTATTTCGGTTCTAAGCCTTAAAAATACGGTATTTATTTTACACTTATAGAGAACTCTGATGCCAACTTCGTTTTGCCTTTACCATGTGAACTGGGAAGTCAATCACTTAATTTGTAATCTTTAGGCCTTCGTTTTATATTTTTAGCTTCATTGGAACGGGAGGATGGTAGGTGATTGTCAAGATGCTGTCTACTTTCACCGCTCTCTGAAATAGGAACGTCGTTTTGTGTTTCTCAATGATTTTGATGCTTTTACCTGCACTCCCGCCTTTGGGGACAAACTGCCCTGGGTAACAGGCGTTTGCATGAGGCTCTGGGGCAGCCACATTTTGGGGCACTGGGACAAGCTAGGCCCGCAGTGTGAGAGTAAGGCTGGGGGTGGGGGTTTTTCAAGATTAAATTCTGGGCCTAGGAAGGTCAGCTGGGACCCCACTCCGCCTTCCCTTTGAGCCCCGAGGCTCCAATTTCAGGTCCGAAACTGAGCAGGGCGGGGCGCAGGGGTGGAGGCGGGTCGGGTCACGTGACCCACCAGGGCCTGGCTTCCGGATCTTGGTCTTCTCCAGTCCTTCCTTCTTCTTGTGCACGTGGTGTCTGCTTTGCTGTCCCCGCTCGCCCCGGACCCCGCCGCGTGCACCCATGGCGCCCGGCCAGCTCGGTGAGCTCCTCGCGCGTCCTCGCGGAGCTGCGTCATCCGCGCCCGTGCCCCGCTGCACCCGCGTCCTCTGCCGGCGGTGGCGGCCGCCGGTCGGGCACTGGCCTAGCGGGGTGGGCCTTGTTGCGCTGCAGCCCAGAAAGCCCCGGCCAGCGGTAGTGCGGCCGCCTGGGGTCAGAATAACGCCCCCGATTTGGGATTGGGTAGTGTGGGCGGAGGTGATGGTGGCTTGAGATCCGTGACTGTCCTCCCCAAAACGCACCCCCCCCCCACCCAAGGCCTTGAGGAACATACTATCAATGCACAGCGAATAAGGAGGAAAAATGCCTTCTCTTTCAGCCTTGTTTAGTGTGTCTGACAAAACCGGCCTTGTGGAATTTGCCAGAAACCTAACATCTGTTGGTTTGAATCTGATCGCTTCTGGAGGGACTGCAAAAGCTCTCAGGGATGCCGGTCTGGCCGTCAGGTAAGGCACAACGTAGTTTTTAAGTCAAGTCCCATCAGAACGTAGCATAATCACGTTAACCAGAAGGTAATGAACGGGCATTGTGATTAAAACACCTTTACTTCTGCCGCAGCGCTGTGAGGTTGATACACTGCTTACCCACTTTATAGAAGCAGAGTGAGGCCGAGATACTTAATATCTTCTGCTCAAGTTTACCGAGTTAAGGCGTGAACTATGGGTATGGACCCGGGATATCGTCATTTTAGAGCCTCCCTTCCAAGCTACTCATAATAAATTAATTTAAGTGGGTTGTTTTGTTGGGGGTTTTTTTGGCAAGATAAACTTAGATTATGATTCACACGGTCTGTTTTGACTGCCTCTTTAATAACACTGTTGACATGCAGATTCAAGTCTGCCTCTGCCCTTAGCCTCTCTGGTGATGCTGTGAAGTCACAAATCTATCATTCATTCCTTCCTCCGCATGCTATTCATTACCTGGCTTACGGAATAGGGAGATAGAATGAGCAGAAGATAAATCAGGCTTCAATTCTGGACATCGAAGAACTGGCATTCTGATGGGAGACGGAGTAACCACCGAAAATGTAGAAAATGAAAAAGACCATAGCACAGCTGTAATAAGCCGAAGTGATAATTCCAAGGAAGGGCATCTCCATCCCTGAAATATATTTCAGAAAAGCAGTGAAAGACCTGTCTGCTTTTGTTGTCCTGTGGACAAGTTTACTACATGCCCTCTAGATCCTGTAGAGATAGAGCATTACCTTTTTGCTAATCAAATTTATCAGTAACTTACCAAATTTAGGGACGCTGTGTACTGCTCTTATAGGGAGCAGTGTCTCTGAGAGCAGTGTACAACGTCCCTAAATTTGGTAAATTCATATGGCAGGAATGCCTTACTGTATTAAATAAACGCAAAGTCTTTTTGCAGCACCTCTCTGTGGTTTGCACTGTGTAAGAAAATCGCGGAAGGCAGGGCCGCCAGTGAGGCTCCAGAGCTTGAACTGTGTTTTTCCCATTGTCCCATGTTGGGTTGTTTTGTAGTTGGACCCTGCAAATGAAGCAAGATCCTGTTCTGTAACCTCTTCCCTCCCCCTCCCAAACTTTGTACTATGGAAACACTTCAGACTTAAAAGGAGAAAGAAAAGCATAATGGGCCCTCATGTTGCATGTCTGTTCTCCATTGTAAACATTTATCAACTCTTTGGTTTTGTTTGATCTGTACCTCTTAACCCAACCCTCGCTTGGCCCCGTTATGGCAATGTCTTTTTTTAAAACGTGGGAATGTAAATGTGTTTTCCATTAAGGTGAGGTTGTTCAAACTTTTAAATATAGGTATATTAACTCATGAAATTCTTACACCAACTTGTTGATGTAGGTAATATTATCCCCATTTAATAAATAAGAAAGTTGAGGCACAAAGAAGTCAATAGCCCAAAATCACACAACTAGGAAGAGGAGGCAGGATTTCAGGCTAGGAAATCAACCTTGAGGTGTGAGGTAAACTGATGAAATTATAATTGGTGAGTATGTATCAGTGAACATTCTGTTCTGGAGAGGGCAGCTGTTACAAAGTTTTAAAGATAAAGGAGGAACAAACTGTTTAAATACTCCAAGTGGTAGTTAATTCTAACTATAGATCTGCCTTTTCTCTTTTTAGCAATTATCCTCAGTTGGAGAAACTGGATTTTGTTTTTTGAATTCCAGGAAAGGGAATTTTGAGTTGGAAAGGGAATTTTGAGTCGGAAACCATAATGTCACCAATTTGTCCATTTACGTTGGAACTGCAAGTCGTTTGGTCAAATGGCATTTGCAAAATGTTTATTTATTTATTTTTTTACAATAAAGGCAATATATGTTCATTGTAGAAAATTTGAAAAAGGTGAAAAATATTAGAGAAGGTAGTAAAAATGGCTTTTAATTCTGTATAACATGTTGATGTGTTTCCTTTAGTGCTTTTATACCAGAAGGAGTAGCAGATGTTCTGTTTATCTATTTTCAGAGACGTCTCTGAGCTGACAGGGTTTCCTGAAATGTTAGGGGGGCGTGTGAAAACCTTACATCCTGCAGTGCATGCTGGTAAGTAGTTGGTACCTTCCACTTAAAATAATCAATAGTTTTCAGGAATATTTTAGTCAATTACTTTGTAGGATAAACAAGGAAAAAGGCAGGCCATATCTCCAAAAAAAAAAATTTTGTGAGGCTATACCGATTTTGTCACATTTGCTGCTAAAGTTCATAATACGTTAGAACTTGTTTAAATTTAGTTCACTTTATATGCAATGAATTCAGGTTGTTTTTGTCTGCTTGATATTAGCACTGACCTGAGAATTAACTTAGAGTGATAGCTCCTGCTGGAGTTAATAAGATTATTTAGATTTTATGTTTGAAAAGATTTTATCATGATTCAAAGTTGGCATAAAGCATGACCATATAATTGACTTTCAAAAGAATTCTTTTTCAAAGTGCTCTACGACCATTCATCTGAGACAACAAATTACATATCAATCAAAAATGGTGAAAAAGGAGAATATTGCCAACATACCAGTTATAGTAAAATTTGGCAAAATAAAAGCCTGTAAGGCCAAGAATTAGGTAAACTATTTACTTATTGGAGCACATCGATTAATGGAACTGGAAACAGTTATGTGGAAATTTCTTTTACATTTTGTTAAGAAAAGGGAAATCAGAAACTGATTTTTAAAAAAGGTTTTTAAATATGCCTGCTAATCTTATTTTTAACTATGTGTTTGGTATTCCTAATTAGGCTACGTTAAAGATTTCAACTTGATTGATGAGAATCTATTGGAAAGAAGTACCTTATTCTGACTTGTTTTTTGAACTTATATTTTAACTTTGTTAAATTAGGAATCTTGGCTCGTAACATCCCAGAAGATAATGCTGACATGGCCAGACTTGATTTCAGTCTTATAAGGTAAAAATTCAAAGTTGAATTTTTAATACAGGAACAAAGATGAAGACTTCCCCATTTTTTATCAAAGGAAATACTCTGTAAAGTATGCGATTGTCTAACCACCAAGCTGTACACCTGAAACCAATACAAAATAAAATTTAAAAAAAGAGAGAGAGAACTCTGGCTGGTGTGGCTCAGTGGATTGAGTGCCACCCTGTGAACCAAAAGGTCGCTGGTTCAGTTCCCAGTCAGGACACATGCCTGGGTTGCAGGCCAGGTCCACATTGTGGGGTACACAAGTGGCAACCACACATTGATGTTTCTCTCCCTCTCTTTCTCCCCCCTTCCCCTGTCTCTGAAAATAAATAAATAAAACCTTTAAAAAAAGAGAGATTACCATTAGTTTTAGTTTTATAACTGTTGATCACAAACATTTGAGTACCGTCTGTGTGATGTACATGTGTTAACATTTTGGTTTTGCCGAGTATATGTTACCAAAATGCATACTTAAACTAAAAACAATCCTTGTTTTTTTTAGGAAGCTATGATCCAAAGGTTCATATTTACAAGCAACTTAGTTATTTGCATAAAGTTATTCACTGTTTCTTTTAAATACATCACTTTATTTGGATACAATTCACAGACCATACAATTCCCCAATTTAAAGTATGCAACTCAGTAGTTTTTAGTATATTCAGAGTTGTGCAGCCATCTCCATGGTTAATATTAGAATGTATTTATCACGTCCCTCAAAAGAAAAAAGAAAATACCCATTAGCATTCATACTTCATTTCCCCCAATGCCCTGTAGCCCTAGGCAACCCCTGGTATGTTTCTGTCTGTATGTTTACCCATACTGAACATGTCACATCAGTGGAATCCTACAATATGCGGTCCTTTGTGACTACTTAGCATGTTTTCAAGGTTCATCCATGTTATAACATCAGTACTTCACGTTTTGGGTTTTTTGTTGTGGTTTTTTTTTTTTAACTTTGTTTTCATTTTGCGAGGCAACAAGCTTTATTTGTGATCAAAAAAGAATAGCTATTGAGAAAACTGATTCAGGCAGAAACGAAAAAAATGTTTTGATTATGAGTAAAAGCCAAAGGGCATTCACAAAAAAGGGAAAGGGAACAATTATATCAATAGAAAGGAGGTATTTCTATTGGTACAAATAAGCTGACATAGTGACACTAATTCTAAACGTTTTTAATTTTCAGTGTGGAAGTCATCAGTCTAGTCATAACATCTGTTTTCTTTGCAAACAGTTCTTGGGGACACAACGTTGCTTAAATACCAGGTGTCAGGTTGAGCAAGCTCTCTTCTTAATGTTGAGTATTTTTTTAAATGTCTTTTACTAACCTTTGTTTTTTAATTTTTTTAATTTGTTTTCAGAGAGAGGGGACGGGAAGGAGAAAGAGAGGGAGAGAAACATTGATGTGCGAGAGATACAGTGATTGATTGCCTCTCGCATGCTCCCAAGTTGAGGACCTGATCCTCAGCCCAGGCATGTGCCCTGACTGGGAATTGAACCGACGATCTTTTGATTCTCAGGCTGGCACTCAAACCACAGAGCCACACCAGCCAGGGCTATTGAGTGTTTTTACCATGAATGAGTTGTCAATTTTGCCAAATACTTTTTGTGCATTGATATAAATGATCAGTGGTTTTCATCCTTTATGTTATTAACATGGTCTGTCACATTAGCTGATTTTTAGATGTTAAGCCAACCATACATTCCTAGTATAAACCATACTTGACTATGGTGTGTACCTCTTTTCATAGTTTGCTGGATTCATTTGCTAGTATTTTGTTGAGCATTTTTGAGTCAGTATTTGTGAGAGATACTAGTCTGTCCTTGTGACATTTTGTCTGGTTTTTGGTATTAGAGTCCCTGGGAAGTGTTCCCCTTCCCTCTCTCTCATTTTTTATTAGTTTTCCCAGTTGGGCTTAATTTCACTGGGGAATCTGCCAACAGAGCTTCTCACATTGCAGTCCTCAGAGTAGAACTCTGCTTCACTGCTTGTAAGTTTTAGATTAGTTTTGTATCTTACATTACTCTTTTGGCCTTCCATTTGCTAAAAATTTAAGTTTAATATAATATTAGTTTCAGGTGTACACTCCAGTGATTAGACATTACATAATTTAAGAAGTGATCATTCTGATAAATCTCATACCCATCTGACACCATTCCTAGTTATTAGAATATTATTGACTGTGTATTTCCTATGCTCTACTTTTACATCCCGTTGGCTATTTTGTGACTACGAAATTAGGCTTCTTAATCTTTTCACCTTTTATCATCATTGTATATGATCTCTCTGAAGGCAAAACAAATATTTCATGCTTAGAATGGTCCATCATTTTTCATCATTATAAAGAATCCATTGGAAATAGACTCTAAAATTGAATGGTTACATTCCGAAATGAGGACACTCTCTGTAGCCTTGTATTTTAAAAACTTTTTTGGTGGCTTGATAGTAACATGGGCAGCTCGGTTTACCCACACAACAAAAACGTGGATTGAGAGCTGTCCCTTTAAGCCACTTCTGTTTATGTGTGTTCTGCAACATGAGACGTTTTGACTTTTCACCATAACATTTTAGAATTCTAAACTGTCAGGCTCACAGTTTACATTTTAGATCTTTACGGATTTTGGTCATGTATTAATGCGACTGACTGATTTTTCCTGCATAGCTGTAAACCCTGCAAGTTGATTTTTAATGACAGGTACATTTTTCTTTTAGAGTTGTTGTTTGCAATCTGTATCCCTTTGTGAAGACAGTGGCTTCTCCAGATGTAACTGTTGAAGAGGCTGTCGAGCAAATTGATATTGGTAAGTTGGAAAAACCGTTTTTTGAAGACTGACAGAGGAGAGAGGATTGAAATTTTAAATGAGATTTTGCTTTGAAATCCACTCTAGAGGGAGTAGGAAATAGTTACTGCTCCCTGATTGTATTCTGGGATAACTGTAATTCAGCTATATTTTCTCAGCTATTTTTTTTGTGTAGGATACATCTGGGTTGTTTTTTCCCCTTATTGTTTAAGTCAAGAATCACTGTAGAAGTATGTGTACTATTGGAAAGAGGTTAAACTGATACGAAAATACAAATTACCTTTTGTTTTTCAAAGGCGGAGTCACCCTGCTGAGAGCAGCAGCGAAAAACCACGCTCGAGTGACCGTAGTGTGTGAACCAGAGGACTACACCGCTGTGTCCGCAGAGATGCAGAGCTCCAACAGTAAAGACACCTCCTTGGAGACCAGACGCCAGTTGGCCTTGAAGGTCGGGCGCACTTTCATCTCGTGCAGTGTTTGTAAAGCCACACAGCACTCAGTAAAGCCACACAGCACTCAGTTCTCACTAGGTGGTATCATCCACCAAGGCTCTGCTTGGAGCTGTTACCCTTCTGCTGTAAGTGAAGAGCCCAAGTACAGAGAGGTATTCCCTCAAAGAGATGGAAAGAGGATTGGAAAAGGAATACATCACTGAGCTATTTAGTGTTACTTGGTGGTGGTCCTGCACAGGCACGTGTGCAGGGTGAGGGCGTGTAGTTGGCTAAATGCTAATATAAAACCATTTTGTTTCCGCTTTGGGAAATGCCGCTCGTGTTTCACACAACTTCCACTCTTTGCAGGCTTTTACTCACACGGCACAGTATGATGAAGCCATTTCTGATTACTTCAGGAAACAGTATAGCAAAGGAGTATCTCAGATGCCCTTGAGGTACGGAATGAACCCTCATCAAACTCCAGCCCAGTTATACACACTCCAGCCCAAGCTCCCCATCACAGGTAGAGGCTGAGTGTTCTGTGGCACAGTGTGCTCTGTCTGAGAGAGAGAGTGTGTGAGTGTCTTTCTCTGTGTTGCTACCTGATGTGGTTCACGCTTAAAAGATAAATACAATTTACCTCTTGTATAGCTGCCTGACGTTTGAGATGTCAAGTGGACATGTGAGCAAAAACTATTGAGATTGGGCTCCTGGAGAGAGGTTGAGTTGAATATAGAGGGTGGGATGTGTTTGTCATGTCAGTAATTCTGAAGACATAGGACAGGGTGGTGTGGCCTGGATTTCATAGAAGAGGGTCAAGACCAAGCCTTGGGGTAGCAGTGCAGGAACCAGCCGAGGAAAGCGGGGTTGGAAAAGGTGTAGTTTCAGATGGTTGGATGCTGCTGAGAACAGAAAAATGACTTGATTTAGGAATTTTAAGAGCAGCAATTTCCTTAGAATGGTGGATCTGGAAGCCTAGCTGACATGGGAATGTGAGGTTAGCGATGATCAAGATAATTCTTTGAACAGAGAAATTAGTCAGGACTTGGATGTAGGGTGACAAGGGGATTGTTCAATTTTTTTGTTCCGTTCTTTTCTTAAGGTGAGCTGTGAGAGCTTGTCCTGCTCTGGGGCGGGGGGGGGGGGGGAGTGTAGGCCACAGAGGAGAGAATGGTGGGTGTGGAGGGTGGGAAGGCCTTGGAGGCCCCAGTGCTGGAGGAAGGGCTGGTGCTGGGGGGAGAGCAGGGACAGCTCCCTCCATGGCCCGGGTGGGCTGGCACAGAGCGCAGGGACGGCACACGGTAGTGGGAAGGTGCAGGCTCCAGTCCGTGTCTCCCCAGCCGAGGCAGAGGGAGTGCTGGGCACTGTGGGAGGTTTGGGGAGAATTTGGCAAACTCTTGTTTACCCTTCACATTTAGTGGATCAACTACTTCTGTTCTTACTCTACTTCAAATAAATTTTCTTTTCATAGCCCGGCTGGTGTGACTCAATGGACTGAGCACCCGCCTGTGAACCATAAGGTTACCAGTTCAGTTCCCTGGGTTGCAGGCCAGATCCCCAGATGGGGGTGTTTTAGAGGCACCTATGGATATTTCTCGCATTATGTCTTTTTCCCTCTCTTTCTCTCTCCCTTCCTCTCTCTAAAAATAAATAAGTAAAATCTTTTAAAAATATAAAATAAAAAATAAGTTTTCTAACACTATCCAACCCCTCCACATTCACACTGAAAGTCTCCCAGACTGTAGTAATCTAATTGATCCCTCTTTAATTTCTTTGTCCTTTCTATTCATAACAGTCATCGTTTTAAGACGTAAATCACCCAGAATTCTTCTCTGGTCTTCATAGTCCCAGTTTTTTGTCACTCAGATCTCACCTTAAATGTCGTCACTGCAGGGAAGCCTTCCCTGACCACCCAGGCCAAAGCAGCTGCCCGCTCACACTTTTGGCACAGCGCTCCATTTTGCTGCATGTTTGTTTTGTCTTCTCTCTTTAGGTTGTCAGCTGCAGAGACCAGAATCCTTGTCTCTCTTTGTTTATTGCTTCTTAGTTAATAGCTGTATCCATGTATGCTAAGTATTTGTAGAATGGCTAAGTAGAAACCTGACATTTTGCATGAATTTTACTTCTGGAATTTTTTTTTTTATATTTGCATGCCTTGAGAGATGGAAAGGAAGGAGAGATTCGGGTGTGGGCCTGGGATGGAGGGAGAGCGCGAGCGTGCCCTGGGGAAGAGAGGGTGTGGAAAGGTGCCTGAGAATTTCTTAAACCAGATTTATCTACTGTTGCATCTCAGGTATTTCCTCCTTAGAGTGATAGATTCTCCACTTAGATTCTGTGGCAAAAAATACTTCGTGTACTTACAGTTCCCAAATTTTCCATTTTCAAAAGCTTTTTAATTAGCACTTCGTTGAGGGAACTATTTCTATTTTGAAGAACTATTTCTTACAGCAGTTTTAGATTCACAGGGAAATATCAGAAGGTAGAGTTCCCAGACCCCAGACTTCCCCTCCCCCATTTTCCCTTGTTAACTTCTGGCATTTGTGTGGTGCATTTGTACATTTAATGATGCAGTATTGATTCCCACGATCAAAACCCAGAATAGTTTTACCACCTAAGAATTTCCTGCATTCCATTGCTGTCACCCTGGCACCTGCTGATCTTTTTACTTCTGCCATAGTTTTGTTGTTTCCAGAATGCTGCAGTGTTGGAATCGGATGCTGTGTCACCAGTTCGCACTGGCTTCTTTTACTAAGCAGTGTGCATTTAAGGTTTCTCCATGTCTTATGAGAGCTCATTTCTTATCACTGAGTAGTGTTCTGTTGTATCTGGATGTACCATAGTTGGTTTCTCCATTCACCCATCAAATGTGATAGAACAACTTTTGGCAGTTAGGAATATAAGCTGCTAAAAACATTCAAGTATAGGTTTTTGTGTGCACGTGTTTTCAACTCATCTGTATATATACCTAACATTTCCTCTTATTGTTTACTTTTTATTGCCTATTTGTTTCTCCTCTGCTTCTCCCGTAAGCTCAATGAAGACAGTGATTTTTTCGGAGCTGGGCGGGAGCTATTTTATTCATAGGTAATATCCCAAGTACCTAGATCTATGCCTAACATTGCAGTAGGTACTCAGTAAATATTTGACAAAGTTTTACATTTAAACATATCTAGTATTTTAAGAAACACAAAGGAAATAGTTATTTATAAGTTTGTTTTTAGTTAACGGCCCACTATATTTTTTTACATGTGCTGAACTTAACAAATGTTTTTTTCATAAGAGGTCAAAAAATCCTGCCATTGTTAAGAAAATAAGCAATGCAGAACTCTGAATTGCAGTCTTTTTAACTGCATTTCAACCTTATGTAGAACCTACCAAGTTTGGTATAAAAAAAGAAAAATTCAGCCCATTTTCCCTCCTCTCCTCCCACTCACAGATCTTGGCACTTTAATTTGTAAGATTATTTCTTAAGTCAACAAAGTCGAGAACTTAAATTTTATACTGTCTCTGCAGTTGCCGTAATAGATTAACCTTAGTTCTATACTGAAATGGCTCCCTCACCATCACTCCTCTTGTCGTTCGTTCTGCCTTCCTGGGTCGATTGCTCTTGGCCTTGTTTCTAGAGCAGCTGGATTTGGTCCTCCAGGAGCGTGTGCGTGTTTTAACTTTTCTCAAGTTGTATATGTTTGCGTACCTCTTAAAACGTATGTGTGCAATTTGGACACGTGTTGTAAGAAATGTACGGATATCTGACCTTACTGACCTTGCTCGGTAATATGTGTATTTATTTTCTTTACATGTAGTTCTAAATGGAGCCCCTGGGTTTATTAACTTGTGCGATGCTTTGAATGCCTGGCAGCTGGTGAAGGAGCTCAGAGAAGCCCTAGGCATTCCAGCTGCTGCCTCTTTCAAGCACGTCAGCCCAGCAGGTAAAGCACTGCTCTCTGGACCGCTCTGGGAGGGTTCCAAATGCACTTCCTATTAGTTTTAAATCGAATTTGTGAGTTCTTATGCAAATAGAGACAGTCTATCAAGTTTGAAGCCACTTTTTCTCAAGTCTGTTAGCACTTTCAATATAATAACATGATAAAACCTGATAATAAAATAACGTACTATTTCCATATACACCATTGTGTGACATTGTGGGATAAAAAAGTTAGGAAATAGTTTTTTGTAGTGGAAACATGAAGTTTTAGAAGATAAAAAAGTAGAACAGCTTAATGCAGTATGACTGAATAGTTTTACACATGTCTGAAGATGGAACTGAGTAGACCTAAAGAAGTTGTTCTTAGGATCCTTTATCTGTACCTTTTTAAAGCCATTGTATGAGGGGGTTTTTTAATTTTTTTTTTTGAGGGGGAGAGGGTTATGTTTAAGTCAGTTCCACAACTTATATCACAAGGTCTGTTGGACAGTCCAACACATTAGTTCTGAAATATTTATTCAGTATCAAAACAACATGAGCAGGGAAGAAGTAAGCATTGTGCAGTAAGGAGCAGGATGGAGAGTCAGGAATGAACTAAACTAGCTCCGTGCACACGCCTGGTGCAGGCCAAGTGCAGACATGTGGCCCCGTTCTCAGAGGCCAGGGCGGGGAGATTCTCTCCTACTCACTCCCCAACAACTGTAGTTTTGATGTTCAAGAATCTGGCCAGCTTTTTGTTTAGTTTGGCACAGGCACTAGAAATGATGCTGCATAGACAATGTTAAGAAAAATGTTGCCTTGATTTAGGAGTTGACAAGTGATAACTTGAGGTTTTTGGTTTATTCTGTGGTTTTTCTCTATCAGGTGCTGCTGTTGGAATTCCACTTAGTGAGGATGAGGCCAAGGTCTGCATGGTCTACGACATGTACAAAACCCTCACGCCCATATCAACGGCATATGCTCGAGCGAGAGGTCAGGAGGCCAGCAGTTTTTTGGTTTTGTTTTAATAGATAAGGCAATATTTTATAACTTTATTTCACTAAAGGATTTCAAATTATCTTTAATTTGTGTTTTTATTAATACTTTTGCATGATTGTATGAGTGCTGTGGAATAAGTTTGTTTATAAAAGTGTGTTAGTATTTTAATGTAATAAATAGAAGCATAGTTGGCATCTGGTGCATGTAATTTCAGATTAGGCTGTGGAATGTCTTTGAATTGCTTAATATATGACTAAAATTGCATGGTTATTCTGGCTATACTGAATTTTGTTAGAATTATATGTTTCACAAATGTCTGATTTGTGAGTTTAATAGCCTGTGAATGTTGTTATAACATTTGTGGAAGATACTGAGAAACCTGATGTTTTAGTTTACCTTCAGTAATGGCTTAGCAAACTACGGCTCATGGACAGGGTCCAGCCCACCACCTGTTTTTTATAAATGGTTCGATTGGAACAGGTTCCTGTCCTTTGTCCATGTGGTGTCAATGGCTGGTTCAGAACTACAACCAGAGGTCAGTGGTCGCACCAGAGACCATGTGGCCACTGAGCTTAGAGAGTATGTACATCAGACTGGTCGCAGAAAAAGTTTGCCACATGCTTCTCTTGAAGGTAAAATTAAAGCGTGCATTCTCCCTCAGTATTTCAATTAAATGACTAATTAATCCATTATTTAAATTTGTGTAAACAATAACAGGTTTGGAGAAGTGGATTTTATATGGTCATATTGGGGTTTTTAAACACCACCTTTTTCTAATTTGTGATGAATACCTCTTCTTAATTTTTATTCTCAGGAGCAGATAGGATGTCTTCATTTGGTGACTTTATCGCATTATCTGATATATGTGATGTTCCTACTGCCAAAATTATCTCCAGAGAGGTTAGTGGATATTTATGTATCTTGATCCATGCATAACAGAGTAAAGCTTTATCTGTTCAGTGTTTACTGAAACTATAACCTATAATATTTATATTTATACCATGTGTAAATTAGTTACTTTACTGTAAACTACCTCATGAGTCTGTAATGACAGAGATTGTAATTATAAACCACTCTATATATGAGAAACACACATTTCCCTCAGCTGAGTGCCAAACAAGCATTCCAGAAAAGCGAGAGTGGTGCTGGGAGAGGGGAAATGGGGGGGTGGGGGGAAGGTAGCTCAAATAGCTTAGAGAGAAAAAAGTATATAGATAGAAGTAAAGCCTAAAGGGGCGTGTGGCTTGACAGTACTTAGTTGCTTTAAGGACACTTCTCGTGACCACTGTCGTCTCCAATCAAAACATGCTCTTTCTAGTACAAAACACCACCCTGTGAACAGAAGAGTAAGAAATCGTTTTTCTTAAGGGTATGAGAACAAATCATTTATATATTAATTAAAACTGAAAGGAACAACAAAAACTTTGAAGGGACAGCACATGACATGTGTTCAGCTATAGAAAGTTCTATTCTGCCCTGGCTGGTGTGGCTCAGTGGATTGAGTGCCGGCCTGTGGCTCGCCGGCTGGACTCCCGGTCAGGGCACATGCCTGAGTTGTAGGCCAGGTCCCCAGTAGGCTGCATGTGAGAAGCAACCACACACTGATGTTTCTCTCTCTTTCACTCTCCTTTCCCCTCTATCTAAAAATAAAAAGTAAAATCTTTAAAAAAAAATAGTTGTATTTTCACATAGGCTTATATTTCCCAAGTATAATACAGTTAAGTGCCCAGTTAACAGCGAAGATAGGTTCTGTGAATTTAAGCAAAGCTATGTATAACAAAAACAATTAATTGATACAAACAATTTAAGTTCCTCTCACATCTGCTCAACAAAATGACGTTATTCGAGGACCTGCTGTGTTAGCATTATCTGTTGGAGGTAGAAACCAGTAATTGTAGCTGCGTTATTTGAGATAAATAATTGTCTGTAGATTTCTAAAGAAGTATTCTCTAATTTCTTAAAACAAAATATATATTTTCAGGTATCTGATGGTATTGTTGCCCCAGGATATGAAGAAGAAGCTTTGAAAATACTTTCTAAAAAGAAAAATGGGAACTACTGTGTTCTTCAGGTTAGTGAATTTCATGTCTGAAACAGTACTAGGCTCTTATTTTGTGTCTCTTTTTCCCACATTTAATCTTTCCTTTGTGCTGACAGTCTTTACTGCAGTTGCTTTATCCTTAATCCTGCCATTTTTACTTTTTTTCACTATTGATTTTGGATTTAAGATGAGAGTACTTTCCTTATTCTTCATAAGGAATTTTTTAAGATTTTAAAAATTAATTAACATATTTATGTGGTTTTCTATTCTAAAGATATTAGGGGCCATTTGAAGAAAAGTCTTCCTGTCCTTCCTTTCTACCACAGTTAACCTTTTTTAGAAGTATCTAATATTTAAAATTTTTTTGCTTCTTTTTCCTGAAATACATGTTTAGTAAATATGTGCATTTTTTTCCTTTCTTTTTTTTCCCCCTCACTGACACAAATACACAATGCTTCGCCATCTTAGAATTTTGCCCCATGTCCATGTATCTTATCTAGACAGTTACCAATCTTTAGCTACTGCACAATCCCTGTAAGACCCAGAGGAAGGAGCCCTAGGGGTGAAATTATGACAGGGATGTAATTTTGTTAGTCTTAGAAACTGTATAAGACATTTCATGTTTTGATGGCAATGTGTAAAGATTGCCTGTCACTTAATACCATTACCAGCCTTATGTTCTTAAACTTTTTCATCTTAGCAGTAAGATAGAGGAAAATGGCATCTCATTGTAATTTTACTTTTTCATTATGTGGTTCCATAAATCTTTTCACATTTAAGGGTATTTTCACTTCCTCTTTATGAACTGCCTATCCATACTCTGCTTATTTTTATAATAGGCTGTTGAGATTTTTTTTCTTACTAATGTTTGCAAGCTCTTAGGTATAGGGGAAAGAGCCTATAACTCTAGGATTTTACAGTGATAGAGCAAAGAGTTAATTGAATTGAAAGTAAAAATTCATAAGGTTGTTTTTCAGAAAGTACTGATGTCAGAAAATCTATAGAATCCCAGCCCCCTATAATGGAAGTTATTAAGTACTTACCCTTCATTGTAAGATACCAGTAATTGTGTGCTTCACCATAGATTCCACATCAGCTTTTTTAAGGAAAGAAGAAAAAAATGCACATACTTTTTCTCCTAAGCTTCTTGACAGCATGAGAAATCATTCAGTTAGCTGCCACTCTGTTTCTCAGTTTCTTAATCACGTCTTCTGTTGTTAAGAACATTAAGTACACATGACTATTACCAGCCACATGTAACAACACAGAGAATGTTTTCCAAACCCTGAGCTCATCATCACGACCTTTTCAGCACCTGACAATTTCATAGTCAAAAGTGTAAAAAGCCTACTGGAGCTTCCTCAGTACTTTGAGAATTTGGCTAAGTTTGCATATGGACGCATAATGACAACCGTGGAATGACTTAATTTCTCCTGGCTAATGACATGTCTTTTTTGACATCAGCTAATGGGAAGGCACATCCCAATATTAGAAATTGTATCATTCAAAGGAAAAAGCAACATGTTAGAATACAGATTATTCCCCCGTCTTAATATCTTTTCAGTTCAAGATTTAGGAGAGAGAGATAGCAGTAAATGACACATTCCCTTTCAAGTATCAAAGACAACAGAACCAGTCCTGTTTTCCCCCTTTTAACTTCTTAACTTGTAATTCAAGTGTTAGTGAGGTATTTTATAATAGATTTTCAAAAAAGAGGGAAAGTAGAACTTAATTTTTGTGCCACTACCCGTTTATTAGCAAATTTTGCTCTATCTGCTTGATCTTTCAGAAGGATTAATGCTCTCCAAAAATGCAACCAAAAACGTACTGACTGAAATCATTGGTTTTAACATGTTATATAAAAATTGTAAAACTGGTAATACCCTATAGAGTTGTAAAACTAAAATTTGTTGGCGCAAAATATTGGTGCTGGCTTGCTCTCATACCCATACTGAAATGATCTTGTGTGTGCTTAAATTGGAAAAAAAAAAAAGTGCTTATAATCTTGCTTACAAAGAAATCCTTTGTGTATAAATTAAATGGAAATTTTTGAGGGATGTATATATATTATTTTTAATTCTCTGTATTTGTATTGTAGATGGACCAGTCTTACAGTCCGGATGAAAACGAAGTTCGAACTCTCTTTGGTCTTCGTTTAAGCCAAAAGAGAAATAATGGTGTTGTCGACAGGTCATTATTTAGCAATGTTGTTACCAAGAACAAAGATGTAAGTGTGAAAATATCTGAACTGAGTATTAGTAATTCCATAGGCCTGTTTTTAATATTTATAAGGTTGGGTGTTTATTAAGGCCCATATTTAATACTGGTTGATATGCAGGTGGCTACTGCATCGTTGAGAGATCAAGTAAGCTTCAGAACTTAAAACATATTAGAAGCTTCTGTGAATATGTATAGACATAGATTTAACTTCATTTATTCATAAAAGGGATTATGTCTTTTATAACTTTGTTCTGTAACTTGCCTTTTTTCATGCAGTAAGCTACTAATGTGTTTCTCTATCAATAAACGTATATATACATCTTCATCTGAAAGGCCATATAGCAATCATGTATTGATGTACTATGGTGGATATTTTGGTGGTTTTATTTTTAATGCTGTGATCCATGTTTTTTGGAGACAAGATTTTCCTCTTGTGTTCTTTGTCATCTTTTAGGAAGGACATATTCTTAAAATAGTAATGGTGATTTTTTTTTTTTGTAATTATGTATTATATCATTTAATACAATAGCACTCTATGGAGCAGAGAGGAGGCTACCGTCATCTACAGTAAAGGTGACAGAATTGTAACACAGGAGACAGTTAAGAAGTTTGTCCAGGTTACACAATATGGAAATAGATGAGCTGGTAAATGTTTTCTGAAATCTCTTAATTGGGCCTCCAATTTTGAAGGGTATTTTTGCTGGGTCTAACATCGGCTAAGCCCTTTTCCAGTACTTCAGATTTGTCCCTCCATTGTTCTCTGGTCTTGTCTGTGCCTGTCCTGGTATTTTGGGTCGGCTGCTGGTCATTGCCTGTGATTAAACTATAGAGATGTTTTGAGGGTCTGGGTGGCATTTTTTTTTTTTTCCTGCAGAGAGTTGACTAACGTGTCTCGCAGGTGCATTACATGGAGGCAGATCACCTTGATTCAGGCAGAAGTTGGGCTAACTTGAATTTGGGCTTCAGTCTTTGTAAGGTCTGGTCTGTTTATGGTTCACCCTTGCTCTGCCAAAAGCCACAAGGGTCCACAAGTATGACTCTACTCCCGTGCACACGGAACTGTTTTTGCCTTTTGTAAGACTCCAAAGCTGTGCTCAACTTACTCACCTCTGAGTTTGTCCCCTGCATCTTGGAAAACGCCTGGAGGGGAAAAGCAGAGATGGTCACACGCCTTTCTCCCTCTCTGAGGTCATGCCTCTCAGTACTTGCTCTTTTACCAGCTCTGTATTTAGCTTTTCTCTTTGTTCTTAAGGGAGGACTAGTCTCTCAGCAAGTCAGTCACTGTAACAGAAACAAGGGGCTCCAGTCTGTTCCTAGGTCTGACTCTGAGGCTTTAAGTAGAATGGCTGAAAATGGGCTTTAAAATCTGTATCAGGATAGTTTTGTTAGGAAGCATCTGGTGATCAAGACATGGTCTTTGTTGATTTATTGGATATCCTTCCATTTTTCACTTTGAAAATCATAGGTGCCCTGAAGGAGAGAAACATGCAGGCATTATACTCAGAAACATCTTCCTGACTTTTGAACTTATTCGTTGGCCAGGGCTGTGAGGTACTGGGATTTCCACATGGAAACAGTATTTTGCAACCATGTAACTTTAAGCAGCTTACAGTAAAGGGAGGCTCTTTTATTACTTTATTCGCCTGTGTGGTTACTGTATCTTTAGAAATGCAGAAAGCGTACTGACCTAGATTCCATGGTACACATGTTGCCTAACTATTGAGACATTGACTTTGTAAAGTTTTCCTTGTAGGTTTATAGGTATTGGATGGATTAATAATTTAGCAGTTTTTGATAGGTTTTGTGCCTCTGGTTGTGCTAGCTTGGATTTTTTTTTTTTAAAACAAGGATTGAAGGTGTAATTTTGATTGCTTTTATATAACCTAAATTCTTCTCTACTTGTTTCATATCTATTTTTAATAGAAATTTGCAAACTTAAGGATAAGAATGATGGTTTTATCATCCTTTATATTTCCTTCCCTTCTTTTAAAGCAGGTTTTTGTTAACATTCCAGCCTCAAAATCATCAGTGTGAACTGTCAGGTCCAGAGCAGTTTCAGTCCTGAGAGAGTGGGAGAAGTGTAAAGAGTAGGTACTAAGCATTAATGAACATGTCTGAATTATTTCCTCTTCCATTGTTGTAAAACTGCTTGAATTTGCTGTAACTGTGTGTGCCGTGCATGTAAGACCCTCCGTCTCTCTGCCAGCCTTCCTTGATATGTCTCATATTCCATCTGCTAACTCAGAATAGCAGATCGTGGGAGCCTGGCACTGGTTATTAATCTTTCTTAGAAACAAAGGAATAAACGTATAGTTGGTGGCTCAAACAGCAGATACAGATAGGAAAGGATGTGTTACATTAATAGCACCTTAGAATTATGAATTCTTAAGAAATCCTAACAGTATTTTTAAATTAACCTTATAATTTTGAGAGTAGGAAAAAAAAAAACATTGTAGATTCTCATGCAGTTTTAAGAGTGTGCATGTTCCTTTTACCCCATTTTCCCTAATGGTAGGTAGAGTCTCGCAAAACTCCAGTAACTATATCACAGCCGTGGCGCTGCCTTGGGTGCAGTGGGGACACGGCGTTCCCGTCAACACAGGGGCCCCTCTGGTTGCGCTTTTGGAGCGATGCTCCCTTCCTGCCCCAGCCCCCCTTAACCTTCGGCTACTGCTAAACGGTCCTCCCTTTGTGTAACTGTCCATCTTAACATTCATGGACAGGTTTTTGTGTGAGCATACGGTTTTATTTATGTTATAAATGCCCTGGAGTGGTGTAAATGCTAGATGCTGGGTAGTGGTATAGTTGCATATTTAGTTTTTTAAGAAACTGTCAAACTTTTCATGGATATATATATTGTTGTACATTTCATACCTGCAGTGTATTGAGTTTTCCAGTTTCTCTGCATTCTTACCAGTTTTTTTTTTTTAGATAAGTGTGTAGCAATGTGTCTTTTTTTAATATATTTTCATCCGAGGATATGTTTACTGGTTTTGAAAAGAGAGGAAGGGGGTGGGGAGAGAGAAAGAGAAAGAGAAACATTGATATGAGAGAAACATCAATCCATTGCCTCCCATACACTCCTTGACCAGGGATTAAACTGGCAACCTAGGTATGTGCCCTGACTGGGAGTTGAACCCATAACCTTTTGGTGTATGGTGTGATGCTCCCGCCAACTGAGCCACCTGGCCAAGGTAGAATGTCTCATTTTGCATAGCAGTTCCTAATAAGTAATAATGGACATTTTCTATGTGTTTATTTGCCATCTGTATATCCTTTTTGGTAAAATATCTCTTTGTATCTTTTGTCAACATTTTCTAATTAGATTTTTTTGTGGGTGAGCTTCAAGAGGTCTTTAGATATTTTAGATATTAGCTCTTTGTTGGTATGTCGTTTGCAAATACTTTCTTCTAGTCTACGGCTTGTCTTTTTATCCTCTCAATACAGGGTCTTTTGCAGAGCAGAAGGTATTAATTTTGATGAAGTCTGATTTATCAAGTTTTCAGTTAGCTAATTTATCAACTAGCTGTTGCTTTTGTCCTTTGTCACATTGCATAGCAATATAGATCATCATCCTTTTCAGTTATTTCCTCTTCATATTAAGGATAGTGACTTTGGGGCTATAATATTTGTCATTTTATGTTGGAACTGGAAGTTCACAGTGCATTTTTTAATAGTTTCTGCTTAGAATATTCTAGATGAAGTAAAAAGTGATCCTAATTTGACTTGCCCTGAATAGCCTTGGCTATATGTAGGCATTGCAGTTTGTGATATCTATGAAAATTATCCTCAGTGTTTTTTCTGAGCATAAGTGTTATTACATCTCTGGGTAGTTGCTCGTACTATGGTAGAGGAAATATTATTATTTATTAGTGTTGAAGTGGATACAGTATTTCTTATCTTGTGTGATATGTCAACAGGCTGAAGCCAGAGTTGTTGCAGAGCGGCATCAGCTCGGGTCTGTGATGCATTAGGCACTGTGCTCAGTTCCACAACAAATATGTTCAGTGTTGATCTTTTCAGTAAAACACGCTAGTGCTTAGCTGAGTAGCTAATTTCAGTCTCTCATTTGAGAGAGAGCTATGTTGTACATCTACTACAACGTGTGCCGTGTAAGATGTTTAAAGTTAAATCAGGTTTAAAAAGCTGGATGCCATTCACCATTCCGTGTTTCCTCAGTTGCCGGAACCTGCGCTCAGAGACCTCATCGTGGCCACCGTCGCCGTGAAGTACACGCAGTCTAACTCCGTGTGCTACGCCAAGAATGGCCAGGTAACTGAGCCATGCAACTCACCTGAGAGGATGTTGTTTTACAAAACAATATTAAAAAAATCCATCTTCCTTCCTTACCAGACCGCTTGAAGGGAAAAATTTGCCAATTTTTTCTCTCCTGGGTTTGTCAGTATTGCTTGGGTATGTTGGTGGATGGTTCAAACTAATGATGATTACAAAGTATCTTTGGAACTAAGTATTAAAACTAGTCATGTTGCTTCTTGCCTGGACTGGATTGGCACATTTTGGATTAGTGGGACTTGAACAGCTGCTGCAAAAGTGGTTTATTTACGCCCCCTCCCCACCACGGGTAGAAGAGGGAGTAAAGAATGTGACACCACCCATCAGCCCGTATTTTTTTCAGTTCATGGAGTATTTTACATATTTTTTTAAGTTATTTTTCATAAACTAGGCGTTAACATGGTATTTTAAAATCAGGTTTACTGAGGCACAATTTGTACTCAGTAAAATTCACCCTAAAGGTGTAGAGTTTGACCAGTTTTCACAAATTACATAGTTGTGTAACCTCTACTGCAATCAAGGTATCAATCACATCTTACTACCTGGTGTTACAGGCAAGCTGTTTCACCTCCCCTCGCTCGCTCCTCTCCCCTGCTGCTCGTGGCTGCAGCAGCCTGGGAGCCCGCTCTTCTCTCAGCGTCCTGAGCTCTTCTCTTGGCATGTGTTGAACCCTTACATGGGAGGGGGAGGGTGGATGTGAATTAGTGTGTGCCCTGGAAGACCCTGACATTGAGGATCTTAGTGATTGCTAACTCTTGAAAGATTGCCGGTCTGACAACAGAAACCTGGGAGATCGTGGCTACTGTTCTCAGGTCCTGATAAGTTCCCATAAGACCATGCTTCACTACTGATGTTCAAGATTTCTAGAAACTTCCAGAACATTAACGTATAAAATGTATAGGTATTAGTCATAAACCTCTTACCTGCCCTCACTTTTTAATGACTTAAAAAGTGTTTGCATTTCTTTTATTTTGGCCTCCTTTTTCTTCCACAAAATTAATAGGTAGATTTTGGGGACTCTGCACAAAAGATCCTTTGAGGCAGATGTGTAGTTGGAAGAAGTATGCATTTTAATGCCTGTGTTTTTTAGGTTATTGGCATTGGAGCAGGACAACAGTCTCGGATCCACTGCACACGCCTTGCAGGAGACAAGGCAAACGTTTGGTGGCTTAGACATCATCCACGGGTGCTCTCAATGAAGTTCAAAACCGGGGTGAAGCGAGCAGAAATCTCCAATGCCATCGATCAGTATGTTACCGGGACCATCGGCGAGGTAAGGGGCTTGCCATTGGGTTGTGAGTGGAGTGTATTTGTATGTTCACCCTTTTCTGTATGGCACACTTTACTTTCATCACTACAGCGAGAAAATGCTATTTTTATTTTTTGAAATTGTGTATTATCTAAAAGGGTTCATCTAAACTTGTTACCAAATTTTCATTGTCTTCTGTCTCCCTTCACCCCTTTCTTACACCATGAATTTTCTCTTTTTAAATGATAACCATTGGTTTAGTTTGGTATGTTGGTTCTTCCCTTTTTGGTCATAAGCTTTTGACGACAGGGACTGATCTTCACGCCCTGTCAGGCGTCTGTCACAGTGCCACATACGGCACGATGGGTGTGTAGTCAACATTACGTACAAACTACCTGATACCAGGTAACCAGTGTCTCTCTCCTCCACCTGTATTTTCTCAAACACCATTAACAACTCAATATATTTTTGTTAAATTTCATGTTCTTTAATATCTTTTGTTTTGAAGAAGGTATATGGGAACATTAAAATTGCTAGTGTCAGGTAGCCTACCAAAAGAATACGGTTTAGCCCAGTTTCTGGGTATTAGCAAGTGCGTAAGAAATAGTGAATGGAAAATGAGAAAGGTCTTGTAATCAGAATCTCAGGGTTTTCCTAAAAGGTGAGTCTACTGCACTGAGGTGTTCATTCGGGGGGGACCGGAATCCATAGTATAGTGAGCGTCACCGAAGGGTGAGGCCACAGAAGGGTGCCTTGTAACGGAAGGACTTGAATCTTACATTTTTATAGCTTGATACTACCAAGCAAAACCCTGCTAATTTTTCTGGAAGAGTCTTTATATGTGAATAGGAATAAAAGTATGTTGTTTAAGCCAAAAAAATTCACCCAAAATGGAAGCACTTTCTTAAAATATGAATATTATGAGTTGTGTTTCGATTTGTCTGTAATAACTGCCCATATACTTGAGACTGGTTGTATAAATGTAGTTTTAGAATATCTCTCATCATCTGTTCCTTTTCCTGCTTTGCTACAAGGATATAAACTGATATATTTAACTTGGGCAAAGATTAAAGTAGAAAATATATTTGGAATAAACTGATGTGGAAAATAAATGGTACAGTCTTTATTTGGTACATTAGAATCACTTTTCTTCCTAATGAAATGGTAAAAGCATTAAAAGAGAGAGAAAGGGATTCTAGAAATAAGACCTGAATGTAATTGTCATTAATTTTAATTAAGAAGTCCTAGGAAAAATGCCCAAGTGCTTTCCAGCAGTCTCGCATCAGAGAGAACTAAAGGTGGTGTCAAAACCTCTCCCTTTCCTACTGACAGGGTGATGATTTAGTCAAGTGGAAGGCGCTATTCGAGGAAGCCCCTGAATTGCTGACGGAGGCAGAGAAGAAGGAGTGGGTTGACAAACTTTGTGATGTGTCTCTCAGCTCTGATGCCTTCTTCCCTTTCAGGGACAATGTAGACAGAGCCAAAAGGGTAAGTATGGAATGTGTATACGTGTGCAGAGACTTGAGACAGAGACTTTGAGCAAGCCTGCCTCTGATTTTTAAGTTCTGTGAGTTTATACATTTAAGCTGTGGCAATGTGCTGTATCACTGGTATTTAGAGAATTGTTTTGACTACTCCACTTGAGGTATGGGTAACTCAAATCATTTTTTTTTTTTTTTTGACTGAGTAAATAAGTCTGCAGTATGATTCATTCTTAGCTTATGCTTTTGAGGTGTGGGTTTTGACTTTTGTGCGTTTTAACATAAAATTATGTTTCCCACTCAGAGTGGCGTGGCGTATGTCGCTGCGCCGTCTGGCTCTGCTGCCGACAGCGTGGTGATTGAGGCCTGTGAGGAACTGGGGATCATCCTCGCTCACACGAGTCTTCGGCTGTTTCATCACTGAGTTCACCACACACTGCTCTGAGGTTTGCTTATATGTGGCTGAAGAATCATGTGGGAAATTTTGAAATAATCAATACTTTTCAAATAAATAAAACATTCAATCTGAGTAATTATCTTGGATCCATGGTGTCCAGTAATTGTATTTAATTTGTCCTGAAGCTATAAACATCACACCCAAATATTTGTGTGTAAGACATGCAAGAGTATCCCACCTCCTGGAGCTCAGCCCATCCCCAGAACATCACCGGTGAGAAACTTCCAAAAACCATCACGTAGCCAGAGGAGCTGAGCGGCGCTGCCTGGCAGCACAGCATCTTAAGGCCCCACGGACGTGCTCGTGCGGATCCCACTCATGCAGAGTTTCTTCTCATCACAGTTCTGGGAAATGTGGTTTTCTGCCTTCTACACAAACAGCAGATTATATGCTATGAGCCAGAACCTTAGAGGGGATTAATTAATAAGCCTTCTCTTGGCCCCATATATGGATAATGCTAGTACCTACTTCCCCCTCCGTGAGAAGTGAAATGTTTCCCATAATTTCCGCAAGCTCTTGTCTCCTCTGGAGCTGCCTAAAAAAAGTAATCACTGTTTGTTGCCCAGAAACAGACCAGTACTCACTGCACTTGGGATCTTACCACGGAAAAGCAGGGAGCCGTGGGAGGGCGGCGCCTTGGGGGGCCAGCGTCTCCCCGCACCGGGACATAGCTGTGCATTTACATCCCTGTACCCGTGGCCCTGACCGTTCACCTCTGTTACACCTGAGGCCAGCACAGACCTCTGGTCATCTTTCCTCTTAGGCGAGTCCCACTCTCTTCCCATATTTTTAACCTAAGTCCTCTCTAAGTTAAAATTTCTGCAGTTTTTTTTTTCAAGTCATTTTTCCAGTCATTAGTGTATTAACTAACGTAGTCCCTGTATTTTTGCCCTATTGCATTGAACCAAGGCTGACTTGTGTGCTGTGACCAGTGACATAATGTAAAAGAATGTGTGACCTCATCGGGGAGGTCATAAAAGGCATTCAGCTCATTTATATTCGTGTCAGTTACTGATATATTTGGATTTGAAATTTGAATTGAAAGCTCTATTTTCCTCCTAATAAGAACTTGTGCCTGCCTTGACAGATTTTCCCCTCCCCTATTTCCCAAAATTCCCATAATGAATCCTAGACTTTCAGTTCTGGGTTAGGGAGATAAATTGTCTTTCAGCTATTTTTTTTATTTAAGACAAGTTTCCCATGGTTTCTGTTAACCTTTACTTTACATATCTCTCGCGGTATCTCCTGAGCATATGTCTCCTCTTGTAGAAACTGCAATGTGGTCGGCTAGGCACAAATAATTGTAACAAGCAATGCCCGTGGAAACTGCATAGAACATCTACAGTTTAAGGAATGATTTTTAAACAGACACCTATGTCACCATAAAGTAGGTCAAGAAAAATAAGTTTGCTCCAGCCCTTCCCCCCATACCTGTTCTAGGTCGTTGGCCCTATCTTAGCCTCCAGGAAACAGCCTTAAGCCTTTTATGAAAATTATTACCTTGTTTTGCCACCCACCCACTGGAGAATCTTGGGTTTATGGCTTAACCTCTTGAAATTTGTTTCTCATCTATAAAATAAGGGTGGATTTGCTTAAAAGTCAATGCACTGGAGGTAGTTTGTCAGGTCCTAGTCCCAGCCCTGCCGCTATCCTGGCTAAGTCGCTTAGCCTTTCCCGCGCCTTCTATTTGTAAAGCGGTGGTGCTCGCAGTACCACCTCGGGAGGTTGCTCTGAGGAGTAAGTGAGACCCAACACGTAGGTGCACGTGGAACACAACCGGGATGTGATAAGTGCCTTTTATAGAAACGCTGGTTATTTTCATGATGTGTTAGTGTATATGAGGTCATGGAAGGTAGTGGAGGATTATTAATGTATGGAAATGACCATAAAAAGTAGTGTGTATTTATGGAGGATTTTATTTCAGTTTCTGAATAGGTATTCCTAAAGTTTCTGAGTTCCTTCAACCTTTCACCTACTCTTTTCCCACACTCCACTTCTTAGCGAATAAATTAAAGGATATATTAAGACTTTCTGGAATGAAGGTGGTATTTTTTTATTAAAGTGTACACATCAGTGATTGTAAGTATATTCACAGGGTTGTTCTGCCACAACTGTCTAGTTCTGGAACATTTTCATCACCTCAAAAAAGAACCCCCCCATTAGTAGTTGTTCTCTATTCTTTCTCTGCCCCTAGCCCCTGGTAACTATTAAACTACCTTCTGTTTCTATTGGTTTGCCTATTCTGGACATTTCATATAAGTGGAACCATATGATATATGGCCTTTTGTGCCTGACATATCTCACTTAGCGTAATGTTTTTAAGGTTCATGTTGTGGAAGGTATGAGTACTTCATTTCTTTTTATGGTCAAATGATACCCCCATTGTAGGGACAGACCGCATTCTGTTTACTCATTCGCCAGGTGATGGGCATTTGTTTTGTATCCACTTTTTGGCTATTACAGATAATGGTGCTATAAACATTTTTTGTGCAAGTGTTTATGTGAACATGTTCAGTTTTAGGTGTTGCAGGGCTCCATGGTACTTCTGTGTCTAACTTTTTGAAGAACCACCAAGTGGTTTTCCTCCGCAGCTGCACCATTTTACATTCTCACCGACGATGTATGAGGAGTCCAATTTCTTCACCAAAGCGGCATGTTTCTGAGTCAAATACTGGATAGGTTTTCAGTGCTTGGGCCAGCATCTTACAACGAATGCTGAATTTTATACATATCAGCAGGCTTTATAGTAGAAGTCCTATCCAGGGGGCTCCTGACAGAAGCGTTGTTTCCTTCTTGGGACAACATGGCCGTTTCCAAGGCACCGTAAAGCTAATAGAAGGCCAAGGGGGAGGCCTTAGCCCTTGGTGCATCTGGTGGAAGGGCAGCCTGCAGGACAGGCGATCCCTGTCCCCGGAGGTGCAGGATATGACACCACCCCACGCTGGCGGCTTTCCACAGCCTCCAAACAGTGCTATTTGCACGTCTTCGGGGACTCCACGCAAATGCTATTTTACAGATAAAGTTGCCTCCTAAGATTATTAAAACCTGTATGTCTAAATTCAAGGAAGCGTATTACATGTTTTAATATCTCCTACCTGACTCTACTGAGGAGTGTTAAAAAAGGGAGTTTCCCATTTTTGGTTTTCAGCTGAAGTATCAATTCTCTTGCTCTTTTATTACTTACAATATTTTCTTCCTTTGTAATTTATATAGATTTTTATTTGCGATCCAAATGGAATCCTTTAATGAGGGATATGTAGAGGGACCATGTGGCACTGATAATGACACTTGTCATACATGAGTACCACATACTCTTTAAAAAGAACTTTTTTAGTCTGAAAAACGCATAGCAGTACAAGGACATCTTTGTGCTGCTTCTGCTTTATTAGCCTTTATGATCATCCTTAAATGTTCCCACACATGAGACGTCCCAAGAGTGTTGTTGTTTTTTTTATGGTTGAAATGTATCTCCTGAAAATGGGATTTTTTAATTGTAGCCTGCCACTTTCCCTACCACAGTAATGGGAATTGACTGAATAGGAAGCAATTTCAGCACTTAAATGTGCTGATGTGATGTTTCTTAATCACTTTAATGAGTTACGTGGAACTAGAAATGGAATAGAATTTTCAATGGAAATATAATTAAATAAAAAAGTAATTTCCTGTACTTCTAATTTCTACCTGATCGTTTCTTTATTCACCTCCATAGATAGTGTGCCTTACAGGCTTACAGTGATATTATTATATAGGCTAATTTGCATACTTATGTCATGAGAACGGAAAATAGAAATATACAACAATAAATTTCATTACAAATCAAGTGCAGCAAGGCATGGTAAAGCTTCCAAATTGTGATTTTCCTTTTTAAAGTCTGATGTATTTACTAGTTTTACATGACTTTTCTTGAATTGGCAATTTCTTGCCTAAACCCCGATCAGTCTTTTAATTATGCCTTTTCAGTAGTCTGGCCTCCTTAAGATAATTCTCAGGGGCAGCAGTAACATGAGTCAGTAAAAATTAAAAGATGTTTGGAAATCTCTGTTCTCATGTTTTGATGATTTTGCTGCAAGAGAGTAAAAAAGTTACCGTCCTTGCACTGATGCCAAAACATAAAAGGTCATTTGAAGTTGTTAATTTGGAGTCAAGACATGAAGTTGACCATCACTTTTGAACACTAATGTCCATAGAACTGGGCAAGGCAGTAGGCAGTGGTCACAAGGCACCATGATACCAGGGTTTGTCATCAGCTAGGGAACCGATGGGGACAGTGCCCCTGACCGTCTCAGCTGGAGAATGATCCACAGGTTCCAAGTCACCAGAGTCAGTTCTGAAATCATGAGACTCCAGTTAGAGTCTCTGACCTGTTTTCCTGGCTGTGTTGTCTGAGGCGAGTCATTTAATCTTCCTGATCCTCAGTTTACCGAAATTTAAGATGACGACGATGATTTCTGTTCTACTTTTATTATAACTTTTAAACAAACACATGTAAATCTTTTATAAACAAAAAATAAACTTGTTTAATGTGTTCTGATTATTTAAATGTAGTCACTGACTCACAATTGAAGTAGTTTAATTTGTAAATGTAATATATTGCTTTTGAGACTCCAGCAGGCATTCTGGAAAAAGTAGTACTTTTACAAGTGGAACCTTCTTCAGTCACTCCTGGAGAAGGATTTATTTAACTTCACTAAAAATGGGAAACATTTTTAGGTTTACAGTTAGACAAGTGGTTTGAAGCGCAGTCAGTCTCAACCCGAAGCTGCTCGCTCTTTGTGTTTTAACATATAAAGACCTATAAAGAGGATGGGCCTGCGGTGCATGTCCTCTCCTACGAAGGGCGGAGGGACCGGCCCGCGTTCTCTCAGGCAGGCGTCTTCAGTGGGACACCCCATTGCACAGTGTGGATTTGTATTGCGTCACATTCTCCGTCAAGCTGTCATGACCCATGTATGTGAGGCAGTCATTTCACATCACTGTGATCTGTACCTTCTGTGATTTTACCCCGTCATGTACAGGGCAGCCATTTTGGTTGGCATACAGCCTGATAAAGCAGAAAGGTGAGTAGTGCTAAAGAGAAGCCTGGGGTCTGGTTCTGGGTCCTGCCAAGGCAAACTCAGCTGTAGTCTCCCTAAGATTTAGACTATAAAAACTACCCCAAATGAGATGCTGATCATCAAAACATTTATAAACTATAAATCAAATGTAAGTTTGTTTTTTTTAAAAACACCAGGTATTTATTTTTCTACCTTGCACAATAACACAGAAGATGGATTTTCCATGTCTTGCATTTAATGGGTTATTAATATTTTACAAATTAATAGTTAACTATTTCCAGTGCTACTGTTATCCTGAGTGCCCTACTTAGCCTCAAAGTTTTGATGTTACCCCAAATTTAAACTGTAAAGGAAATGGCCTTTGCAGACTGAGAGTAAGCAAAGCCTGTTCAGCTGGGGGACCCTAAAACTGTCCACGGACACAAACGCAGACAAGTTGGATTGAGGTGATTACACCACTGGGTCTAGGACAAAACTCCCCTGTGCTCCTCCATTCAAGTAGTTTTCACATCTGTCACCTTTTTTGTTCTTGCAGCTAATCTCTGGGGAGAGAAGGGTTAGAATGATTAGAAAAGAGCAACGAAAGGTGGTTTCGGACTTTACTGCTGAAGAACTAGCTAGCAGGTTAAATAAACATTTGCATCCACTTAAATCTGCTTAAAGCCGGAAATACAAAATGATCTCCATTACTGAAGAGACGAAATGGCAAGAATGAGGTGGTGTTTGTAGTGATTTAGAAATTCTTGTACTGAAATCACCAAGAACTAGAGAGCTGAACACAGGTTTTCAAATGTTTGCTGAATTGAAAAGAAAAAGAACATTTGTAAGGATTATTTTCCCCCAAATGTCTTTACATAAAAAAGGAGTCATGACATTCAAGTTGTGGAATGTAAATCTTTTATTAAACAGTTGTCTTTCCACAGTAGTAAAGCTTTGGCATGTACAGTATAAAAAATAGTCACCAACCACAATTAACCCAAATTCCTTTTATCAACTGCATACTAAGTGTCTTCAATGCAATTTTTTTCCATTTAAAAATACTGGGAAAAATTGATAAATAACAGGTAAGAGAAAGATGTTTCTAGGCAATTACTAGAATCATTTGGAAAAAGTGAGTACTGCGGATATTTTAAATATCACAGTAACAAGGACATGCCGTTCCTACAGTATTGCGGGCCAGACAGTTAAATGGAAGCAGAAGTGTTTGGGTAACTTTCCTACTTAAAGTTTTGGTAATATCATTTCAGTACATTTGCATCTAGGTGGTTTGCATGTGCTTCCCTACTGATCCCAAATCACAAGTTAGAATCATTTAAAATACTGAGTGGTATCGAATACTTTTGGAACAGAACAGGCAATGTACTGCCCCCTTTTGTGAGAAAAGTCTCAAAACACTCCCAGGGTGATGCTTGGAGAAGCTGTGAGTTGAGCTGAAGCTGGAGAAGTTACTCTCCAGAGCAAAGGGCTTAAGAAAGAAACAAACACTCTAAGATGGGGTCTGCTCTTGTCGCTCCAGTTTGGATGGACCTTGGCAGAGATCCATGCTTGGTTTTCTGGGTTGGAAATACTACTCCCGAGAATCGTCTCTGTCAGCCTGTACATCTAAGGGCATGAAGCACTCAATGGGGCAGTTGACATTCTGTGAAAAGAGAAGAGATAGATTGAGCAACGAATACTGCAGAGTGTACAGAGAAAGAGGGTGGGGTTTCTATGACAATTAGAATAGGAGACTAGTTCTAGCTTTAGGATCCTGCCAATAAACTCAAACTGGGTAACAGATGGTATTCAAGAGTTTAATACATTAGAACCTGAATTATGCTACAGGATACAGTACTCTTTAAGTCATCCAGAGGTTCGTTCCCTCCCCTGCTCCGCCCAAATAGGTTCATCCAAAAGAAAAGCACCTACTACGTGATGGATTGTGTCTAGGGGAGAAACACTCAGGGTGCAAATGCACTTACAGTGTTTGAGTTCTGATGGTATCTCTCCGAGTACGGGTTGTAGGAGTGACCGGGAGAGCCTTCGTGATGGAGCTCAGCCCCTGGTCTGCGGCAGTTGTCACAGCGCCAGCCCTGAGAGCGGAGGCATGACGTCAGGTGGGGGTTACGATAACATGAGAACACCTCAATTTAGTGCTCGTGTTAAAGAAGACTTTCAGCTCTTCACTGGCAAAATATAAGCAGTTAATCACAAAGGACACTTGGATGATGATTTTGTGAATTTATAACTCAGAAGATTATAGGCTGATTACTCACGTCTTAGAGCTGCCTGTGTCTACCTCTGCTTTCCCCTTCTCCTGAAATGTTCTCTGTTCTCTTCCCATTCCAACCCCACCTACCTGCTAAGGCTCAGTCCAGCCCCAACTGCCTTAATGAGTTTTGCACACTAGATAATAGGTTTTCCTAGAATCCTAGAGCTTGTAGAAGGGACTTGAGGTCACATAGACAAATACCTTAAATTCATAAGCAAGGAAAATGACACCCAGAGGGTTGACTCGCTCAGATGAAGCAGGAAAGTCACACCATGACCTGCTGGTGACTCCTGGCCATGCTCTTCCTATTGTACCACATGGCCAATTCCTTCCTAAATGTTTGTGGCCAATAACATGTAGCCTTTCATCTGTCTAATGATGGTATGAGAGCGGGAATAAGACCAAGCTGGGCCAGGGGGGCTCCGCCTTAGGTGTTTGCTAGAAATGGGAGGAAACGTATTCTCCCTTATTGTCACTCCCAAGCTGATAGGAGATAAACCTGGAGCTGAGGGAGGCCATGTTTGTCATCGTCCCTCCTGGAGAATGAAGCCAATACAAAGAAATGAAGCAAATGACACTGAGACAGAATGCCATCCAGGAGGGGGCCCCGAGCTGATGGATCCTGGGACTTCTCAGTTACATGAGCCTTCTTTTGCCTAAATTAACTTGAATGGGGCTTTTCTCTTAAAAGAACCCTAAGTAATACAGTCACTCTTTTATAGTGTCAGTTAAATATTTCAGACATATTTCGCCATTCAAAAGCATATTCCTCGTAATACTGAATACAATTACGGGTAAATGCCTACTTAGACAATCAATGAATCTTGCTTTCCTCTAAAAATGGAACAGCTCCCACTCCTGTCTTAAGTGTTTCATTTAGCTCTTCGCTTTCGAACAGAATAGGTGTCACACGTGAAAGGTTTCATGTGCGTAAATAATGAGGAGATGCTGAAGTGAGACCAAAGCCTACTTCCCAACAGATTCACTCCCATCTCATTTCCTTCTCTACCAACCACAGGACCAGAGATGAGTGAGTTCTGTGGTCGCAGGCTGTAAGCGTTAATGAGAGATACAGAGGGAGGCTCTGCAGCTTCCTCCTATCAGAATGGGCAGCGCCTCCCTCCCCGTCTCACCCCTACAGGTGGAGTGAGATCATAGTAGTGGACTGCCTGTCCCAGGTCCTCAGGTGGGGGCAGAGGCGGACCCTGAAGACCCTTCCCTGCTGCCAGATTAATCTTTCTAAAGGCCATTTTCCAAAACGTTCCTTTTCTTGGCTCCCTGCGATTGGCTAATGCCAAAGGCATCAAGCAGTGAGTCTTAACCCGGGGTGGGAAACACGTCCTCATGCATTGGAATTTCAGGGCTGTCGGGGAGGGCCTGTTCTCACTGAAAACAAGGGACCATTATGTCCCCTTACTTTTAAAGAGTTACAAGAGTTATTTGATTTTGAAGTTTCAAGTATTAGAGGAAGGCACAGGCTTTTTCGTTATATGAAAGTAGAACAGATAAGAAATGGTAGAGAAGTACTGGCTTAAAGAATGGCCTTCCAAGGCCATCTCATTTCTCACAAAGGAACACTAGGCAGAGGGGTAGCTCGCTGGAGTCCGGACCCGCCAGCCCCTTCCCACCCCAGGGGATGAGACTGCTCCCTCTGCTTCCTCCCCTCCTTCAACCCAAACTGAACCACCCCAAATGCCAGCCAGCTTACACTTCTCTCTTTCATGAAAACTTTCTTGCTGATTCCAGCCTACCTGGGTACTGTATCACTTGGCAGACCCATTCAGAACCTTAGTTAATGAGCTTGACTTTCCAGGAATGCTATTGAATGTCTCCAGCTGCTGTACCATTAAGAGCCAGGACCTTTGTCATTCCACCCCACTGTCCTCTGCATAGCGCCAGACCTATAGCAGGAATCTATTGTATTTTTGAGAGGGTACAAAGAAAGGGCACTGTCTTAGATCTGGGGTGTTATTTAAAATGTTTAACAACAATGCCAGAGTGGCACCTGTCCTTTAGGTTGGAGCTGGAAGCCCAGCACTACCCAACTTTAGTTGCCGAAGAAGAGAGACGGCCTGAGAATACTGGTTGTAGGGGGGAAAGAGGGGCGGTTCTGAGTCTGCCACAGAAGGGGACAACTGGAAAGGGTATTCAGGAGCTTCACCGGGGCAGCTATGTGCCACGAGGAAATAAGGTGTTTCAACATTTCTTATGGGGCACTGCCACACCTGTCCCTACAGCATTCACAGAAGCAGCTTAACCCTGAATTGTCAGCTTATCTTGATCTTATCTAAATTGCAGGCAGCCTTACCCGCTGGCCGCCAAAGCAGGTGCAGGAGCAGATCGCGCCGAGATATTCCTTCTGCCACTGTTCTCCCATCTGGTACGTTTTCCCATCATCGTAGCACGTGGTTTCATCTACGTGGAGACACAAGTCAGAGGTGCGTGTAAGGCTGAGAGCAGACAGCCCTGACGCCTGCAGAGGGGTGGCTTCTGTTTCTTCCCTCAATTTGTGTCATCACAACCAAAATAGCACATGTTTATGGGAATCATTCTTTCATCATAGAGAAACTAATGTATCTGTCATAGGGCAGCATTTCCAAAAACTAGATCCAATAAACCAAGAAGACAGAGATTGTATTTTAAAAGTTGAATCTAAAGACCTGTAAAGCTTTCTGATAACATTTCAATGCAGTTAATGATCAAAATACTCAGGTCGGAAAAACGCTCGCGTGCCCTGTCACAGTGTTAAATCACGGCTCATTTCTGAAACTTGTCTCCGTTTTCCCACATCAGAAGATTAACAAACCCACTGTTCACTCCTCAAGGAGACCTACAATCTCCACTCGTTTCTCTGAATGAGAGCTACGGCTCAGTAATGAGCGCACGGGTGCTTGACAAGGCACTAAAAGGGATCTGTGGCCACGTACGGGGATCACACTTGAATTCTCCTTTTCCGTTTCCAAGGCACGTGCAGCTCATCATCTGGCCATTTTCTCCCTTACGATCCCACTTCTCTCCAATCTTGAAATTTACACCATTGTCATGGCACCATTCTGCAGGGTGGGAGAAATCAGAGGCAGTTATTGGCGTGTGCTGACTCACAAGGCTGTGAAAGCACTGCGGCATGTCACAGGAATTTAAAAGCCAGGTACCTGGAAGGAAGAGTAAGGAAAGTTAAAGCCATCATCCCAAAGACAAACCAATTTTTTGTTGTTGGACTTTAAGATATTATCTTTACCGTTTCACATTTTCTAGGCTATTTTAAGATTCAATGTATTCCCTTGTAATCACATCACAAGAAGAGTCAGTGACCTTCACTTGAATTCTCACTGTTTAGGTAAAACTGAAGTAAGATTTGAATATTTTAGGAATAGAAGGTCACTTTGGATTTGCAGAGATTCTGGATAAAAAGTAGTTCAATTAACCAAAACAAACAGAACAAAACACAAAAGTCAGCAGGTTTCTATATACCACAACCTGATTCTTGTGAATGAGACAAGAAAAAGAATAATATGTGTATCAAAACAACAAAAACAAACAAAATGATAAATCAATGGTTAGTATCCCCAAAAATCAGATTGGTCTTAAGGATAATTAATAGTCACAGACATTTATCTTTACTACTACACATAAAAGATGACTTTTTAAACTCCATGGTTAATACCAAAACAAAACACACTCCAATAGTTTATCAAACAGTACAATACTTCCATTTTATCAATGTCACTCATTCCTTAAACTTTAAGTTAATCAATGATTATGACATCTAAGCAAAGAACATGTAATTTGAGCCAAAGAATCACATAAATCAGCTTACAGTTCTACTCCCAAAGTTGCACCTAATGACATATAGATAATAAATATACAAACTTAAAAATTAAAATGAACCAATTGTCAATAATACATCCCCTAAAAACAAAAGCATAAATAAAAGGTTTATAAATTCTATTACTAAATCTCAAAACATAACAAGTAGTTCCTTGAATCAGCTTAACTAAAAAATAATTAAAATATTATAATCTTTTTATAATTTGAAGATCAAATGTATCTCAATTGGAGATTCTTCATTATCTACAGATTGTCGGTACTCCCTACTGCCTGATGTGCATCCGTGTACTATGATATTGGTATGTTTGGTTTGTGTTGAAAGAAGCAGAGTGTTTGTGAGTATACGTGTTTACCTCTGAGCTCAATCAATAGCAACCATTAAAAGAAACTTCAGATTGCACGTCTCTGATTTAACCGGGCTCCAAAGAGTTTAACTTTGTTAATTTTGTTTAACAGAAAATTTTTAAAAATCGTATTACCATCACAAATTTATTTTTAATTGTCATATCAACATACCACCCTTGAAATGAAGCGCTATTCCACAAGTAAAATTTCCCATCATTTTTCCATGATGCAAAATGTTACTTTGAGTCAAACAGTCTCCCCTTGTTTGCTTCATGTTTGGGAGAGCCCTTGTCTGCCAAACATGATTCCTTGGCATGCTGTGCGAATGCGTGGGACTGAAAGAGATGGACGGATGAGTGGATGGACAAAGCAAGCTACTCACTAGATGAATCACATCTGAAATGACCACTGCCAAAGCCTAAGCACTGGCACGAGAGTTTAAAGCCCAATTCGGACAATCGCTCCCACTCCTGTCCAACGGCATAATGGGAAACGGTGTAGGGGTCGAAGCAGGAGTCCTCCATAGGTTCAACTACAGGAAGAAAAAGGGGAAAAAGCAACAAAAAAGACATCTTACTCATGGTTTTGGATTGCAAGAGGAAAACTGATTCTTCTATTCAGCGACTTAATCTGAAACGAAAACCCCAGTAGCATTAAGAAGCATTTATCTATTCTAGCAATGCAACAAGCTGCTGTCATAAACGACACTTAAATGTTGCCAGTAGACACTTGAAAAGGCATCTTCAAAGGAACCCATCTTTTATGTTTGTTACTAGTTCTACAAAAAAGTCATTTTTGGTAAATCTAGCCTATAGAATGAGGAACAGATCTTGATGCAATTTAAGCTAGTTAAGAACTTCAGTGAGATGCAAAAACTGAAAATGCCTCTCCATCAGTACCTGAGTGACCTTAAGCTATTATATTATAGTCATCTGTAATAAGGAATAACACTAAAAATCTCTCTACCTGCTTGGGATCTTGTGAAGATTATATGAGATCATGAATTCAAAGTATTGGTCCATTACCAATGCTTAGAAAGTGTTCACCAAATAAAGAATAATTATTGAAGGGCACCTTTTACTTTTACTGCAAAAGTTTTAACATTTTTATATTCCATCGTAATGTGACCTTCGTTTTTATTTTTGTATGTTTTGCTTAATAGTGCAAACCTATGAGATTTTGCACATTGTTATCATAATTATAGGCCTGCTTTACTTAATAAAATCAATTGTTCCAAATACAAGGAAGCAATGGGATATGGATGACTTAGGAACATGTAATGGTGTCTCTTCATCTTGCCTAAGACCTCAGTCTTTGTGTCTCGGAAAATAATTTATACAAAGAATGTTGTAAAAGTTACTCTAAATATTAAATAAACTAACTTCTGTGTCTTTGAATGTCACCTTGTAATTTCTGCTTACAGTGCAAAAATCCAAAGCTCAAAAACCACAGATATTTGAAGTGCCTAATATTTTAAAAGGCAGCACCCTGGGGAAAAAAAATAGTTTTGGAGAAACGAAGAAGTCTGAAATGTTTCAAAGCCAGGAGAACCTGGCTAGGATGAAGAATCTCACTGCTGGGAATATGGAGGCAGAGAGAAAAATAGAAGGAAATTAAACTGCTACAAGGGCCTTCAATAAGCCTCCTGAAAATAGCCAGGAGTTAAAATTCCACCCGACTAAAGTTACGGAGATAGAATTGGAAAAAAAAAAAAAAAAAAAAAATGATGTGGAAAAGCACAAAGACCTTTGTGCTCTTGAAAATTTTTTTCACGTGGCATTTTACTAGTAAAACCCCACAAGGCAAAAGATATGTGTTACTGTGGGTATACTACCATGGGTATACTACAACGAGCATGAAATGATCCTCCCAACCTCCCCCCAGATACTCAACTGCATAATTCACTGGGGTTTATATATGTAAAATAGCACAATCAGTGAGGAAGAAGGTGGAGATTAAGTAAATGGGCCCTAGAAATAAAGCCAGTCTCTTGGTAGAGAACAAATTTAGCACTCCCTGCCGATAGAGAATGCTCTGGTTGCAAGATAGGGGATTTCGGGTTTGGATTATTTATTTCCTATCATGTTCCTTGGTGAATCTTCAGCGCTTGCAGGTTGACAAGCCAAGGGATCTACTGGTTTAATAGGACTTCCCAGGTGCTACAAAGACTCAATGACCATTCAACCTCCATCAAGGTTTTGCATCTATGTCATTAAAAAATAAAATAAAAATCAAAATAACAGTGGAATAAGGGAGCCCTTGGGACAAAAACAGGCTGTGTGGGTAGCATCTTACATCAGGAACGAACACCAGCTGTCCCTAATGTCTGCAGATGGGGAATTTCCTTTGCAGGTCATTGGTTTCAGGAGTTAAAAAAATCACTGAAGAGGACAGCGAGATGGGGTGATGGAGACGGTCTGGGCAAAGAGGGCAGGAGGCCTGTGCCCTGCATCAACTCAGACAGATGCTCGTGAGCAGGGACCCAGCGTGTCCGACTAAATATCTGGAGCTTGTCCAGGTCCATCATCCTATCACTGTCTGGGACTCGGAAATATGTGTGTGTTTTAACAAAGACACTAGGATACTATGAGGGGGAAGATAATTCAATTTAAAGTTGTTCATCTATTTCACGATGCAACATTATTTCCCAAAGTTAAAGGACAATAGCAACAATGGAACAGTTCATAGAAAAAGCAGAAAGAGCATGTCCCAGAGGGGAGCCTGTGCCTCAGTAACACAGGCGTTCACATACCCGAGTTGCCCACAGTGACAACCGCCTCCCGAACTTTGTGCCTCTGGTGGTCCTTCAGTGCTTCCACAATGATGTTATAAGTGGCCCCTCTGGTGAGACCCGTCAGGGTGGCACTCGCAGAAGTTCCAGGAACTCGGAACTACCATTATTGGCATGTCCAAAATAGGGGAGAAAGCATGACAATGAGGAATCTCCATGACTTACCCTATTCTCTTATCCATACCCCTCCCTGTGTGAACAAAATAAGGGGGACAAATAAAGATGGAGGGGGTAAAGGTCCCAGACAGCCAAGGAGAGAAATGGAACTTGGGTGCGCGGCCATCGCCACTACCTGCCAGATTTTCCTGCCAAAAATCTGCCCCCTGTGCTCCAGAGCTGCCAGGAGCCTCCAACAATCTAGGGACAGCCTCCATTCCATCCTGCTGCACTCGCTCGTCTGAAAGAGCAGGGCCCCCTTTACACAGAACGTGGGCACAGTAGGGAGATTTAATCGTCCCACACAAGATGGCATCTGATCCCAGGAGGGTCCTTAAAACCCTTCGGCAAATCCTCCAATTCAAGTTTCTAAGCTCATAAATCTTCCACAGCTTTAAAAATTCTGCCACTTTCTAAAAATGAGAACACAATAAAATTGATGCCAGCAAGACAAATGAAAGAATCAGAGTTTTAGTTAGAGAATCAATCACTTGCAACAGCTGATATGCACAGCTTCACCTAAGTTCTTTCTCCTTAAACCTATTGTAGATAATGGGATTCTTCAAGGACAGACTGGAGGGTGGCATCTTAGCCCTTTGGGCCCAAGTATAAGTTCAGGCAGAATACTGCTTCCTCTTTTCTAGGATCCTTTCTTTATCTGTATTACTAAGGAGCCTCCAATGGGTGAGAGTAAGAGAAAGGGTTTCATTCTTTCTGCTAAATACAAGCTAATGACACTCTGGTATTCCCACCCCACCCTCCACCCCCTTGCAAAGTAGAACCATGTTGAGATTTAAAAAAAAAAAAAAAATTACAGGCTTAAGCAAGCCACCTTCTTAAGATGTAGCTACTTTACATCAGCTTTGGTCACTTCAGTTACCTAGCTTACACATTTCCAGGCTGCCCAGTCAGAAGTCCAGAGAAAAATTAATTACCTGTAAAGGTTCTTCATCAGTGCCAACTGGATGACATGAAATTATATACTCAGAGCTTTCCTGGAACGGGGTCCAAGAGATGGTTGTCTGAGAGAGAGCTTCTTGTCCTGTAGAAGCATTTGGAGTGAGTCCCACAACGTGAGGGTAGATTTGGTGGTCTACATCTCCCCTGGGGACATGACCAATTTGGATCTCCTCACGTGGTCCTGGCCTATGCCTTATAGGCGTGGCCGTTGTGGGCGGTGTGGTCCGCCTAAAACCATGCTCCTCAAAGATCATTTGTTGCCCAACACTGGGCTGCTGACCCGAAGTGCCAGGAAGCTGAATACCATTTTCAGTTCCATCAGGATTGGTCTTTTGAGCTGTGGAGGGAACATCCAAGATCTCTGGTCCTTGAAGGTTGGGGTGTGGAAGGGTTACCAGTTGGGGAAGCTCATCTAGCCAAGAGAGGTTAGAGCCAAAAAAGCAAAGCGTGTTAAGCTCCCAGAAGTACCAGCAGTAATCATTATCAATTCAGGCAACAAAGACTGTTTATTGATTTGATCAAAGCCCCTGGAAAATTAGCAGTTCTTAGATCACAAAACACTTTTTTCAGAAAGAAATCTTTATGACTTTTTTTCTCAAAGATTTCTTTAGAGTTTAGAATGAAAAAAGTGTTAGTATGAATTTATCATACACAGTTTTATACCGCTGAGCCCCACAAAAGTTGCCTCTACTCAAATTAAGCCTAATGGAGATGAAATGCCTTTCTTTTTCATTTGAGAATCATGTTTTAAGGACTAGAATCCACAATAATTATATCAGCATCTGGAGTATGAGAATTCCAGAGGTTTGGTTCAATGGTTTTTTTATGGTTTGAAATGATAAAAATAGATAAAATACATACATGTTTATTTTTTAAATTCTAACAGCATAAATATAGCATTTTTTTCAAATAAAACTAAGTGGATGAAAAAGTAAGACATTCTTTAGCTCAAAGTTTCTGAAACCAAACAATATTAAACATTTTTAACTTCGACAAAAGGTGTAGATGAATAGCAATGATAGTCATTTCATTTTTATATTTTTATATCTGTTTTGAAAATTTTAAAGGTAAATAAAAGGCTTTATTTTGACTGGCAAAGAAAAAAATAAAATTGACTTCAAGGAAAAAAAAAGTGAACTAACAGTTTACGTTAGGTTATCCCTGCTATCAAGAAGCACGACATACATGCTATGCTGTTAGGAAAAAAAAACTTTCGTGAGAAATGCATCAAAACCTGGAGAACCTTTTCAATGCAAAACACATGTGTAATTTAATTAGTTTTGCCTTGACTGTCTCCCCGTTACCCTGAAGGTGATCTTTCTCTACCTGTTTTTTTCCTCCCGATCAGAGGCTCGCTCTTCTGGTTGTTCTTCAGGGCAATGACTTGGATTGTGTACTCAGTTCCTGGTTCCAGACCTGATGGAAGGACAGACAGATCATCATGTTAAGGCTGTGGGCTTAGCGATGTGAGTGGAAATTGATCTCGTCGGGAGACACTCCTGATGAGCAAGCAGCCTCTCCCCCTTGGGCTGTTGGACTTTTGAAAAAAGGTAAAATTGACTTCGCTTTTCTTCCATAAACCTACAAATACTTGGTATGTGATGGCCACTTAGCAAATTAGTGATCTTATGTCAAACTGGACACCTGGATAAGCACTTGCAGACTAAATTCTCCTGGGCATTCTTTGAGCATGTGATCTTATTTGCCTTTTGGAATTCAAACAAACCAACAAACAAAAAATCTGTCAGCATTCCGCCAGTGGAATATACATTTGGGAGAGATCATTGCATACGATCTCCATGAACCTGCTTAGGCCACCTGGTTAGTAGGCCTAACAAAACGTTAGACCACAGGTTAAGTGCTCGGCAGAAGACAATGAGTGATCTTTGTGGGGTTCCTAGGGAAAGTGTCCAATTCAACTCCTCCCATAACTGATTCTATTTTCCTGTCCCAAAGTTTCTGCAGCAAACAAACCAAAAAGCAGTATCTCCTTCTGGTACCTCTGTGTTCTCCACATGATACCCTAACACATAATTTGAAAATTTAATCTCTTGGAGAAAAATAATACCAGAGGCCCCTGACCTTTCCTACTGAAATGGACAACTCTTAACCCCCATGCCAGGCACTCTCTCCAGTACGGGTGGCTGGGAATCACTTTGCCTCATGAAGGGCAATGACAGGTGGAACTCTGGCAGGTCCTGCAAAATTATCAGATCTTCAAGGAGTTGAGTGAGAGGAGAGGCAACTATGCTAGTATCCCTCGAACGATGTATTTCTCTAGCATCGGCCGACAAGTATCTGGCAAAAGTACAGCAAATAAAGAGATTTTAGTCATGCCATGAGGACAGTATGGGAATTACTTCATTTACATAAATTCATGCTATTTGAGATGTACTGAGCTCTACAGCTCCTACAGACAGTGCTTTCTTGGGCTATCAGAAAGAGGCTTGTTGTTCCCACGGTAAAGCATCGCAGACACAGCTGGGGTCTGCTAAGCACTTTGTGCCCCAGGGAGTGAGGAGGAAAAATAGCAGGATGGAAGCAGCAATACCAGTAATAGTAGCCTCAGTGACACCAGGTCGGGGCCGAGGGACCACTTCTCTGGGAGGGGACCCAGGCTTCTCATACTTGATGATGTAACCAGTGATCCTGGCCCGGGGCGGCTGCCATGACACCAGCAAGGAGTTGGGTGTGGTGGCCAAGAAGCGCAGGTTGGATGGTGCATCGATGGCTAAAAGAAATCAAAAAGAAGTCTCTAGGAAAATGAATAACCAGGAAAATCACTCCCACACCGTTTTCCCAGTCCTTATTAACAGACTTGAGAGAATCTGAGAGCTCTGTAAGCTGTAAAAATGATTCACTCTGATCTTTAATACAAAATAGCAGCTTCATTTTTGTTTCTTCAGTGCACGTGACTGATCACATAGAAATCAGTGGCATTTCTTCAGTAGAAAGTCTACTTACCCGTGGAGGCGTCGATGATGACAGGGGAGCTCCGGGCATTGTCGTTCAGGGTGTACAAGTAGATCTTGTAGTCAGTGCCGGGCTGTAAACCTGGGATTTGTGAAGAGACAATTTTCATTTGATCTAGATTTACTAAGAGGTTTCAAACTCATTTGCAATTTTCATGGTTCCTCTATTCACCCATATTTATATGGACCACATAAGTGGTTCACATTTGAACAGTAAATGAGTGCATGGTATGGTAACTGCTAATGAGAAACACATCTCAAAAGAAAACCACTGATGCATACAAAGACACTGGCTAAAATCAATTTGAAAATACAAAAATGCTACACGAGAAGTGGTTCTCTTGGAGAATGAGGGGAGAGTGCCTATTGAGGGTTTTTTCCTTCATCATCATCAGATGGTCTTTGATTGGTAACTGCAATAAGAATTTTAAACTTCAAAGAGACCTGAATTAACCCAGATATTGAACATTCTCTGACTATAAATTTGACCTTTATGAATTTAGTGTTTGATTTTTTAGATTTAATTATGCTGTATAACCTATGCTAATGTCATACCATTTTAAGTTGTTTTTGGTTTTAAGCATTGTTACAATTTTTTTTATGTAAGAAAGGGTACATTGATTAAAAATCAAAATGACGAATGGAACATGCCATTTCTCTAACAAACACGAGATCAAATCAGGCATTCACAGGACAGAACTATTTCTGATCATGGTTTGGAAATAAGTTTTTAAAGAATAGAGCTGGGTTATCATAGACCACTGAAAATAAATTTAATCAGTGTAAGTGCTAGAATAGTAAGCTCATCTATGTGGTGAGTGGCAATGAACAAACGTGGTCCGCCCCGTGAGGTCCCCGACCTGTGATGGTGTAGCTCCTGATATCTGGACTGATGGTTCTCTGAACTGGAGTCTGGCCATTTCCTGGCATAGCTTCAACCAGGAAGCCAGTGATCGTCTCAGTCTTGGTTCTCCAGCTGATGGTGATGGTGGTCTCAGTAGCATCTGTCACACGAGCCCTTCTGGGAGGGCTGACATCTGCATGGGATCGTAGCCAGAGATTAGCGGCTGGCTGGCTCATAGAGACAGGGAGGTGAGATTTTAAAATGTTTCTTTATTATACACCAAATACATCCATTTCTACACACGACAATGTACGGATCTTCTCCTGTGGTGTCCAGAAAGGAAGGCCGACAGTAGTTAGAAATATAAAAATATTTACCTTTGGTTTTGAAGAACTAAAAAACACTTGTTATAGATACTACCAGTGGTTCCCAAGGCAGGTTTTATAGTATCTGCACATCTCTTGATAAATGTGAAATTATTAACTTATTAAAATGTAACTTATGTGTAGGAGGAGTTAGAACCATATGGCCAGCTAGCAATAATATATACATGTGCTGCTAGTATTTTGTCATTTTTTTAGGGCTTCATATTTTTTCTCTCAACAGATGAAACACCATCCCTTATTTTATAGATGAGGAAACTCTGACACTTTATATGATTTCTGAAGGAGCATACCATGAATTACTGATATGGCAGAAAACTAGAATCTGGGCCCAAATTTGTCCAAAACTACTGCACTGGTAAGATACGACAGAAGGCAGCATGTATTCCCCAAACTTAACTCTGTAAAATCAAATTCCAACAAGTAGAGAATAAACTAGATATTAGTCCTCATTCATAACATTAGCATTTTAACCTTACGAAATGATCCCATTTATGTGCCCACAGACCACTTCTGCGGGGAGGCGGTGCATAAAATGTGAGAGTAGTTAAATCAGAAAGGTGGATGAGCCATCAATCTCCGCGCTGGGAATCATTCCATTGTTAGCTTGGTGATCTAGAAAATCATTTACCATTCTTTAATTTTTATTTATACAGAATGTTTTTTTGATACTAAAGAGTTTCATGACTCACTCTCCAGAGTAGTGACAAATCCATAAGCTGGCCTGCTTGTCAAAGTGTCCTTAAGAGCATAGACACTCACTTCATATTTGGTGGCCACCTAGAAAGAGGGGCACAGAGAGCTTCATCAGTGGGAAGCCCCGGGGTTGTCACAACAACATTAGAAAAATGACATGGTTATAAAAGAAAATAAATAAATAAACTAACAAAACCTACAGCACTATAAATTCCTAGATTAATTTTGTTCCTACAATACAGGCAACCAATAACAAATTTAAATTAGGTGAACTTTAAAATGCCCTCAGAGGTTAAGCCCAAGTAAGCCATAACTTACATACTTACACTAAACTGGTACAAAATGAGGAAAATGGATATTAGCCTGGTTTTGTCCTTTATTAACTGACAGGTATAAGCCGTGAATTTTTCTGACCATAGGGAGGCAAAAAGAATTCTCTATGCTATCTCTGAACCCTCTTTCTGTAGTTTCTTCTGGAATTGGGCTTATGTTAAAACATACATCAGTCCCCTAGGTTCCCGGCTAGTTTTTCTGCATGAAGATCCAGAAGGATTAAATCTATTTTAATGAAGGGAAGGTCAGTCTGGATTGGTACAAACTGGAGAATATCCCTTGCCAAGGTAACAGCTTTCAGAAAATGCATAGTAACTACAGTAGATGTATGCATTCAGCCTGTGTATATATAAATTGCCCCTCCCCACACATAACCTTTAAAAATAGACAGAATACAAAAGAAATAATAAAATAAATAAAATAAACAGAATACATTTAGAGATCCGTACAACACCCATTTTTTTTTTATAAAAAATGGATATAAAATCACAGCGAAATTATTTGATGGCAGGGGCAAAGAATACAATTACACTTATTATATTATATTTCTGCCACCTTAAACTGTGTAAAAGATGCTCTACTTTTTATGCCAATGAAAAAGGGCACTTCTTACCATGAGCCCTGACACAACAACAGATGAGCTATCAGGAGAAAGGTTGATTTCTTTCATTGGTCCTGTCTTCTCCTTGGGGGTCACCCGCACCCGATAGCCAGTGAGCTGAATATTGGGTGCTGTCCACTGGGCAGTCAGGCTCGTTGGTGTAACCTGAGTGAACTTCAGGTTGGATGGTGCAGGAATGGCTGTCAAGATGGTCATTGGTTAGAGGTTATCTTACGGGAAACGGAGAAATGGAAACTAAAGTGAATTCCAAGAAGGAGACTAGATTGTGCTTGTTTTTGGTTAGGTGGGTTCCCTGATCAAAGATTCAGTACAAGAAAGTATAAGAAGGGATGCAAAATTAAGAAAACGTTTGCTGAAAAAAATGTTTCATAACCACCAATGCTCAGAATCACTGGAAATAAAGGTAAATGTCAGAATTCTAGAAGACTTCAGGTTTTAGAAGATGTTTTTGCTTTCCCTTAACATTTTTTTTTTTTAAAGTCAGAGTGACTTATTGGCCATTGAGACTGATTTTCCATTTATATGGAAAGATAAGCAGCAGCCCTTTTCCCATATAAATTGTCTTTGTATGAAAATCTATTTCACAAGGTATTCCTACCCCAAAAGTTAGAATTACGTTTTTATTCTCTTTATTTGGACCCCGTGGCAGATATCTCTGCTAAATTCGAAGTATTCTCTGTGGTGCAGCATAAGAAAATTGAATCATAACAGAAGCAGAAAAGAGAAGCAAAGAGCAATAACACAGACTGTCACCTCCAGGGTTTATGCTGTCACGAGGACACATCTTTAGCATTCCCCTGTGCTTCAGAAACAAAGCACAGGAAGATAAAGTATTGTGGAACGCATTTGCCCTATGTGTCTGATTCTCAATCCTTTAAGCAAATTATACACCACGCACACGACATCTAATTAGAGGAGGAAGGCCTTACCCACGAGTTCTCAGAACCATGCTGTTATGAACGGCCCATTTGGGGTTCCTTTTTTAGAGTAAGCTCTCGATGACAAACTTCTTTCCTTTATACGCAGCAAGTATAGCCACAGGGAGACATAACTTAGGAAATAATCCACAATTTCAGACTTATCTTCAAATGTCTCGCGTTTTGGCCTTGTTCAGAAGCCAAGCTACTCCAAAACGTCTATTAGACTTCCTCTAAATATCACCTAAACTTCATTGTTTAGTTCTATTCCTCTTAAAGAGGGCCTTTCCTTTTATTTCTCTTTTTTACCCCCTTACATGGGAATCAATAGCCTGATAAAGTATGACTCATTCAGCAGGGCATAAAGCCTCTGCTCCCATGAGCACCCAGTGGTGCAATTAACGATATACCTGTGTACTGGGTTCCAATCAGGGGCTGGCTCTCCATATCATCGTGCAAGGCAACCACACTGACTGTGTACTCAGAACCAGGCCTGAGGCCTTTCAGCTCTGCAGTGTCTTCTTCACCATCAGGTGCAGGGATTAGCTCATGGATTCCATCCTCAGGGCTTGAGTAGGTCACCCTGTACCTGGAAACTTGCCCCTGTGGGCTTTCCCAAGCAATTTTGATGGAATCGACATCCACATCAGTGAATGCCAGTCCTTTAGGGCGATCAATGTCTGTTAGGCAAATTAATGGTAAGAGGTTATGTGAAAAGCAAGTTGTGAAATAAGCATTTTTATAACGCGCAAAGCAGTTCGCAGATACCATTCTCTGATGAATTAAAGTCCAATTAACCCACTATTACACAGAAAATTACCTGATACTTCTTGAATGAAGTATTTTTGATTTAGAAAATATTTAATATCACATCACGTAATTAAAACAGGTGTACGTGAGATGCATAGGCACCCTGCAAAACATCCTCACAAAGAGGATTTACTTGCATTCATTTTAAGATATTCTACCAAAATTTGTTTCTGCAAATGCGATGTTAGTTTCAGAGACCAGAATTTTCTATACCTTGGAAGTGGTAAAGTTGATTTTCAATGTTACATTTACATTGCTATAAATCTTTCTTTAACTCTTCTTCCCTGCCCCGCCCCCTTTAAGTATTTACATTAAACACAGGTGCAGCCACAGTCCTGCAAATGCTGCAAACCTAATAGGGGCACACGAAATGCTTCCAATCAACTTTACCGTACGGTTGTAGAAAAGACGGTCCTGGCAAAATATTTTGTAGATTGTACTATTGGCAAATAAGATTTTGCTGAGGCCATTTGAGAAAAAGAAATTTAAAGCATAGCAACTAACTATAGTGGTTCCACAACTCCTTTCCCTATCTCTTCATTGCTTGGCACTGAGAAGGGAAAAAAAAAAAAAGTCTGTACAGGGCTCAACTCAACCTACAAACTAGCCAACAAGTTGGTTTTCCCCTCGTATAATCACAAACGACATGCAGAGGGCATTCAGACGCCTAAAAACAAGATCTGACTCTGAAAATGGAAACTAAGCACGGGTTACGTACTGGTTACTGCAGTCTGGACCAGAGGCTGACTCTCTTCATTTTGATTCTGAGCATAGACACTAACCACATACTCCATTGTGGGTTGCAAGCCTTCAATAGTCATTTCTGTTTGATCTGTAAAGAAAATAAAAAGCAAATGCAGCATCTATGTCATCCCCTGGAAGGTCGTCCAGTAAGGTTCAGACTTTGGGAGTAAATATGTGGGGGTCTAGATTTTCCTTGGCAGATTTATCAGGAAAATATGGACGAGTCAGACATGGATTTCCTCTTGGACAAACACATTCATTGCTAATACAAATTGTCATATTAGAATAAAGTCACACTAAAGGATAAGTACTCCATGGAGTCCTCTCTCTCTCTCTCCCCCCCCCCCACCTCCCCCCTCACGACTCCCCTAAGCTCCAAGGGTCCTTCTTTTGCCTCTGTAATTTGTTTCCTTAGCCCACATAGTCCTGCTGGCTCACTTTTTCCACCTCTGTGACTTTCTAAATAAATGTTCACTTGCATTTGAGGAAAAAAAAAGATATTGCCTTAGGATCCTAAGTGCACAAGTATTTTATATAAAAACAAAAACAAGAGCTAAAAGGATCTTTAAAAATCAGTTAGACCACCTCTCTCTTCTTGGTGTACATGGTAAACAAAACCACAAAGGTGCGTCTCATAATTTAAGATGCCCACACCATTAAATAGGACTGTGCATGTGAAAACAGAACTGTACTTATTCTAAAAATTCTGTGGAGGGAGTGACAATCTTGAGTCCTGGCTTCACAAATGGGGAAACTTTGACATAATGATATAAAAATACATAGTACTCAGAGGTAGGTGGCTATTTATTTAAAAAGCATACTGTATGGGCCTGCTCTGTTTTTCCTGGTGCATGTGCTGGCGATTCCTACCTGGACCCGTAGTTTTAGTTTTTGTTGGTCCCAGGCCATTTTTGGGAGTGGTGGTCACTCTGTAACCAGTAACAGGGGAACTTGAAGGCAGCCACCTGACACTGATGCTGTTGTCCTGAACATCAGTCACTTGCATCTGGGATGGTTTGTCAATTTCTATAAATAAAAACAAGGAGAAACCAATGAAGCCACAGTCCATGGAAACAAGACTGGACATGTCCTTGTACATAGTGGGTGATCTCCTACTATTATTAATGATCCCCATGTGTTTGTTTTGCAGAAAGAGAGAAAGCTTTTGGGAGGTGGGGCAAGCATCTCAATACTATGACATACTTTCAAGATGACTACTTCCTTCACAAAGAAACTACATTCTAACTAGGTGTTTCTCTTCTTACTTTATCATCTCACTCATCCATTTATTAACAAATATTTATGAAACACCTTCTGTCTGTCTCTATTGTAAGCATGTGGAACTACATCAATTAACAAAACAGACAAAAATCTCTGCCCTAAAGGGTATTTCTTTATACACCTGGTTCAAAACAAGGAGCTGCAGGCGTTCTTCAGCTCCTTAAAAAAGAAAGTCAATTTCACAGTGAAGAAACTTCCTTGGGAGAACACTGTACAAGCCATGTGAGCAAATGTGCCCGAGTCTTCCCAGGAGTCGCTACCTGTTCGGTAATCAATGGAAACTGGCTTGCTGCTCGCTGGGCTGTCCCCTCGGCCAGTGACAGCGTAAACGGTGATGGTGTAGTCTACTCCAGGTTTAAGGCCACTGATGGTAGCTGTCGACTTGCTCCCAGGCACCGTGAACTCCTGCAGGGGGCTATTTCCTCCTGTTTGAAAAGAAGTTAGTCAAAACCTGAGGGACTGACAGATACCTGGGAATTGCCAAGGAACTGAATTACCGTAGTGAGAGCAGCGTGTAAGTCATACATTTGCTTTTTCCCTTTACAAAAGTGCTACTAATATGGCTTGAAGAGAAATGAATATATTTATTTATGCATGTGGTAAACCTTGGTAAGTTTGTAAAAACAGGGAGAAAATTGCAGCTAATGATATTTTCACATTCCAGCTTTAAAAAATCAGAGTTGTAGATTAACATGAGAAGGAAGAAGAAGGTAAATCCTCAACCCAGGATTGCATAAACTGCGTTCCTTTTTCAGAATTTTCATAGAATATATTCATGTTAATAAAATTTCGAATATAGAGAAAAGTAAAAAGAAAAATATAAATCACTTATTATTTCACCACTGATAATATATAAGTGAATTCCCAATTTTTCCTCATATCTTCTGTTCTCCCTCTAGGATTATACAGACAACTTTTTCTCTTGATTTCACTACCAATTATACCATGCGTATTTTCCACATTTTCTTGGAAAAGACAAGACTTCGCTGAATGGTCTTGCCAAACTTTCTTTAATTATGTGTTCGCCGTTGGGCTTTCAGCTTACCCACAGTACAATCTGACTTGATTAGAGTGTGAAATAGCATTTTGCTAACGCACCTGTTTCTCCGTAGGTGATCCTATAATATCTCACTGTGACAGCAGGAGCTTCCCAGCTGATCAGCATGCTGGTGGGGGTCATGGCAACAACTTCCAGGTCCCTTGGAACGTCAGAAACTAGAAAAAGCCAAGGAAAATTGCTATGTCCGTAACTTTTAAACAATTCCCAGATTCACACGTCGTCCATTTTCCAGGTAATTATCTTTGAGATTTTAAAAATATAATAATGTAAATACTATACGAAGGTAGCAGAATTAAAAATGAGGAACAATTCAAGGTAAGGAGTTAAGGAGTCAATTCAAAATCTGATAAAATGATAACGTCAATTGAATGGTTTTTCCCCCCCTAAATGTTTTATTTTGAAAAATTTTAAAACAACAGTAAAGCTACACAAATAATATAATGAATTCCTATAGGTATTTGCTAATTGGTAACATTTGCCTCTCTCTCTCTCTCTCTCTCTCTCTCTCTCTCTTTCTGTCTTTTTGTTAATCCATTTGAGACTGGGGTACAGATATCAGGATAATGTTTCTCCCCCAAGTTCTTCAGCATCTATCTCCTAAGAACTCTGACACTATTACATTAAAATAGTTTTGTTTTCCAGGTAATTTTGAAGGAGTGTTTTCTATATTTTGAATAAAACTGTTGTTGTGAAAAATGCATAAATACCTAAACGAGGTGAGAAATTTCTTGGGATAAAAAGTATCTTCTTTAATATAATCTAAGAAGGAGATTTTTCTCCACATAGTCTCTCACTTCCCTCTCCATGTCTCATAGCCATGACGTACTTTTTAAGAGATCATGACTCATAGACAACACAAACTTATTTCACAGAAGATATCTATCACCTGCCTAGGAAAGTGCTCTGAGTTTCTTCGAAAACCAGAAAACGAGTTACCTGTTGATTGCTGGCCAACCAATGGGGGACTTTCCTCTCTGCCATTTAGTGCAACAATGCTGACCACATATTCTGTACCCGGGTTGAGGTTGCTGAGGGTGATGGAGTTCCGAGTCGGCGGCACTCGATCTTCTCGAGGTCGGCCACCTGTGTGCTCAGGATGATGGCGAATCCTGTAGCCAGTGATGGTGGCTCGAGGAGCAATCCAATGGACAGTGAAAGAGTTGGCAGTGATATCAGAAAAGTCAATGCCAGTTGGAGAATCGAGACCTGGTTTTCCCCACCCAGGGGAGAGAGAAGGAGAGGGGAGAAAAAAAAGACACCACCGGATAAGAAAGTGAGAAAATAAGGGAAAGTAACATACATTCAATGTTTCTGTTTCTTCATTAACACAATGAATTGCCATAAACCTCAGATTATGATGCACTAATTCTAAGCCACACATAAATTTCAAAATCATAAACTGACCTAGTTCAAAATGGACAACTCAAGCATTCTTTTCTTTTTTCTTTTGCTATAAGCAATCCAAGTGTCATTACAGTAGGCTTCTGGATCATATCTGAAGAATAGGTGTTTAAGATATTCTGGGAATTAATATTTTTAAATGCCTCAGTGTTCAGTTTCTGTCCCATAAGTTTATCTCTAAAAGTGAGAAGATCTTCTCACTCTCAAGCTAAGTGGCTCTCAAAAAAGCTTTCTACACTCACAAGAGAATTGATAGGTCAACGGGGGGAAAATGTTGCCAAATGCAAAACTTTTGAAAACTAAGACATTATTCTGGAAAAATTACAATGCAAGTAATTCCTCATGAATGGAGAATTTAGTGGAGTATAGAAAAATTAGCAAGAATTTGGAGTTTATCTCAAATTCAAACCATGTAACCACTCTGGGACTTCCAATACATTTCCATTCCAGTTATAACATTTACTTATTCTGTTCAATAATGTACTCAAACCAAATCATGATATCAAAACTCCTTTTGGGAAGTAAGTAGACTATAATAAATTAATGAATATTAAAAATTAAAAAATTAAAAGCACTCATCTTTAAGAAAGGACATCATATTATGGGCTTCAATTCAACTTTCTTTTCATAGTAAATGAAGATTCCATCAAGCAGAAAAAAGAGATAAACTTCTTGGCTTAGTAAAAGAGGGAAAATACTTCCAACAATGACAGTGTTGGGTCAGCCATTAGACAGAACCCCCTAATGAGAAGGAATGCTTACCATCCCTGAATAATAGACAACAAAGTTTCTGGACTAATTTCAGTCCTCTCTGGAAATGGAGAGGAGAATCTTAGAGACCGGAAGTCAGGGTAATAGTTGAATAAGGTGTCTTTTAATTTTCAAGACCAGTGATCAGAAAGTAATGACAAGGCTACCAGCACCATCATCCCCACCACAACAGATGGAGATGTATTTTTAGAAGTAGCATTCCGTTTTTGTTATTTAAAATTGGTAGGTGAACCCTCCTTGATAAGCATATTGCCAACATGACTCACCTGTTTTCTGTCTTCCTCTGAGAGGCGTGCTCTCGTGCTGTTCATAAACACTGGAGACGCTGACTACGTATTCTGTGCCAGGCAGGAGATCTGAAGAGGCAAGTGGAACTTACTTCAAAACTGTGCTTGAAAGCAGGAAACACCAAAGCTCCCCTGGGACTACTTCCACTTAAAAATATCCAAGAGTCAAGTCCTTTAGCCTACTTCCACCTAAGTGAGTGTGGCTACCTGGAGAAGGGCTAAGGAAAGGCCACCCTGCCCTGGAGCATCTTCAAACCTTGCCCTTGGTCTCCGCTCTATGCATGTTACTCAGCCTGATCTGCAATAAGATGGGGTTGCTGTAGCATAGCAATATTTCTATCATCCACTTAATAGAGAGTCTGTTGAGGTTATGTGATAATAATGACCGTGGCACTGTGGATTATCATTTATTCCTCAAAACAACCCAGTGAGGTGGTTGGCTACTTTTTTAAAGCAGCTGTACTGCCATATCAAACTGCACATATTTTAAATGTACATTTTGACAGGTTTTGATATATGCACACACTTGTGAAACCATCACCACATTCAAGACAATAAGCAGCTCTACTACCTCTAAAAGTTTTGGTTTACAATTTTTCCCACTTTACAGATGAGAAAACTGAGGCACAAAGCAGTTATCTTCTTTGATCTACTTGCCCAAGACTATACAGGAGTTGACCCAGGCCATGGCCAATGGTCTGACCAATTAACCTTTACTGGAAGAGTCATATTCCAAAAGGAAAGTGATTGGATCTGCCACATTAAGATGAGAGCAGAACACTGAAAAAAATTAAATATACATTCCTGGATAACCTCTCAGGTTGAGGAACCAACAAAGGCAGAGTAAGGTATCTAACCTTTGAACACCTACTCATTAAACCCCACCCCCCTCCCTATCATGGGCCCTCTGGCCTTCCTGCAGAGGCCCGGGCTGGCTGCCTGGACTCCACTTGCCTCCTTTTCCGCTTGGCCAGGGGCAACTTACTTAACCACTGGGCACCTCAGCTGCTTCATCTGTAAAACAGGGTAATGATGGCTACTCTGGGGGGAAGTGGCTACTCCAAGAAGTAGAGTGGGATCTAGAATAAGACCTTAGAACACATGATGGACGTGTGCCAGGTCTGTGGCTTAAGGTGGGCCAGAGAGCGGTCTTGAAGCCCAACTACTGATGCCGGAGTACTCCAGAACAGAGACAACTGGCCCACCGCTGGGCAGGTGTGGGGATGCTCCTGCCACTGGCCACGAAATGAGAAAGCAAAAGCGGTCATATGCTGAGCTGTCTCTCACTCTCTAAAATACATCTAAATGATGGAGAGTGTGTTCAGGCTGTCATTTGGGAATGGACCTAAATGGGAGCTGTCTATCCCTTGTGAAAATACTGAAAAGCAACATTGACTGGAAAGACAGCGCCATGTTACAGCCCACTTATGTTCTCTTTAATAAAGGATATCTATTTCAAAAGACTAGGAACTAGAAAGGGACGATTTCCATAAATTGTTGTTGTTGTTTATTTTAATGTCAGTTGTTTTCTAAGTTCTCAGCCTTCAGAGAAATCCTGCTAACAGATTCTTTTTGAAGTACAAATTAAACTGGCTCTCTCTTCAAAGGAGCATCCTGGTCTATCCTGAGTAACCAGTCACTGTGTCCATGTTTCCAAATGCTAACTAGATTCCCTGCTGACACTTGCTGGTCGGGGGAGAGAATAAAACAGTTATGGTGACATTGTTTTTAATCCTCATTTTCTCTCTGAACATTCAAATTTAGTCATATAATTTCTCTTGACATATATCATTTTTATGTGCTTATTTGGAAGTAGAACTTGTTTGAAGTCTTCCAACTTCATGGCTGGTATTTTTCCACCATGATTTTTTAAAAGTTGGAGATATCCAAGATGTATAAAAATATCGATAAGCATGACATCTTTCAGCATTTACAGAGCAGTAGGTCAGATTTGGAGTTTAGTTTGCAGTTCCATTGTAGTCTTGAGCTTATGTGCTCCTACCTGAGAAGACAGAATTCTTTCCCTTTGCTCTAGCTTAGTACCTATTGAACAGATACATTTGACCTCTTACTTGTTAAGACCACTGCGTTGTCTGATGGGGAAACTGACAACTCCGCCACATCTTCCTCATTTTTCACAGGTGAGTAGCGTACCAGGATGCTGGTCAATTCAATGGATGGAGGTGGGGCCCAGGTGATACGCATAGTGTCTGGACCAACATTGGTGAATCGCAGGTCAGTGGGAGGAGGTACAGCTGGTTTCAAATGAGAAGGAAGACTGTTAATGTCATTTTACAATGAAAGCTAACAAAAATAGCTGGAAATATAAAAACAATATTTCATGCATAAAGGAAACAAGTAATAATCATGCAAATAGTCTAATCTAAATCTAATCTAAATGAGAGTAAACTATAGTTGACCCTTGAACAAAACAGGTTTGAACAGCATGGGTCTAGGGGGATTTTCAAAAGTAAATACTGTAATGTATTTTCTGTTCTTTATGATTTTCTTATTTTCTTTCTCTAGCTTTCTTTACTGTAAGGATATTGCATATAATTTGTATAACATACAAAATATGTGTTCATCGACTGTTTATGTTATCAGTAAGGCTTCCGGTCAACAATAGGCTACAGTAATTAAGTTTTGGGGGAGTCAAAAGCTATACAAGGATTTTTGACGGTGTAGGTGGTCAGCACCCCAATCCCTATGTTGTTTAAGGGTCAATTGTACTGTTAAAAATAAAACACTACACCTGGTACTGTTAGGCCCCTTTAACCTTTCTGCCATCAATTTATCTTAATAATTTTAATTTATTTTCAAATATCTTGATCTTAAGAACATTATTAACACCACTGAAGATTATTCTATCCCAGGCTGAAGAGGCTCAAGTTGCCACACAGCAAAGAGAAACATAGCAGTACTTTCCAAAGAAACACATGCACACAGACAAAAAGACAAGAGGGTCCTAAATTTCCCCCTGACAGGAGGTGAATACTACTTCCATTCAGTAAATACTACTTACAAGTGAAGAGGGTTCATGCAAATTGGTTCTCAGCATGTTTCTTACCATGCAGGGCAGAGAACGTTTATAATGTTGCATGCTGGTCCCCAGACTGAGGTTAAAGAGGAGTTTCTTAACCATAACAGTGGAACTTAGAGTGCTCCAAAGTTTTTTTTTCCCCTTTATCTCCAAACAACCCTCCTTCCACCCTACTGTACACTTCAATGGATTTTTAGTCAGCTACAAAGAAGGGGCATGGTAGAGTTTATCAAAGAGTAAAAGGAAATGCATAATGATACATATTGGACATACACTTCTTATTAACTGGTGCTCATTATACAACTTGGCATTAGGGTTAGATCATTTTCAAACATTACAGGTCGGCAAATTCTATTAATCTTTGCCATTTTGTATTTAATAGATTAGCGATTTACATTTCTTTAGCCTTATACATATTTGCACTTTAAATGAAAGCACACTTAAGATTACTTGAGTATGTCTTCATCCAATTAGTTTAGCATCTGCATTGGTTTCCTATTCCTCAAATCACCCTCTCTTAATCTTTTGGCAAATTGCTGGCTTTTCCATTGAAACATCCACATTTAACCAGAGCAACTGGGGGCAGCATGCAACACCATCCGTGTCTCAAACACAGAAGTTTTCAAAATTCACCCGTTTGCTGTGTCAGTGTAGTAGGGGCACTCTCTCCGCCATTAATGAGAGTGATAACGCTGATGTCATAGTCAATGCCCGGCTCCAGCCCTGTCACTGTGTAGTATCCTACTGAGGAGTCCACAAAATCTTCAAAAATAGGGATACCTTCTCCTGCCGCAACTACTGTGATGCGGTACCCAATAATGGTGGAAGAGTTTAGCGGGGTCCACCTCAGGCCGATGCTTGAATCGGTTATATCAACAAAGCTTAGGTCAGTGAGTTGGGGCACCTCTATTGAGTTACAAAGCAAAGGGGGGGGGGGCAAAAGAAAAATAGAGGCAAAAAAGAGGAAAAAAATAAAGCAGTGTACATCAGGTTACTAGTAGTAAAATTGATGGAATGTGAAAGCAATGATGGTAATATGCAATCTGCCCCAAGTTATCTGAAAGACTGTCTGAGCATCATGACTAGTTTGCTTCCCTGGGAGAATCAAACAGGTTACAATATTCTTAGGGATTTTCTTGCATTTTGAAAATGTCTCTAGGCAGTACAGTTTGAACCTCTCGGGTTCCTAAAAATTATAGGCCTGTTTAGGATGTCAAAACCATTTCTAGGATCCAGACATATTATCTGTAGGAAGTATCAGCAATGTTTAAAAAAAAATCCTACTTTTTTTAGTAGGAAAATAAAGCTTACATGAAGATGATTTTTTAAAAATTGGTTGATGAGTTTTTTCCTTTTCTTTCCCCATACAAAAACTCATGACAACATATGGTCATAATGCTGACGCATTATGAATATATGATGTGAAATGTGCCATCTAAAAGCATATCCAGGTGGAAGACAGCTCTGAGTCCAAGGCCGCTGCCAATATTTGGTTTAATTCATAATCAAAGTTATCTAATTAGCATTACTAAAAGCATTCTACCAAAGAGTGCAAAGGGGAACACAATCTGTCTGCTTTCCTTCTGTCACAATCCAGTTTTGGACAAACAACAAACCTATCCCTGGATTGGTCTTTTTAGTGCTGTGTTTCAGTCCATAAGAAAGAAATCTCTGAAGGTGTGGTCTTTCTGTTTCTTTCTTTTCAATTTTAAAAAAGAAGGATTTGAAACAACCGGATGAAGAATTGGATGTATTAATCGAGTGCTATTTCAGTGCTCACATACAGAGACAGGTACTCTTTTATAGACAGCAGTTGAAAATTGGACTGTGAAACCAGGCACAAATGTACTGATGGGATGCATTTACCATATTACTTTTAGCCTGTCAGTACTGAGTACAGACACGTGACATCGCTTAGTACTATTTCCACGTGAGCAGACATTCAGAGTTAGCAGACATTCATGGTTGCCACTCCGTTACATACTCATCGCAACAGACAACATCCCAGTGAAGCACAGACAGTAAGCAGTGTTAAAGCAAGCATTTGTCCAAATAGTTGCTTTGACTTCATGGTTTTGAAGTATGTTTGGAGGTCAGAATTAAATCCCAACTATATTTGACAGACTCAACCATCTGGGGATTAAGATGTTAATCCCCACTCTTACTGAAACTGCCATTCTGAGGATAACAGCTTATTTTTCCATTACCTGGGATGATGGTATCAGAGATAGGGACACTTTCCTTGTCATCTTTGACAGTGTAAACACTGACATTGTACTCCAGGCCAGGATTCAGGTTTTCAAAAGTGCAGGAACTCTGATCCGCACCGACCACTTCTTCCAAAGAATATCCCTCCTGGCCATTTGTCGGGGTGGTGGTAATTCTATAACCAGTAATGTCTGCAGCAAACAGAAAGGCAGAAGTTACTGAATGGTGGGTTTGCAACCCAGAGCATTTTAACGCAGACCCCAGTGATAAACCCACAAAGGCTAATGGGGAAAGGACTTGGCATTGATCAAGGACTCTTCTATTATTAGTGCTTACGACAACCCTTTGAGGCAGGAATTAATATTCTTGGTTTAAAGAAAATCTCGTAACAGGGAAGTGATTAGCAAAGGCTTTCCTGTCTTGAAATTCCATGATCCTTCTACCACTGTACCCTGATTTTCCATAACGGGTCATCTGCACGACACCTGAGGAATATTCCATTTTATCTGTTAGCAGGCAATGGCTCCCAGCCACAGCATCATTCCCTGAAGTGGGCTACCCTAACATACAGAGCCTGAACCTATGGATTTACAGGAAGGGAAAAGAAAAGGAGAAAAAGTGTGGGGGGGGAAGGGGCAGGGGGGAGTGGCTATACTTATTCTAGAGAAAAAATATTAATTGATAAATATTTCAGGAATCATAGAAATTAGGCAGTAAGAAGGTTGAAGAGGAGGAGACATTCAAATGAAAACAGTAATGACTAGATGTCTCCAGGGGCAGACTAAAGTAAATGAGGAAGTATATTTAAGTTAAACTTACTAAAGGGCAAGGGAAAGGTGGCGTATTTTGTCATTAGAAACAGGGTGAAAACTAAAGCAGCACAGACAAGGAAATCCAACTAGATGGGAGATAAATGTTGAGGTCATTACATTTGCTAGCAATCATCCAGATAGGCAGGCCAGGCTACCCATTAAGATGAAATATTAAAGATCTAGATTTCAGCAAGCATGAAATTTGCCAACTTAGTTTCAAATTCAGAGTCATTTGGCTGGAAATAGTATAACTTAGGCTTAAGCAATGTGTCCAGATCTTGAAAACTTCACCAAAATCACTCTACTTCAGAGAGGGGTTATAAAGAATATTTTGGCCCTGGATGGTGTGACTCAGTGGACTGAGTGTTGGCCTCCAGACCAAAAGGCTGCCAGTTCAATTACCGGTCAGGGCACACGCCTGGGTTGTGCACCAGGTCCCCAGTTGGGGATGGAAAGAGGCTACTGAGCAATGTTTTTCTCCCTCTGTTTCTCCCTCCTTTCCCCTCTCTCTAAACATAAATAAATAAAATATTTTTAAGGAAAGGTTATTTTGAGCTAGTTTTATTCTGTGCAACTGCATACAGTGATCAGATAATTAGAGGTAATTTTCTTAGTTTTATGCCTGAGCAAAGGTAAGAACTATTTTTAAAATTACACTGAAATTAGAATTAGTGAAATAATAAATTAAATGTAGACCTCAAAGTAAGAAGTACAACAGTTATGGATGAAATCAATGTGAATTGGAACTCCATTTTTAATTTAGGATTTTCTCAATTATGAGCGTCCTGATTATCTCAGTAGTGATTCTTCCAAAATAACCAATATTAAATAATATAATTATATTTTAGCTAACCATTTCTCATTTAAAGAGACTTTCATATAGGCTTGGCCAGGGCGAGGAATATCAAGTTTCTCCTGTCATGGTCCCAGGACACCACCCTACCTGACCGTTGCTATGGCTAACGTTAATCGTTTTTGAATTCTATAAATTTCAATATGTGTGAACATGGAGTTTAGACAAAAGCTACATTTAAAGCTTTAAAGATGGTCATGGAACTTCATGTAAGCAAATTGCTCAGTACTGAATATAGGTAAAAAACACAGAATTAAGTTCCAAATACAGTACATGATGCTGGGTGTGAGAAGGAGTCTGAAAAACTTTCACTACAATCCCAACGGTGTAACATTTAAAATCTGTGACTGTGGGTGGGTCAGTTTTTTTCTGAGTCTGTTTTTTCAGTCTGTAAAATGGACAATTTCCACCTTCCATTACCCTTAAATTTGTGGGGTGCCACTCATGATAAAACATATGTGAAACTTCACTGAATTATAAACATAGAATCTATGATAAGTCACAAAGAAAAATTACAGCCCTGGTTGGTATGATTCAGTGGCTTGAGTGTCAGCCTGAGAACCAAAGGGTCACTGGTTTGATTCCCAGTCAGGGCTCATGCCTGGGTTGCAGGCTGGGTCCCCATCAGGGGGCACATGAGAGGCAACCACACATTGATGTTTCTCTCCCTTTCCCTCTCTCTAAAAATAAATAAATAAAATCTTTAAAAAAAGAAAAAAAAGAAAAATTACATAGTATGGTTTCATCCATTTGTTTGGCAATTTTGAATGCCACTGAGCAAAAGCCACCTTCCAGAACCCTCTCCTCAGCCCTCACAACTCCCTATAGCTCCATAAAGCTCTGCCTTGTTCTCTTCCCTGTGATTTAAACAAACAGGCAGTGAAACACCATACCTATCACTCCATGACGTTCACTCATGTCCTCCTGTATTTTTTATGGAGGGATAGGTACTCATCATTTTAAACCTATATTTCTCTGACAGCAACAGTTTCTAACACCTTTGTCTCAGAAAGGTATTATACACACGTGACCTTGGATATATCACAGGCTTACCTGGGGTGGTGCTCCTTACCCACGAGACTGTAAGCACTCCCGTGTCAGGGTTTGCCTCCAGGTGCAAGTTGGTTGGTGGAGACAACGCTATGTGGAAAAAAATTGTAAATTAAAAGTTAACACTGACACAAAACACTTGACCCATGGAATGTTTCCCGCCTTCCATGTTTTCTGCCTTCCTTCCTTTCAATCTTTTTGAAAGAATTAGTAAAAACATAGAAGTTGTATTATGAAACCACGGTGGAGAGCAATTCTCTGAAATTTTTTATGATCAGTGATTTTACAGTATTACTGAAATTCTTTCCGTTTTGCCAGTTCATAAATATTCTTGACATGGAAAGAATACTTCTGATGACATGGAATATACAACATGAATCGAACTTGCTACTTAAAATTTACAAATAGCTAATAATATGAGTAGGGGTGACTCTTTCCCCTGTGCCGTTATCATAAGTAAAAATGATAATGATATCAGCTATTCTTTGGAAGTGGAACAGTTAAAAAAAAACAAACAAAAAAAACAGCAAAGAGCTTCTCTTACGTGTCACCACTTTGTTGACGATGGGTGTACCTCTCTCCTGCCCATCTCTGAGGACTGTAATGGTATACACATATTCCACACCTGGAGTCAGGCCAGACACAACAATGCTTCCCGAGTCTGAAGTCACTTCTCGCGGTGCTTCCCCTCCCTGGCTTGGCCGTACACCCAGCTAGAGGAAGGAAAGCAAAATAAACACCAAGGACAAATATTTCCAGAGCTCGGTTACTGTTGAGGGGTTGTGGTTATGTTTCATAGAATATGGATGCCTCAGGCCCTGGCTGGTGTGGCTCAGTGGGTTGAACACCAGCCTGCAAACTGAAGGGTCACGGGTTCGATTCCTAGACAGGGCATATGCCTGGGTCGTGCGCCAGGTCCCCAGTAGGGGGCTTGCAAGAAGAAACCACACATTGATGTTTCTCTCCCCCTCTCTCCCTCCCTTCCCCTCTGTCTAAAAATAAATAAATAAAATCTTTAAAAAAAAAAAAAGAATATGGACTCCTTGGGAACTGCACAATGTGCTTTCACTGGGGAATGCACTGGAGCCTTACTTTTGCTCTATTAGACACTTCAGCTGAAGATTCTCTGTCCTGGGGGCTTGGAGTGGGGGAGGTATCTTCCAAAACTGCACAAAGGTGGTAGTAATGAAAACTTCTAGGGGACTGTCATTACCTACCATTTTGTGTAATAAATCATCTCCCCGTACAAACCATAAATACACGGGGGCTTTCAGCCACACGGAAGTTCATTACTATCTTCACTGAAAGAAATCCCTTCGCTCTCTCTTTAGTAAGTTATTAATATTCAGTTCACCTCTTAGTTGCCATTTAGGATACTAGCCTCTGTAACACTTTGTGCTGCAAAAATACTCCTTTTGAAGAATTATGTTCATAGCTTCAACTGCAGAATATGTTACAAAAGAGTTAAAATGAATGTGCCCATAATTTTAAACCCTTTTAAGAGTTTCTTTCAAAAACCTAATGTTATTATCGATGTTCAACTCTATAGACATCCTTTATATTTTTTTAATTAATTTATTTATTTTTTCAAATACATTTGTCTCCGCTTTACCCCCACCACTTTCCCCCGCCCCCCTACCCCCTCTCCCTCCCTCAATCCTTACCCACTTTGGCTTTGTCCATGAGACCTTGCTATATATGTTCCTTGACTTGCTCCTTCTCTTCCTCCCCCCCCCCACCTACCCCTCCCTCCTTCCCTTTTATCTCTGTTGGTTTCTTTTGATCTCACCTATAAGCAGAACCTAACCAACAAAACAAAGATGCAAGCAAAATAAGACCTTTGTGTGATATAAAGCTTCTGGAAGTCAGAATGAAACTATTAAGGAAAATGTAAAAGGTATACTAGCATAATCATCAATATGATTATTTGCACACCTCAAAGACATGAACTTTGATGTATTTTTCTAAACAAATAATCATGGGGATTTGGTTTTGATTTCCAATAAATATTTCTCTCTATATGCTCTAAGTGCCAAAAAAAAATTGTTTTAAAAATATTCATTTGTGTTCATTGCTTCTCAAATATCATCCCGTTAAAGGACACAAATCTATATATCTACAGGGAAGACCTTAATCTTAACTTATATTAAGCAATTGACCCATGGGGGTTTTAAACAAGTTGAGATGAAACCAATGGGATAAAAATGTGATTTTTAAGTCACTCTGAGTTTAATCCATCTCCCCAAATGGGCTTTCATGAACTTGGTAACACCCATTTAGAACACCACATCAGATGGGGTTTCCTTTATATTTTTAAATGCCTTTCCCTGGGGCAAAGGATAGAGAAATGAAGATAACAACAGCTAACAGTTCCATGCTAATGCTTTGTCTTTTGCAAAGCACTTTCTCCCCCTGCATCCATCCTTCCAGCCATTCAGCGAGGCAGAGGCATTCTTATGCCCTGACACTGTGATCAGAGAAGTAGGAACAGGAGCAAGTAACAAAACCCAGATTCCCAGACTTCTGAACTTCTTGTTCCTACCACGTCTAGAAATGTGAGAGCACCTCAGGGCTGTATCACAAGACGTTAGGAACATCTGTGACTTACCTTAAAACCAATCCTCGGGGCAGGCGTCCATGTAATCACAATGGTGGTCTCGGTCACCTCCGTGTTGTAAGGCGGAACGGAGCCTCTGGGCTGCACTGTGAAATAGGATCGATGCACGCGTCAAAACCCTGGCATCACCGATGGTTGCACAGAACGCAGAAAAATGAGTGTTTTTATCAAGAACCTCTGTCTCATCAGTTAGTGGATCCAGAAGGCAACATATATCCCTTCACTGGATGAGGGGTTTGGAGCAGGTCAGGGCTGCTCAGTCGTTCATGTGCTACCCAAACCACCTGTGACCTGGCTAATATGGAAGTTTATGTCATTTCATCGGAGTTGGGATTTGAGTTTATAGCATTAGTATGCAAAACTGGTCACTACCAACTAATTACCATTCTACCTCTAAATCATTAACTTGAGAACAGTGGTTAAATTTTATATGGTGATCTAAAAATAGTTTTATGCTGAATTACTCCATGATGATGGTCAATTATTTTTGGTTGCAATAAGGGATACCATATGAAAGTTAAACAAAATTGGCCATCATGGATATACTTATAAATTTTAGAGTTTTTCTGAAAATATGTGAGTATTCATTCAGAACAACAATACTGCAGAAATGTAATGCTGCACTGGAATCAGGAATTGTAACAAAAGCTTACTCACATATTCTAGCATCTTGACACCACTGTCGTTTTTCTTAGTGAAACTATTACTTTAAAAAATAATTTAAAAAAGATAAAGAGTAGGTATACAGAAAGTTAGGACATATGTTTACAATAATCCTACAAATCTTACTATAAATTTAGAATTTCTAAAATATAATTGGTTGAGCAACTGCATCTTGTAATAAGGAGAATAAGCATTTCAATAACTGGCTGCTGTGGGGAAGGCAAGGCCTCAGAAGCCAAGATATTTGAGTAGGCTCATCAAATTCAAGGATTTCAAGTGCATTGCTGGTCCTGGTCCCATGTTTGGGGCTTTCACAATTGTTTCCTCTTTACATCCCAACCAAATTCTGTGCCTTCTGGGGGGAAAAAACTATTGAATGTATTTACTGTAAATTATAAGTGGCTAGTGAGATAAAGAATTACCTTCCAGAGTTATATAAATGAGGACTGAAGTCTGAAGACTCCAGTCTCTACTCAGTCCAGTCAATTGTTTTAATTTTGTCATGTGGGAATTCAGACCCAATATTGCAATTCTTTCTTCTCTTTTATTTCTTTAATTCTCTTTTTTTTTTTTAATATTTTTTAGCCTGGCCTTTAATGAGCAATTAAAAATTTTTTTCAATGTTGTGTGGGAAAAAATAAACTACGTGTGTGGGCCACTTTGTAATGACCGTTATAATGGTTCACTACTGGTTTAGTGAGCTGGTTTCTAAGTATGTTATTATTTTGATGGCATTTGGGGGTGGGGGTAGACTGGAATGGGTGAGCCGTGATGTCTTCCAGTGTCTCTGAAATCTTACACCACTTGGCTGCTGCTGACTTTGCCAAAATGCCATGGCTAGTCCTGTGTGACTATGTTAATGGCCACAAGAAACAATTCAGTAAGCAGTCAGCTTCTTTCACTGCATCTGCGAAAGCCCCGACTTTTTCAAATTATATTCTCCTCAACAGTCTTGGTCTTGAAGATGGAGTATTTTCTATTGCTTGAGCCAGCTAGCCAGAACCTTTTTGAGTTTGAGATGAAGCCCTCTGCCTGGGAAGACCATTACAGGAAAACCTCCAAACCACAAACCCACAAACTGATGTCAAACAAAGGATGTGACTGTTAAGTATGAGCCATTGGTTCTGGCAGGTCTTGTCAGGTGAAGAGCAGCCTGGCTGTTAAAGAAATAAAATTTACCCAATTTATGAAGGAGTAAACTGAATTTCCCTCAGAGATGCCTCCCCCACACCTCTACAGTTGCTCTTAAGAATTTAGGACAAGTTACAAAACACAGCAAAGTTATTCCCAGAATTCAGCTTAGTAAGACAGTAAAAAGCTACAGAAACTTAAAGTAATTTCAAAAATATGCAAGCCCCACTGATGTTTATAGCCTCAGACAGTACTGGACGTTCAACAAAAGTTGCAGAACTCCCTGCTTACATAGGTTTATTTAAATCTAAGCTTGTCTGAGCTGTTTTCATTATCATTCTTTCCTCAGTCGATCATCTATTAAGTATTGTTTTAGAAATACTATGTGCAAGGCACTATGATAACCTCTAGCTAGTAAAATTAGTTTTGATTATCAGCACTTGAATTCAAATATAGTTATGTTTTATATAAATATATAATAAAATAACATGTCCCATATACCAAAGTCTCCCAGTACTTAAAATTGCCCCTATTAGCCCACCTTGCTCTACTTAATTATTGTTAGTATCATTAAAAATTCTTTTTCTTTTATAGGCACTATATCCAGCAAAAGAGCCCGTATCTTATATGTAGGAATAAAAAAGATAACTCCATACACCAAATTTAAATGGAAGTAAATTTTTGGTAAATTACAAATTCCTACAGGGAAAAATTTATAGACAATTTCTTTGGGAAATAAATTCCATAGTTGTTTTTGAACTAAGCTTATATTCACTTGTCGAATGCTTTCTAACATCTATATTGTTAGTCAGAGTAAGGTTTGTAGAAAGTTTTTAGAAAATTGCAAACTAGTCAGAGTTGCATATATATATATATATATATAAAAATATATATATAATATGTATTTTATATATATAATATATATATGTGTGTGCTTGAAAAGTGTTGTTAGGTGCATCTATAACTCAAAATGTCAAGTTAAAAATAAATAATACCCAGCTAGAAATAAAGGGTCTCATAATTCTTTATAATCTAAATGAGAGTATATTTAGTAGAAGTCAGTTAATGAAGACAAGCGTTTAGTGTAGTGTAGATATGCAAGAGATTTAAGGCCACTTCCTGTAAAATGGTGAGCAAAAGGACAGACATGACCAAAAGTTACTGTCAGTATTTTCCTTCTATGGAATTTCAAGAGAAATTTAAGATTACATTTAAAAAAAATTATCCTGTTTTGCAGCAGAATAACACTTGTAAAGAAACCATTTTCTTAGCTTCTTGTTCCATTGGTGTGTGTTCAATCAGTAAATGTTTTTATTCTATACTTACTGCTATTATCCGATACCCAAAGTATTAGAATGTACGCATGGGTGCCAATTTTTTCTTGCCTTAACTAGTATTTGGTGGATTCATTTAATACATTAGGATTCAATTTTTAAATAACTGGGTGCTTCAAACCGTGTTACTCAAAGTGTTAGTCCCAGAGCAAATAAAGAGCTTGGCAACATATATAATTTAACGCACTGCTTCTTTCATCAAGAAAATTTTGCTTCCAAAAATTATTAACTGGATGAAACAGTGTGCTTCCTGATTTACATTCCAGCACAAGCTCCTTATCGCCCTGTAACAAACAGCTCATGGACCACACTATAAGATGCACTGTTTTAAATCTTTAAAAAATTTTTTACAATTTATTTCTTACTTAAATCTTATACTAAGTCTTTTAAGTTAACAAAAAAAAAAAATGGATGAAGACCAGAGAACGTAACTATAGGTGAGAACCGACAACCTCACTAAGAACAGACATTGAACTTGGCTTACGTGTGGTGAAGACTCCAGTGGCCCTCGGGCTCTGCTGGTTGCCTTTCACAGCCACGAGGGTGGCGGTGTACTCAGACCCAGGCTGCAGATTCCTCAGCGGGTACTGTGAGGAGGAGGGCCCCACGTTGTACTGCTTGGGCTGGCCTCCCCGGGTCAGGCCCACGGTCAGCCGGTACCCGGCTATCCGGGCTCGAGGAGGAGTCCAGGTCACTATCACGCTCGAGTCCGTTTCATTCATAAACTGGAGGTTAGTGGGAGCATCCAATTCTAGAAAAAAGGGTAAAATACATCAAGAAGTTTTGAACCTCAGTAATTATCATACTGAAATTCTAAAGTCTGACTGAGTTTGCTCAAGTTTTCTTAAGGTTGAAACAATATATGTCACAATGTTGGAAATAGTAAGCCATGAGGAGATTGAGTGCTACACAGAACTTTGTAAAACTCTGTGTCAGTCAGGAGAAATTGCTGACCTTTTTTGCTTGGTTATGATTCTGTGGAAAATCTAATTGTCCAGCATGCCTTTCTCATTACCCTCTTGGATGATACCAACACTATAGAGATGGCATTTAAAAACAAAAAAAAACAAAAAAAATTGTAAATATCACAAATTACTTTGCTAGGCCAAACAAGTTTAGAAAAAAGAGAAAATAAGCCCACAAAAATGAGGGCAAAAGAAAACTCCACATGGAGCAAAATGAGTACATCCAGCATTTATTGAATAAATAGTCTTTGGATGGAGAAATAAAAGTAATTTTCACATGATTCTGATTAGACAATAATTATAATAATTATACTCAGAACTTCAGAATCATGGTGGGACACTGGAGAAAGAATCACGTAAATCGTGAGTTTTCTTCTTGAGTTTGATAACTAGCAGTTAAACCGCAGTGATTTAAAACACTTCTGAGAGACAGAAAATGTTTATGAGGCAGTTAGGTATAATAATTGGAAGCATGAACTTGGGAGTCAAGAAGACATAGGTCAATATGCCCAGCTCCATCACTCCCGAGACCTGTGAACTCACAAGCTGTAGAATTTTTTTATAAGCCTCAGTTTCTGCACGTACCCAATAGGGACAACAATGAGACTCCCTTCATTAGGTCAACACAAGGATTAATATGATGATACTGCTTATAAAGCACTGAGCAGAGCACCTAGAGCTTAGCAGTTCCTATTTGTAAATATTTCTACTATAAAAGTGTTACGAACTTATATCTGAAGATTGATCGAGATACATTTATTTACACAAAAGTGCACTCAAAGTTTCAGTCTGTGCCTCCTTTAGCAAGGAAAATTAGGTTGTCTTAAATTCCCCTCTCCTAATGCCGTTCCACTGGTACATGTATTTGGGAATAGAGTTAGCATTTAGCACCCATGTCTGAGTTGTGTTTTCAAGTTTAATGTGCTCTGTGTCCACTGTACTATCCTCATTGGCCGAGAACTGTCCTCTTACGGTAGACAAAGGAGTAAACGGAGTACTGCACACACGTCCCAGCTTGGCAGTGAGGGTGGAGAACTAGAGGGGAAGCAAGGTCGGGAGCGAGACTTACTAGTTGTCTGTTGTCCCACTAGAGGCTTGCTCTCCCTCCCGTGGTTCACGGCGAAGACTTTGAAGTAGTAAGTGACCCCTGGGGACAGCCCAATGACTTCTGCAAAGGGGCTCCTGCTGATGGGCAGCCGCTGCCCGTGTTCTCCAGGCAGGTTGACAGGGATCACGTCCACACGGTAACCAGTCACAGCACCCTCCGGGGCTGTCCACATGATGGTGATCTTCACGTCTGTCACCTCCACAAACTGCAGGTCCCGGGGAGGGAGAACTTTATCTAACAGACAAGAGTCAGCTGGTCATTCACCACCCCTGCTGAAGAGAGTTTTAAAAAAGCCCGTCTCCTGGATTGTCTAAGGCAGTTCATAGAGCCCCTTATTCCGGGGCAGTGCTAAGTCTCATCTCCCCACCAGAGAATATGCTTTTTTTTTTTTTTTTGCTTATTTTCATGGTTCAGTCACACAGCTTACACATGACATTTGAAGGTTTTATTTAAAATATAGGTAAGCAGATGGGGTTCCAACATATGAAGGGTCCTACCAAGGAGTTTAAAATAAACATACAAAAAGGTATTGAGCCCTGGCTGGTGTGGCTCAGTGGACTGAGTGCCAGCCCATGAACCAAAGGGTTGCTGGTTGGAGTCCCAGTCAGGGCACAGGCCTGGGTTGCAGGCCAGGTCCCCTGTAGGAGGCGTGTGAGAGGCAACCACACATTGATGTTTCTCTCCCCCTCTTTCTCCATCCCTTCCTCTCTTTCTAAAAATAAATAAATAAAGTCTTTTTAAAAAAGGCATTGAGACAACAGAAAAATATGCGGCAATTTTCATTTTACTGAAATCATTTTGTAATACCTAAGAGCAATAGAAGGACTGAACATTAAATTTCTAGGGAAAAATACGAAGATTTTATGGTGTCGCTTTTTAATCAGGAAAGCCAATAGCCAGCTTTGGTGTTATTTTATAATGAGGACATTTCAGCCAAATTTCATAAATTCAGGAATAAACTTATCTATTAGATTATTAGCATACAGGAACTGTTGACAGAGATAAAACAGCTCCCCCACAGAGACAAATATTCCTTCTTCTTCTCTTCCTCCTCGGTAGGCTAAACACATGACCATAATTCAAGGATTGTCTTGTTTCTCTAACACAGTGATTTTCAACCAGTATGCCGCTGCAATTTTTAACATGCAATACCTGACTATTTAGTCAGGGCACTGACCTGTTCTCCCTTAGATTGTCAAATTAAAAAAAAAAAAAAGACAACAGCCAACACAGCAATAGCTATCTGGAGTGAATGAATCTAAATTACACCTCTCTTTTGTCAGATTGGCAAAAAATATATTCTTTGATGTGTTGCAGGATTTTAGTAGTTTATGTGTGCCATGAGATGCAAAAGGCTGAAATTCAGCACTCTAACAAAACAAGAGTTAAAGCTGTTACCTTGTTAGCCCTAACAGATAAGATAGTGTAGGTAGTGTCTTTAAGTTACCTGGACGAGGGACACCGGTAGTTTCCTGTTGGATGAAAACAGGAGTACTCTCTTGATTTTCTTCCACAGCATAGATAGTGATATTATACTGAACGCCAGGTTGCAAGTCACTGAGAGTGACAGAGTTAGCAGTCTCAGGAAGGTTGAGCTCTGTGCTGCTACCTTCTACTGATGGTGAATACACAATTCTGTATCCTGCAGATTCATGAAGAAAAAAGTTAGCCATGCTGTTTTATGAAACAGGGGCATAAAGCATCATAGCCGTCAACATCTTGCTTGAGTAGTTAAGATGTAGTGATTCTTGAAAAGTTGACTTTTTTGATGCTGCCATTTCTTTTAAGGAGCATTCAGTACAGAGATAAGCTAAGAACAGCCATGCAAACTGTTTTGATAATAAATATTATTTTTGAAGACCTGAGATCCTTAATAAAGGCTTATCAGAGAAGCCATGAGGTGAAAATAAATATTCAGGTGAAACTGGGATCTTTTCTTTGAGCTCTGCATGATGGAAGCAATCCAAGCACCAGCCTGGGCACTGAGTCACTGAGGGCTGACTGTACCTTTTAGGAACTTCAGAGACAGTGGGGACACCAACGAGCTAAGTATGGAAGCCACTCAGCTACCCCTTTTAGTATAAGCCTTACCGCAAGATTTTTCAGAAACATTATCCTCCTTGTACTACAGGAATGCCTGATTCCATAAATCAATGCACCTCCTTTAGAGAGTTTTTGTGTGTCGGGGTTGATAAAATGTATTTGAGGGGGAAATGACCCATAAGAAAATAGAGCTCTAAGACCTGAAAATAATCGCATTCTTAATTACTACCTCACCCACTCTTTCTCACACGCACAGGCACGTGCGCATGTACTCCACTCTAACCTAGACTAACACGTATGTAGGAGATCTCAGCGATACACTGGTCCTCAGATCAGAATCTGCTCCCTCGGCCTCTATGCCATCAAGATTAGCATGACAGCCCAGAAGCTGAGCTGACCTGTGATGGGGGCTTGGGGCCTGCTCCAGCGAACAACAATTGAGGTGTCATCAACTTGGTCCACGGTGGGATTAGGAGGGGCATCAGGTGCTAACAAAGAAAACAAAGGAACAAGGAAAGCAGTCAGAAACTACTACTGTAGGTCTGTTTTACAAAAACAATGAAAAAGATTAATTGATACCAGGTGGTACACATGTACCTGTTGTCTGCGAAGTAGACAGGACCAAACTCTTCTCTCCTTCTTCAGATATCTGATAGACCTTTACAATGTATTTGCGGCCAGGAAGCAGGTCAGGGATATTCACAGAAGTGGCTGTGCTTGGAAGATCTTTGAAATAAAAAGTGAAGGTTACTAATCTGGCATACCAGTCCCTTAAATGACTTCACAACCTATGAGAAAGAGACTTTAAAAACAATATATTCATGTAGGGCGGGGAGAAGACTGGAAGGAAATGTACTAAGGGATACTCAAAAATTGTCAATGGGCAATGGGATCATTTTTCTTCCTGTTTTTCATTTTTCAAATTTGTCCTCTGAAGATGCATAATTTTCATAATCCACCCTTAATTTTGTAACCATAGTCCTCTTGTAAACATTGTTCCTCTATAGCCCATTGTAAACAAAGTAACTAGAAATCAGAGTAGTGGTATGGGGAGGGGGTGACGGGGAGTGGAGGAGGAGGGGATGTTCTTTTTCCTGATCTGGGCGCCAGTCAGGTGGGTGTATTCACTTTATAAAAATTCACTGACATCTATATTCATGATCTGTGCATTTTTCAATGTGTAGGTTATTCTACAATCAAGTTTTTAAAAGGCCCCTAAACATGACAATTTGAAAAACACAAAGGAGGCTACTGTACACCCCTCAAAGCTAATATTTTCTACCGTAGTCTTCGCCCTGGTGATTACTTCCATAAAAAAAGATACTTCCATTGTATGGGCTGTGCCCAGGCTAAAACATCAGGGACCAGGACAACGCAAACGTGGCTCCGGAAAAACTCAGTTCAGTTCCTGAGGCGGTCATATGGAAAGGTACTTTGTTCACACTGAGCTGTCAGTTAGTTCCAAAGCTCATGGATCACCCGCCTGGATGCCAGGACCATCCAGAACCGTTACAACAACACGCTTAGCTCACCGAGGTACTGAGGCTCATCCCCTTCTTCGCTCAACTCATATTCCACACGGAATCCCGACACCGTGTCCGAGGCTGAGACCCACGAGACCACAAAGCTGCTGGCCGTGATTTCAGTCACAGATTCAGAAGTGGCCACAACAGGAGGGAAGATTGTGTTGCCTAGAGAGCCACAGAAAGAAAGTGAGCCTTCAGCCATCAAGAATAGTTACTATTACTTGTAGAAGATAATTTTTAAAAAATGTGTGTGTCATCCACAGAAGAATATGAATCAAGAAGTAAAGCTCTTCCTGAGGAAAGCCCAGCTCTGAGACACTCAGGCAGACGGGAGGGCCGGGGTACGTACTGCTCACTCCTGGGCTCGTGCTGGTGGTGGTGAAGTCAAAGCGGGTCACCTCTTCGTGGCCGTATTGCTGGACACTCACGAGCTGCCCTTCATATACCACATTTGGCTTCAGGCCTTTAATGGTGTATGAGTTTAGGTGGCCTGGAATGATGGCTTCCTTCCACTTGTTTGGAGAGTTTTTCTAAAAATTTAAATGAAAAAAAAATCACACAAGTATTCACAATGAAGGCCATTTGGAGGTGATATAGCATAATTTTCAAAGAATGAGGGACCTTTGCAGTTTCATTATGGAAGAAAATCATGGAAAATTGGAATCAGGGTATGGACCTGCAGCAGAGTCTGTTAATATTAATGATAATTATTTTATAGCTAATATTTACTGATAGCTTACTATGTACCAACTTCTATGCTGTTTCACTTGCATTCTCCCATTTAATCTTCAACTCCCCTCCTTTGAGTTAATGATGTTATTGGCCTCATTTTACAAGAGTAGAAACAGAGTTTTGTGGCGTGCCCACGGTTATGCACTTTCCTTTTTGCCAGATTAATTATTGGATATCATCACCATAATAGGATGAACCCAAGTTTTGACTCTCCCAACTTTTTCATTTCTACAATTAACAGACATACATTTCTCTCTAAAGTGGGGAAAGCCATATATTCTATTTTTCCCTTGATCGGATACAATTCAAGTTTCTTTCTTTGTAGAAACAGTCAAAGAAATACTATTGCTTCATGAGTCAGTTCCTAGTTCCTGTGAAGACTCATTCTTGGATACAAACTACCCCATGAAAAGTGCTTACCAACTTTGGGCAAAACTGCAGAAGAATGTGATTTCGGTTTCTTTAATCTTTGCTTGCAGTTTGCATTCACACCCAACTCCATGTGTCACAGATCACAAAACTCATTGCAATAAAGCATGCGGAAAAGAAACGCCCTTACTTCGGATAAGATGAGGTCCTTTTAATATGTAAATAGTCTAGACTAATATAAGTCTAAATACGTTTTTAATGCCAGTGATTGTTTTAAAATATCCAGTCAATCAGTTCCAATAATTCAAATACTTAGATGTCCATTTATATTTTTGGAATAAATGAAAGTGATGCTGTTACTTTTTAAATTTAAATTTAAAATTTAAAATACATTGTGAAAAAATTAAAATTTATCAGAACAATAAGCTCAGATCTTGTAGTAAACCTTTTATTCGATGTGAACTGTTTGGTTAGCTGTCAGAAACAAAATATTAGAAAATAAACTCTTAGGTGCTATACATTAAAGAAAAACGTGAAAGAATAATTTTGAGAGTGGGTGGGTATTTAATACTTGCAAACATTATAAATTGTAGAAATAAGTTGTAAATGACACCATGTCATTGGGGATGGGAGAGGAGACCCAGATCAGATGTGTCAGCAAACCTGGAAGTTTTTAATTGTCAAAAATCTGAAAGAAATTCATTGTTTCCACTTTTTGAAGACTTTACAATTCAATGTACACTTTATACCTACCTGTAAATGTCTCTTATTACAATGGTCTCACATAATACTTCTGGATTAATTTTAAAGTAAATTAGTGATGAGATGAAAAGATATTATAGAAAAAAAACTACATTGATTCCATTGACTACCATTGTTAGATACAAAGTTCTACAAATGGTTCCTCAATGTACCACAGACATTACAAAGAGGGTAAAAGAAGAAAAAGAATGATTATAACAGTTTGAATTATTTTTCAATAAGTTTAAATACAACTGCATGAGTTGGTCAAATGGTTTATTTTATTTCATATTTTTTAGTGCTAGAATTCAATAGTTGTGATTAAAAATGAACTTCTTTTTTTTCTCCAGTGTTTAAAATAGTGTTTCTCAATTCTGAGCTGAGAGTTATTGGAGATAGAGCAGGGCAAGTATGAGAGGCTAAAAGAAACTAATGCATGGTAGATCAACCTCCCCCTAATTGTGATTCTTTAGTGTCTTGACATATCTTATTAGAAAATTGCAAGATTAATTCTTTAAGTAAACAATCATCCCTCATTTATACTCCCTCTCAGCATTTCTTTCTCTGCTATCTAAATAATTTCAGAGGATCTAAAGTCAGTTTTTAAGAAATGACTACTTATAAAATAAGCAAAAAGACAAAAATATTAATTTAGCTATTTATTTACCAAATGATGAAAATGATGCCAATAATTTTTTTTTCCTTTGATGGGGTTATAAAATGTATGAAAACTTTAGCTTCCCTTCCCATACTGGGGAAGAATAATTTTAAGCATTATCATTTCTAAGTCCTTACGAAGATCTTTCTAACATGAAGAACTAAATTTTTCTAACTATGAAAAAAAGTTAAATCTGCATGTCAATTGATTGATCACATATTGTTTGGTCACTAAATCAATATTAATGTTATATGGATAGTTAATCAAATCTACTGGCTCAAAAACTGAAAAAAAAATTCAAGAATTTTTTAATTTCAGTAGACTCAGTGTCCAGTTTCTGGGTAGCATACTCACGGGTTTCCACCTGAGAATGTACTTGGTAATATGAGAAGGTTCTGGTGCATTCCACTGGATGGGGTGAGAGTCGGGATGGCTGGGGGTCTCCGTGATGATTACTTGGACAGGACCAGAGGTGCCTGGGAATTAAAATGTGAGATTTGCTTATCTTGTGTATTTACTTACTTTTACTTAAAATTTACTGCACGTGGATGGCCATCATTAAAGACAGTTTTGCTTATCAGTAAATGTGAATATAGTAAGAATTTTCTGGAATCAACCTTTTACATATTGACCTTGGAAATCAGTGCAACAAATCCTTTTCTAGCTGGTAAATTATTGTTTATGATGTGAACTGCCAATAGAACTTTTTATAGCAAATAAAATACATTTTTTTTAAATGCCTCTTAGTTTGCTTTCTTCTCCATTTTCAAACTCAGAATTATAAGAAACTGTGAAACTATCATAACACAAGTAATGTAATATTGACTACACATTTCATTTACTTATTGTATTTAGCTTCTTTGAAGCAAATTCTGGTTTGTAGAAGCTTGCATCAAGAAGGAACCTACCAACTAAAAAGAAAACATTTCAAAGGCCCTATGACATGATGTAAAACAAACATATTTCTAAATAAGGTAGACTCTTAGACAAATAGACAAGAGTGCTAGCCAAAGACAGTTTTATTTCTCATCAGTTGAAGCTTTTTATCTTTTGGGGGGGAAAATGTTACTTTATTTTTTATGCAGTAAATTTCCTCTAAAATCATACTGTTATTTGATTTATTGTTATTATTATTTTTTATTGATTTTTGGAGAGAAAAAGAGTTAGGAAGAGAGAGAGACTAATTTGTTGTCCTACTTATTTATGCACTCATTGGTTGGTTCTTGAATGTGTCCTGCCCCTGACTGGGGATTGAACCGGAAACCCCGACCCACCAGGATGGCAGTCTAATCAACTGAGCTGCCTGGCCACGGTTTGCTCAAGTTATTAAGAGAAACTTTGTTTTTCTAAAGCAGTTATCAATGGAAATGACATTTTGCAGGATACATTAAATTTAGTATTTCCACATAGTGATTTAAAGTATGCTTTTAGTTCTTTTTTAAAAGCAAAATAAGGGAAGTGGAATTAATTTCATAATGGTGTAGACTCGATTCAGGATAATAATGAAATAGATGAATAATTCATGCTAGCAGAACATAACACTATCTTTTTTCTAAATACTGTTCTTTTATGTCAATCAATGTTCAACTTACCAGAAATAAAAATAAAGTTTCTTATAATAACCTTTTCAAGAATTTCTAACAGGCACTCTTTTCAAACAGAGCAAAATTTTGAATGTTTAATAAAATACTTCACCAGATTAACAGATTTAGATTTTTGAAAGCTCTTAGAAAATACTATATTGATTTAGAATCTCTTTGAAAATAAAGTTTTCTCTAGCAGAAAAAATACATAATTTTTTTATGTATCTGTATAGGCACCAAAGTTCTAGAATAATATATTCACTTTCACACTGGGAATAATTCAAGTTGATTGAAGACTAACAAATACTTTTTGAATCTTGCATTCATTTAATGTTAGTATTTCTAAGCCACATAAATTAAAAAATTTATGTACAAAATCTCATTTTTCCATTCTAAAGTGCTACATGTTTCCCAGAACACAGCAGTGTGTTGGTTTTAATCAGTTGACAGAAGTCAATACCATATCCCTGTCTGAGTTACCCTTTCTGTTCATGAAGATTTTCACAAAGGTAAATAAGTTTTTAAAGGTAAATATTGAGCCCTGGCTGGTGTGGCTCAGTTGGCTGGAGCATTGTCTTGTAAACCAAAAGGTCACAGGTTCGATTCCTGGTCAGGGCACATGCTTAGGTTTCAAGTTAGGCCCCAGATGGTATGTGTACAAAAGGCAACCAATTATTTCTCTTCTTCTCTTTCTCTCCCTCCTCTTCCCTCTCTCTAAAACCAGTAAGCATGTCCTTGGGTGAGGATAAAAATAAAACAAAAATTTAAAAAAGTTAACATTGAACCAAATTTTAAAGATGTGATGATTTAAAATACTACTTCCATATACATCAGTAAATATAGGAATCATGTCTTTAAATTGTTTACAATAATTAGCATATGGTTGTTTAAATATTGATCCTTTAAAGAAATCCTACTATAATTTCCCGAGATAAAGAGATACCTAACACATGTTTTACTTAGTTTGGCAGTCATAATTTTGGGGGCAAAAAGTTTATGATGCCATAGAATATACAACACCAAGAACGGTCCCTAATATAAACCACAGACTTTGGGTGACAATGATGTGCCTGTGTAAGTGCACAGATTGTAGCAAATCCACTACTCTGGGGAAGGTATTGATAATAGGCTATGTATGTGTGGAGGCAGGAAGTGTAAGAAAAATTTTCCTTTCAATTTTGCTGTGAACCTCACACTACCCTAAGAAAAACAGTTTTTAATTTAAAAAAGTTTATGATGGTTAAATATCTATCAAGACCAAGTTTTAGAAAGGCAACACAAATGACATTTATTGCCCATCTTTATGCCTAATCACGCTCCTATGTCCACCAAGAGGATAATAAAGTGATGGAGCAAACCTATAGAAGTTTCTTTTCTTTCTAAAACTTAAAAGCTTCATAGCATTGTTTGAAATGCTATGTTTTCAATGTTAGGCTTGTGCTTTAGCTCACCTTTAAGGTAACTGCACTGAACTGCAAAGGGATATCATGCATTTAACACATTTTTGTCCAGGAAGTAGAGACCTCACTTGCCCATTATTTGTAAGGTCAATTAAACTCCAGTTATCACTATGCTCTGCCTTATTCCACATATGATTGGAAAACAGAAAATCTGAAAATTCTGACATCATTTGCATTATTCAGATTTAAAATTTTGATCATCCTTTCAAAATTGGTTAGTTGGTAAAACTTTAAAAATTAACCTGAGTAATTATCCACCATTGCGAAAACTTTACTCCCTCTCTTACTCAATATGATCAGGCTAACAATAAAATAGGTAAGTTAAGATATGATACAAGTCTGTACTTTAAAAACCAGTTTAAAATAAAGTCAAAACGAGTAATTTCCAGTAAAGGTGACCCTGGAGAAGTTAAACATTTATGGGTGTGCATCTCCGTCTTTTTTTTCTCTGTTTAGTTTGCTGAGATCTGTGCCTTCCTAGCTGTTTATTGACAAACCAAATGCGTGTTATCTTCTGTTAGTTTGGACAGCTCAACAAATCCTCTGCCAAAGGGACGGACAGGACAAGGCAAGGCTCAGAGACAATCTATTGGTAACCTGTTTTTCCTTCCTTTTCCCCACACTCTTGGAACCCTGCATGCAAGGCACGAATCACTGAGAAAATCAGACATACAGACAAGCTGTGCACTGAGGAGAAATGCCAATTCCCTCTCCCCTGAATCTCCTCTATGTTCAATGGGCTGGACTGTTAATCTTTTTAAAGAGCAAGAACAAGGTCACCATGTGAAGGACTCCTTCCCATCTAAGTTTCCCCTCTGACAGATCGACAGAAATGCTTCCAGCCAGCAGCTACGTGAACACGCTTATTTCAAAAGACAGCAAAAGTTCTCTCAATATCAGTGAGGAGGAAATCACTTTCAGCAGATCGCCACTCCACACCAATAACCATCATACACATAGAAACTAGAAAGCATTATCACTTAGAAGTTTTTATCCTTTGACTGCATAGTTAACAAGAAAACCACAATTATGCCTTCCGGACATATGGTAATTCTGCAACCACAGTGTTGAAAATGACTAAATAAAAATTTTTTTTTAATGATTCTTATATCCAAATTCACCATGAAATACACTTTAGAGCCTGGTCAATCTGTGCTATTAGCCTGCCTAAGGCAAAGTCATTGTGGCAGGCCTGACCACGTCTCAGGCTTGAGGACAGCAGGGCCCCTTCAAAGATCATACGAAGAGTGTAGCTGTATGGGTGATATTCAGAATCAGACTGTTAGTCTGTTAGTGCTAGAAGGAACTGTAAGAGTAATTGGCTATGATATCCCTGTTTTACAGATGAAGAAATAATGAGTGAAGCTTGACACGTATCTCTAGAAGTAGAGATAGCACTGGGACCCATGCCTTGGTGAACTCTGCCTGTGGCCAAATCGTTTCATATCTTGTTATCACGTTATGGAGGGACTTCGTTAACTTAATCTTCATTTCTGTCACAGGCAGATTCTGAGGCCCTGAAAAATCTCTCTTTTTATTTCTGAATGTAGGCCATGTTTTAAGTCTAAAGTTATCAGAAATCTAGGAGGCTTTGCATTTCAGTGGTTGTTCAAATAACGGATGCCTAAAAATTAGACTTTCATAATTCAACACTTTTTTTTAAATAATCACTCAATGGAACTTAAATTCAGTTTTTTAAAAATAAATTAATAAAACCATTAGTAACTCATTTTAATAATGTCTGTGACCTGAAAAAACCCCAGCAATAAACATCTGAGAGTATTTGAACTGTGTGGGCGGTGAACTGACCAGTTACTCAATTCTTGACCCAGGGTACTTTGTCCCTCACTCCAATTGATCAAACAAATGAAAATTTTTATGAAAACGAGCCTAGAAGGAAAATTGAATGAATACAATCCCTATAGTGTATTTCATGTAATTTTTCTATACAAATTCTGTTAAGAAACATAACATAAAACTGTAACCCTTTACTCTTAGCATAACGCACTTTATGGTTTCTATTCCCATGTGTGTATGTGAGATGAAATCAGCCAGTGTTTTAACTTAATGGAATATTTTACACTATTAAGAAATAAATTACATGCAAGCACATTTTCATAGCCACCCCTACTTTTACTTGGTTGGGGAGAAAGAAAATCCTTTTAGTCAAAAATTCAATTGGTTATTATAAATAACCAAGTGATATAAGTGATATCAAACCAAGTGATATAAGAAAAGGATGAGAATGGAAGGAGATTCCAACTTCGGCATCAGAGTATTCGGTATCAGACATTGATGCTGCCCTGCCTGTTTTTCTTACCTCGTCTACAATTCTCATTTGGCAGTAATAGAGCTACTTACCTGGATAGGTCTGTAAAGGCTGGCAATGCCATTCCCCAATGCCACGGCCATAGCAGTAGCACTGGTACCTGACGCCATGCACATATTTCTCCCATGAGTCTCCAATTTGATAAAATGTTTGGCTCTCTGAATCTTGGCATTGGTCTAAAATATATATAAGTAAAGGTTAAGCAGCCTTGAAGATGTAAAGCTATAAATATAATTTCAGTGTGCTAGAGCGTTCATTCGTAGTTGTAACAGAAACTTGTAACTGTCCTTACAAATATATGCAATTAAAAAAAAAATTTGTTCATATATATTACTGTACAGAACACTTAGCAGTAAAAAAAATAAAATGCGTTGGGAGGAATATTTAGTCTTCCAACAGAACAATATTTCTAAATAAAAATTTTAAGATTTACATTTCAGTATATATTGGTATGCCAAACATTAATTTGAGAAAATAAAGTGCTATAGTTTACCCATATTAATGTAACTGATTAACCATTTGACTAGCAAGGACAAAATATCACTTTATACACTTTCTTGAAATTTGGCAGATTTAATTTTATATGTAAATAAATGAGCTAGATTTTCATTGTGAATACTCGCTGAGCAGTTTCTAAGAAAACCTCTCAGCGTTCTCTCTCAGCTTTGGCAATCTCGGGTCAAACTTGAGTATCTGGTTAGTTTGTTTTCTTAGTGAGCAACCTGTCTCTTTTAGTAAAGGAGTATTAATGGATTACCTTAAAGCTGGTAACACTGCTCTTTTGAGGCTCAACCTTCACTGTTTGCTTAGATCTATTGTAAAGGACAGCCAAGAAAAATAAAGTATTTGCTGGGAGGTATTTCCTAGCATAATCATTTGCCCAAATTATTGCACAGTCTGCAAAGGAAAGTTCTCTTTCATAACATGGGCTATCTTTATGATTCAGAACCAAAAAACAAATTTCATTAAATTAAAATAAAACTGTATTTGTCACCAAATTTAGCAAAAATAGATGACTACCAATATCAAGATTATGTATGGGTCTGTGATTAGAGGAAAGGCTTTGCAAAGCTCTTGGATGAAAGTCTGAATGCAACTTCAACCATTTAACAACATCAAATAGCTCTACTTATTTGAAACTCGCTAAATATTCTCAGTGGCCAAATCTATCTGGAGATATGACGACCTACCAATGGGATCACACTTCCATCTGCCACGGCCCTGACCAAAGCAGGTACAGTTCATCATGTGTCCCTCTTCATGACGCATGTGAAAGGTGTCATTCACATTGTAAGTGATGCCATCGACAATGCATTCTTCTATTTTCGAAACAACAGGATGGGTTGAAGGTTCTTGAAACAAACAAACAAAAAGCTATGTTTTCAAAGCATGCAGTTCCTTCTACTAAATTATCAAGACCTCCCATTAAAATAATTTTTCTACTGGCATAGAATAAATATTTTTCAAAGTTCAGTTAGGAATATAACTTCTGCACTTACAGAAAGTCTCTCTCTTATAAACTTGTAAATGATGGTGGTCAAAGTAGATACCACTGAAGAATGTGGTAAAATACACCTTCTTGTAGAAAAGCAATTTTTGAACAAATATATGTCTTACTTTCGGAAAAGTTCTGGCTCAGTTGATAATGTCCTTTAAACCTCTGCTTGTTACAATAAATGGGAAGAAGATTAAACATGCTTATATACAGCAACCAGCGTAGTGTGATGGTCTGGTATCTGGCATGGTGAGGGGGGGGAGATATTGGGATTTGGGAAATAAAATGGTGTCTACATCATTCATAAAGTTAAACAAAATTATGCAAACTCTGTTCCTAACTCCCCGAGAGATCCTGAGAAAATCATTGTCTCCGTCTGGGTGCAGCTCCTTCATCTATAAAACAAGGAGTTGGTCTATATTCCTTTCTACTTGGGTCCCTTCCAGCTCTGCAGCATCGTAGGTAATTCCTATTACTCTTGGATTGTGTTACCCTTTGAGCACACAAAAATGTTTTCTACATAAAGGGAACAAATTCAGGCCAATGACAATACACCAGCTACATGGACTATTTATTAGCTCAGAGTTCTACCTATATTTTACTTCTCAAATGAAACAAATAGAAAAAATCTAAAATAGTTTTTATAAATCAATATCCCTATATTCTATACCTGGGTCTAAAGGGGAAAAACTGATCTGGACAAAATAAATTGGCCTCTCTATGTATTTGTCTCCTTAAATCTGGATCTGCCAGGATCTGATTTTAGAAGAGCAAAGTCTCTTTTCTCTACAAAAATTACCCAAACTTTTCTAGACAAGAATTGGATGGCATAACTAAATTAACTAAATACTAATGGATCAAATGATTGTGTTCTAGCCTTTTAAGTCATCTCGTTGGCTCAGCCAAAGTTTCACATCCTGGAAATGTTTCAGAACTGTAGAACTGCCGTGCCAGTTTTTCTTAACTGGTTGTCTAACATGTGAAACTTATCCAGCACAACAGACTCATGGAATGGTACTGCATGTTTTCTCCTACTTCTGGTTAAGTACAAGTTTTCACATCAAAGTTTCACATCTCTGTACCTTTTGCCCTCTCAAATGTTTCATGCATCAGCAAACATACCTTGGAGATTGGAGTGGGCGACACAGGTCCATTCCCCGCGACCATTCCCCACACATGTGCATCTCATCATGTGCCCCCTGGCATGCCTTTTATCCCACTGGTCTCCAACACGATACATGCCACCTTCTTTGGTTGAACAGGTTTCTTCATGGGCTGTTCAGAAATGGATGAGAAATGTATACTTGATAAGTAGTCACAAGGTCATGAAAGGTAGGCAGTATTATCAGTCCAGTTTGGTTATCCTGAGAACTCTCACTTGGAAAGAATCTTGTGTTCCTCAAAGAAATCTCAGGGTTGCTCTATAGACGAACAGAGTCTTAAGTACCAGACAGGGAAACATTACAGAGGTGAGGTATGTTGTAGGAAGTAATTACAGGAAGGGTTAGGGGATGTCAAGGCACGATGATACCTACATACTCACACAAAGGCTTTGCATTATTCTAGAAGTCTGGATTTGACTACTACTCCACAACTGTTTCTAGTTTCAGTTAATTCTAATTCAAAGGGAAGCTATGGGTATGAGGATAGGATTGTAAGCTCCAGTGTGTTTTTCTTCTAGATCCAACATTCTCTTTGGTTGAAATGAGAAAAATAAAAGTAAGCGTAAGTTATTTTTTCTTATGTTTTGTTGCCTCATATTCACACTTGACAATACAATGTACAGGTTCTTGGTTCTGCAGCTGGAAAAGCAAATGTAATCTATGGGGTCCTTGAGATTTGAAAACAAATAAAAGGTATTGGTTCCCCTTTCCCCATTCATACAAACTAGAGTCCGCACATCTCTTTTAGAAAAAGATCCCTTACTTGTCAGGAAACATAGTTTTGGTAATTTTGGTAATTAATAAGTGATAGACCTATGCCAGTTAAACCAAAATCATGTATAAATATTGTAGATCTGTGACTATCACAGTCAGTTACATTTGAAATATTTTAAGCTACTCAGTTGTGTGCTCTTAACAGAAGACATATTTGTGCAAAATTTAAATGTCCACACATTTTAAAGAGCTCCTTTTTATTTCATTTTTATATTTTTGGACACTAAATTATACCAATGGGGTTTTTTAATTACATAAATAATTATATAATTCATATATATGTATTATATCACAAAGTTTTTTTGCAGTCTCAGAATGAACAGATAAAGTAGTAGTAAAGTGGATACTATTCTGTCTTACTCCATAAATGGGTGTCTACAAGGGCTTCATCTTACCAGCCATGGGACAGAATCCAAACTTCTGGTCAGTGTCATAATTCTGCGTGGTTCCGCACCATCTCATGTTGTCTCTCCTGCCCTCAGAAGTACAGTCAGTGTAGTTGCGGTTGTTGAATACGAAGGGGAAGTGGCACAAGGCACCATTGGAATTTCCACCTCGAGTTTGAATCAACACTGCCCAGAATAATACACAAGTAGGAAGAAATAAATTACCACTGAGCTTTCCAAAGTGCAGCGGGGAATGACCACGGAAAGGTTCTGAGGGAGCCAGGTTTCCGCAGCTCATTTATAGCATCTGCCTCAGCATAAAAGATGTCTGATAATATAGTTCAAAGCTTCCTTAGTGTGTGCACCTTAATTTTCACTCTCCTTTTCCCACAAATAAATAAATAAATAAAACAAATGACCGCTTTGAGTAAAACATAGTTTCAACCAGAAGAGAAGGAAAAACAGTCATCCATCCTCTGTATTCTTCAGCCCTGTGGGACTGCATACTGGTTTTAACATGCAAGTTATCTTAATCACATCATAATCCCAACATGTCAGAAATAAATGAACTGGTGGCCTTTCCCTTGGTGTCATTTTCCAAGGGGACTAGGAACTGTGGACGGATCTTCAACTGCTAAATTAGCAGCATGTCTCTTGGGTCTAGACCACAGAAAAGTGACACTTCCTATGCAGCCTCCAGATTAATGGCTAGAGTGCTGACTGATAAACACAGGGCATGAGAAATGGTTCTTTCTCGCTGCTGTGTTTCCCCCTGGGGACACTCACCAGTATGGTCTGTACAGAAAGAATATTTCTGGTCTTGTTCATAATTGGAAGTCGTGCTGCACCAGAGATGCCCATCCTGTCGCCCTTCATTGGTGCAGGAGTAGAAGGTCCTGCCGTTATAGGTGAATGGCAAGACACATGGCTCCCCGTTTGAATTGCCACCGTAAGTCTGCGTTATAGCTACAAGCATAACCAAAAAGGTCTCAGTAAATAGAGGTGCATTTATGCCACCAGTAGCTGGCTGCTTATTTATACCTTCAAGAGAGACTGAGCTATACTGCGAAGATAGATGATCATCTGGTTAATTTCAGCCAAAATGCATTACTCAGGAAGTGGACAGAGCAACACGTAAGTTTCTCTGCTGATATCCTTTGCTACCACCTTGGCTGCCATGCCTCAGTTTCCCCATTTGTAAAGCTATATTAATGCAGGTTAATTAAGGATACTGCTCAAAGGATACTGGAGGAATATGCATGATTCTACTGGTGACATAAGTATTATCACATGAGACTATTCTAGGGGAGAAGTCAAGTGCACCAATTATTATTGCTATAATTACTAACTCTCACTTTTGTAGGTCAGAAGAGAGGCATTACATTGTGAAAAAGAAGTTTAAAAGGCTCCAGAAATTTGAGATTTGGAGTATAAAATACGGATGATGAGTTATTCTAAAAGCAACCTCCTTATAACAATATTTTAGACAAATAAAGATAATACAGAGCAGTTTAATCTTCACTACAGAAAAGAAAACACATACATTAAAAAGATGGGAAGAAAATATCAAATGCCAATCTTGGCTGTTATCGCTAATGGTAAAATTATAAGCTTTTCATGTTTGTTTTATTGCCTTAAGAATTTTTGGTAAATGAATATATTGCCTTTCCAAAATTAAATGATAAAAAAAGTTATCAGTACTACTTTTTTGAAAAGATAATGCACACCTGTCTCTTGGCAGCTGACTCCATTGCCCAGGCAAGTGCAAAGCATCTGCTTATTGCCTTGTGTCTTCAGCCACTGCATCCCCACTGAGTAAACCATACCACTCTCTGTGACGCAGTGACCATATGGAACAGGCTGGGGGTTTGGCTGATGGCGGAAAACAGCCCTTTGGACATCTGTGACAGGGCCAGATCCTAAGAACATGAGAAAAAAAAAACCACAAAGTTATACAAGAGAAAATAACTATTTCCTAAAGTCGGGATCTTTGGGGTCCAGTACAGATCACTCTGAAATCCATGTTGTTACTGACCTGAGACTACAAAGAAATGCACTTCCCATTCTGCGTAAGTTTTTGCACTCAGCCTAGGAAATAGGTCCACAAAGTCTACCAAATTGTCTTCACCTACCAGCTCATCTGGAGCTACTGGGATCATTATATCCAAATCATAGACGTTATTTCCCCACTCAACAGAGCAGATACCTTCAACAACTCCTTCCTCATCCAGGAAGCTCCCAGTCCTTGCCTTCACAACCCTTCATACCTACCTTCATTCCAGCTCACTTCCAACCACCTCCTTCCTTGCTCTGTGCCTTGTCTCACTGAATGACTTACTCATCATTCCCTGATGCACCCTCTGCTGTCCTCATCCTTTTCCCTTCACCTGGAATGATCTACCTCACCCTTCCTCTCTTAGCAGCTTCCATGAGCCCAATATATCCGGGCGATATATCTGGACGTTTTGAGAAGTCCCTGCCACTCTGCATCAGACCCCTTGTCCTCTGTGTGACTAGAGGCTCTCCGGGGCATGCTCTGGGCTGCCATGTGGATTCTCGAGAGGTTGCCCCTCCTTCCACATTTGGTTTCTTAGGATTATTTGTAAATTGGTTGTGTTTTTTCCTAAAGCCAATCAACTCTCTTAAAATACCTTTCTTTTCAAGATGAGACAACATCTTGAAAAGCAACTGGACAGTTGATGTAAAACACAAATATACACCCACATTGATCTACCACTGGAGTCTCAATGAAGATATTATGGCTGGTTACAGCTTTTTCCCAAATTCTCAGCTAAAAGGATTGTGTTCCCTTGGACCTCCACAGGACTATTTTCAGCACTCATCCTGAAGCCCTTAATATTGATGAGACAACATCTTGAAAAGAAAGGTATTTTAAGAGAATTGACAACATCTTAAAAGATGAGACAACATCTTGAAAAGAAAGAAAAGATTGTGTGGATCCTCTTTAAACTTTTGGGTATCTATTCTCTTGAAGGCCTGGCCCACAGTGGGGCAGAGTCAGAACTGATGCTAGAACAACTGGTAGACTGACACCAGCATCTCCCTAAGTAGAGGCCAAACACACTTCACAGACAATGGTTCCCAAGATCACACATACTAGGGAAATAAGGCAGCTGTATTCACACACCCTACCTGGGAGAGTCACAATGCAAATGAACATAAAGATCCTGTCAAAGTAGGTTCCATTTTGCTTAATCCAGTGCTTCTCAGACTTTTGAATAATGGAAGATTTTCCGTATAATATTAATAAAATAGGTAACATTTATTGAATGTTTACCCCATATAAACCTGATTACTCTTTTAAATTAAACTCTTTTAGTAGACTGATATTTGTAATTGTTTCTTTTTTGGGTTAGCAGCAATTTTACTGATAATAATCAAATAACTCAAAGATAAAATCTAATCTTGTTCACTTTTGTAAGTGCTCAGAGCAGCATGAAAACTCATCAAAAGGAAAAAAACCCAAGTAAGTAATTAAGATTTTTAACTAAATGGCTGGTTGCTAAGATGCTAAGCAATAAGGCTAGTACATTACATAGTGAGAATTTAATCAAACATATTAAGAATAATAACAGACGTATACACCCTTGATTCTTTCCTTCTGATTCTTACAAAAAAAGGCTACCATGCAGGGAACTTTTTCTTATACCAGAAATAATTCAAACTTCTTTGTAAAAGAATATTTAGATACTGTGTCATTCATTCCCATCTCTAGCCCCTATAAATTTCTCAAATCACGAACACCAATACGTGAAGAAAATGACTGTGTATTACTTCATGGAACACAATAAGGTTTGCTGGAACCTGGAAACCATACGTAAAGGATTGTTCCTGCTAAAAAAGATCCATTTTTATTTCAGTTTCATATAAATTTAAAAGTTAAAATTAAATAAGGTTTAACAACTAACAATCTATAAATGAACTCAGCTTACTGGCTGAAACACTGCAAGTCATCCTTAAATGGCACATCAAGGGAAAGATGGATTTGCAGAAATATTTTTGGCAACGCTGTCCCATTCCCCGCCCTGCTCCCTCTGTGCCTTACTGGTGGATGTGGTCTGCCGTTCACACTTCCATTCTCCTCTGCCGTTGCCCGTGCAGATGCACTGGAGCAGGTTCCCCTGAGTGTCCTTCTTGCTCCAGGTGTCTCCAATTCTATAGGATGTCCTAGTGTCCTGATCGTTGCATCTGTCTGTGTTAGAAAGGAAGCATTTCAATATATGTAAATCAGGTCAAGCTTGGCACATGCTCAACTGAAACATATATATAAACACGAACATATATATATACACACATACACACACACAGCAGATTAAAGCTTGGTAAGTTATTTTTTGATGATATGTTTCTATTCAGCTGTGGTTCCACACATGTTTAACTTCCAAAAGATGGGATTACGCTGGTTCCAACAGAAAGCAAACTATGTGTTTTAATCTAGCTCCACATCTATGTTTGTCAAAATACTTTTTCATCATTTTTCATTCATTAACTTCTTTTTAGAGTTTTCTCCTTGTTCTTTTGACCAAATTCATTCTCTGGTTTTCTATCGCCCTTGTCTTTCCTTCTCAGGCTCTCCCAGTAATTATTCTATGTGACCTGTACTTCAATAGGGACTTTCTTTAGAAAACTATGAACAGTAAGGAGGCAGGTAGGATTCAAAAGTTCTTGGGGAGAAGCCCCAAAGTAGCTAGAAAAAGACAGCAGCATCTCTTTCTTCATTTGTTTGGTAAAAAATTCAGGGGACACCAACTTCTCTGAATAATATGTTCTCTTCTTTCCCCCACACATCTATTTAAAATCAATAACAAAAATGGCTTCTTGAATTTGCCCAGTGCTAACTCTTCAATGGAGAAGTGGGACTATTATTGTAAAATGGTATGTTATAACCAAATTACCATTAGTCTACATGTTCAATTGTCTGGCAAATAGATTGTTTCAGTTATAATCTGGCTTTGTCCATATGCTACAATGTGAGTACAGAGGGTCTGATTGGTTTGTGAGTCAGAAAATGACTGCACTGGGTGAGAGAAAAGCAACTGGACAGTTGATGTAAAACACAAATATACACCCACATTGATCTACCACTGGAGTCTCAATGAAGATATTATGGCTGGTTACAGCTTTTTCCCAAATCCTCAGCTAAAAGGATTGTCTTCCCTTGGACCTCCACAGCACTATTTTCAGCACTCATCCTGAAGCCCTTAATATTGTACTTTGTAAAAGGTGACTGACTAGAAAAGCCTTTCTCCTCTCCTGACATACTCACTAAGTGCTCTCTGAAAGTCGAGTTAATGTCCAATTCATTTTTGTATCCCTACACCATCTTGTACAAAGTAGAGACTTAGCAAATTTCATAAAATAAATGACTTTTCTTTGAGAAGCTTCTCCCAATTTGCTTTTAGAATAGTTTTAAATAATAGATAAGATTTTGAGTCAGACATCTCATTTGTCTTAAGCCAAAAACATTACCACACACAAAAAAATTACCACCAAGGTCTTGGATGCCTGATACTCATAATAACATTTTAAATGAAAAAATTGAACGAACCATCAAGTTTCTGGGAAAGATTTGGTCCCAATTGTTATTACTATCCATGAGAGATTTATTTTTTGTTAGCAAAGAATTCAAATTTGGATGATGAGCGTTTTCAGATGGTTAAACATTTTAAGCTGGATAAATAAAATAGGTTCGACATATTTAGATTTGGTTTTAAATTTATTTATAACACCCATAGTTAATGGCTATTTCGCTTCTATAAACTCTATCTTTGCTATTAGTTTGAACTTTCAGAAAAAGAGAAGGCTTGAACCCCTAAGGCAACAAGCGAGGGCCCGGGGCAGCCTTACAAGCAACAGGCGAGCTGGCAGAGGCCAGCTTCGTTTTTGCTTCTACGCTTTTTTAGGACTCTGAATAAGAGACACTGTCCTTAACCTCATAATAGAGGCATCATTTTAACCAGTGGGATAAGCACTTTTTTATCTGCATCACTTCTGCTTATGCTTTAAAGGTAGAACATAAAAGGAAACCTAAAACTTGAGAGCTGTGATCCATTCTATGCCAACAGCACCCACATGCCCAAAGGTGTATTTGCATGTTATTTTAATGATTTCTTTGCTCTTAATACTTTGAAAATATCCCAGTAATAATTTAGATTAAACATTTGTACCTAATCTTCATGTCCACAACCCATTTGACATTTAAATGAATATTAAGTTTCTTTTTTTGTAGCTGATAGTCTAATCCTTATTAAACTAAGATTTTTTTTTTTTTTAATTTAGTCTTCTTTGAGGAAGCACAATAAGTTTGTTATGGAATTTTCCTTGACATCCAAATGCTCCCAAAGAACATTGGTGTGTTGGCTGTGTTCTAAATAACATCACATCACACTTCTCTCTAGGAATCCAGAAAATAATACCTGGACTCATCTTAACATAATCTAAAACATACTTCTAGAGGAACAGGTGATGCGTCCACTGCCTTCTCCCAGACAAGTGCAATCCACCATCATCCAGCCTTGATAGGGCTTTTCCCAGGTTTCCCCGACAACATAGGAAGTCCCAGCAGCGTGGTCAAAACATTTCTCAGCTGTAGGAAAATGTGGATGAAAAAGAGGAAAAAAAAGAAGTTATTTCAAATTGAACAGTCTCCCTGTAATTTAAAGTGTATGAGTAAGCAAAAATCCAGCCACATTTTTTTAAGTGGTACTCTGTTCACAAAGAAAGGCATGCCCTATAACTAAGCTCATAGTAACCAAAGCGAAAAGAAGCTCCAGTTGAGTTGGCAGGGAGAAATTCTGTTCCCCTAATAAGTACATAAGTACATGGACTATATATTTTCAGCTAGTGCCATTCTTCTTCACACCAGTATTTTTAAGTGAAAAGAATCTATGTATGTATCCTGTCTGGGGAAAACTAAATATGCAAAATTCCCATTTAATTATGGATGGCCAACTATGAATGCCTGAAAAAATGAAAAGCAAGCCTTTAAAAATTGGATTTCTGTAAAAACAAACACAACACAAAGAAAAATAAAAGTCTCTGGATTAAAGAACAATAACTGGATTAAAAAAGATAAACAGAAAATTTCATATTTGTATCTAGAGAATCAACTAAGGATTGAGACCAAAAGAAACTCAACAATTTGGGAGAAGAAAAATACTAAGGTTTGAAAGAGCACACACAATTTTGTGTTTCAGACTAGTGTGTTTCAATAAAAATGTCAAAGGTATCATTTTTTTTTCTTCTAAATAACATATCTTGACCAAGGAAAACCTGAGATTAGATATTAGAGGAAAAAAAATTACTTCCTCCTAAATCTTTCAATTCCATCTTGTGCTTTTGAAACTCGCTTGTACGTAAGACTTACATACAGGTGAGTACTTTTTGATCTGATTCTTTAAAACTATGGACTATAAAACATTTCATAATTTTTAAAAATATTTTATTTATTTTTAAAGAGAAGGGAAGGGAGGGAGAGAAACACTGATGCGTGAAAGATACATTTATCCGTTGCCTCTCGCATGCCCCCAGCTGGGGACTCAGCCCACAACCTGGGCACGTGTCCTGACTGGGAGCCACGCCAGTGCCCTTTTGGTTCACAGGCTGGCACTCAATCCACTACGCCATACCAGCCAGGGTGAAAACATTTCATTATTTAAAATAAAATTCCCATTCATATATGTTTTTATTGGAATTCAGATCCTTGGTCCACGTAGAGTTTGGTTCCACCCAACACTTTCCCAGAGGGGACTGTGCAGTCCCACCCCTCATTCTCCAGTAGGAGTCACACACCTATGGGCTTGCAGGTCCATTCTCCTTTCCCGTTACCAAGGCACACACACTCTAACATGTAACCACCGGTCTCATGTGGTCTTCTCCAGGTGTCACCGATCTTGTAGGACTGACCCCCTTCATGGCAGCGATCTGTGCAAGATTAAAAAAATGTTAAAGAGAGTGGGACAGAAAACATTGAAAACAAAAAGAATAAGTCTCATATTCTACCCAGAGTCGGTACTTAGGCTAGACAAAGTAAAGACACAGAGAACAGCTTTCCATCAGAGACAGGGGGAAAGTTAACAGGCCTGGTCACTTGGGGTCATTCTATTAAACGTTTTGTTTAAACACAATGGGAAACCACAGAGAAAATTGAATGGCGAAGAAAGAGGTCATAAATCCTGGTTCCCCGGAGGGATCACAGGAAATTGGGTCCTGGAGCAGAAAAGCAAGGCTGGCGGGCGTGGCCTCCTCACAGACACAGCAGGTTGTGCCTGAGACTAATTCAATGAAAAAGCCATATTGGATAGAGTATTTCCACTTCTGGGAGTGTGGAGGGTCTGTATTTTAGTCTTGGTTAGAAATGTCATTTTGGCAAAAAGCAAATAGATGTGTATTTATCAAATGTGAAAATCCAGGTACTTTTCTAGGCTGTTAAACATGATGACACATCCAAAGGCTGAACTCTCCACAAGGCTGTAAACGCTATGGACCACTGACTCTTAACATTTGCCAGTAAATTCGGATAAACCCTAATGTTAAGTATGGGGAAAGCAGATTGGGCCTATTCACAAGGGATTGATTTGTTCTTTTGGACAGAAGTCTTTAAAGTGACTTATATGTAAAAGATGGATCAAAAAAACTAAATGTTATGTTAAAAAAATCTATTTGTAACAGTGAATCATACTGGAAAGAGCACCGGAGCTAAATAAACTAAAATTGATGAGAGTCAACCCAGTTCCTAAAGTATCTTGGAAACACTCGTAGGCTACCACATTATCCTTGGGAATAGAAAGATCCACTTCCTGGGTATAAGCTATTGGTTACAAAGAAACCAGACCCTTTGTGTGGGGTGCAAGAGGTCTGGCATTATAAACAAGAAGAGCAGTTCACGCAACGGGAGGTTCACTCTCTATGATCGTCTTTCCAGTCACTGCAGAGTAATCACATGATCGCTCTGGCTCGAAGCTGTCCAGGTAATGTAAATGGGCAACCCCTTTAAGCATGTCTTACTGGCGTGGAGCCCAGGAGAGCCACTTGGTTACACTATGTACATACACACACACACTTTAACACTCTCAAACTAAACATTGATTCTACCTGTGCTCAGAGACATCTTTCAGAAGTACAGGGACCAGTTGGGTGACCACATAAGAGTACCTGGTCCCCTAGGGTAAGTAAATCCCCAAATTAAAACTATCCAGTCATCGATAACACAATGCGACAGGGACAGTAATGGAGAAATTCTCATTTACGGTGTTTTAGCATCATTTTACAGAATGTCTTCCTTACTTGCAATGGTACAGCTTATTCTTCTTCGTCCAGCCCCGATGCAGGTACAGTCCCAGATCATGGAGTCCTTAGGGCGCTCATAGGTGTCCCCCACCCGGTAAGTATTCCCAGTGTACTTGTCAAAGCAAGTCTCTTCAGCTGAGAGGAGAAGGAGAGTTCATGTGAGCCTCGCATATGTAAAAGCTTTTCTATTCTACTAATCACATCCAAAGGAGAACTCGCTTTTCCATTTTATGAGCAACACAATACAAAAAGTTTTTAAAAAGTTAAGTGGGAGACCTAAATATTACCTTAGGCTCTATTAAGGCCTTGCCTTTTGATTTTTGACAAGTTCCCTAATTTTTTGTAAATTAATTTCTATTGTAAAGGAGTTTCAGGTCCCAGGAAAAAGCCATATGAAGCACTACCTTAGGACTGCTAGACAGTGAAGGAAGGACTTCAGAGTCAGATCTCTGACTCAGGAAGTCGAACTAAGGTCCATAGAAAAAGCAGACAATTTGAAGAGCTCCACTCCAGCCAGGCCCAGTCACTTGTTAATCCTGCTATTTCCATTTTAGCCTCATCCCTGCTTCTTCTCTGTGCAAGTTGCCAAAATTTACAAGAAACATATCAATGGTCATAAAGAATGATAACTTTGAAGTGGTTAGTGGTTTTGTGTAAAAAAAAAAAAAAATCACTTTACAATATAATGCGCAAAGTGTTTTCTGGTCCATACTCTTATAATTTTAGATTTAAAATTCTGTTCTAATAAATTAAAGTTTTATAAGTGTTTTGGAGGGAGAATATACAAAGTCTTTTATTTTCTTATCAAAACCTTTGGGAGAGTAACACAAAAAGAAGACTCTAGGAATGACTTGGAGATACGTTTGTTCTTTTGTTTTAAAGGTAAAAGTAACATGAAAAGCAAAATGAGCGGTTATTAAATGTTTTTAAGAAAAAATGATGGATTATTCCATTGGGGAAAAAATGGTGTACATACTTTTACTACTAATGCTAAGTTTAATTAACACTGGAGAAGCGTCACTTCTCCATTTACTACAAGATACTAACCACCAGGCTTCCCACCACTTACGTTCAGGTTTACTCTCGCAGTTAAAGCCTCGGCTCCCTCCATAACAGGTACAAACCAAGGTGTTGCCCAGGTAGGTGCGTTCCCATTGTTGGTTTATCTGATAGTGATTCCCATTGTCAAAACAACCAGCTGTCAATAATCGAACAAAAAGTTATTACACTTGCATCCCCCCCTTTTTTTCCAGATTATGGAATTCTCTTGCACAACTAAATTGACAAGCCTAAGCAACATAGAAAAATAAGTTAACCTTTGGAACTTGAGGAGAATTAAAAGCAATAGTCCACTAAAATATAGATGTAGAAACCAGTTATCTAAAGAGTTAACCATAATTTGTACACGTACATATTTAGGTATTCCTTCCCCTCCCCCTCTCTTTTCTTTAACTTAGCTAAATGTTATACAATGATGTCATTTCCATCTGGCCAGGGGTCTACATCAAAGAAGTGGAAACATTTTGAGAAGCAGATAACTGCAATTGCATTTTAAAATATGCAAGAAACTTCTATGCTTTTCTTGGGTAGTAAGAGGGCAACTTTAAGCAGTTTCCTTTAGCCAAGGCGAAGGGAGGGTGTGTCTTTGGAAAACCGGAATACAAATTCCAATCTGATCTCTGTTCTTGGAGATGGGTCCTGAGGGGCCCTGAGGCTATGTGAATAAACTAGAGTACTTCTCTTTCAAAGTTGGGAGCCACAGATATGTAGCTACCCTCTTCCCACCCCATTTTCAAAATATTCAACCAGCTTTTTAGTAACACAGAAAATAAGAAAGACCTCAGAAAACCTAAGTGAAAATTTTAAGGCGTGAATTATTTTTCTCTTTGAAGGAAAGCTTTGATGAATTTACAGGAAGACGACCTGAACGTGTGGAGTAGATTAAGAGCACAACAGAACAACGCAGAGCCCCTGTCCTCCCGTGTATTATCTCATCCTAGGCCCTCAGAACCAGCCTGCTCAAACCAGTGCCTTTTGTGTCCACAGCCGGTTTCTCTCATTAAGGCGTGCACACCCTCCACGCGCGCGCGCGCGCGCAAAACTTCAGCCACAACTTTAGTTGGCTTTACGGTCCCATCCCTGCGACAGCCAGCCAGTTTCAGCCCGCAGTCAATACTCACGCTTGCTTTGGCTGACAGGCAACGGGGACTGGGGCTGAATGATTTGCTGAGCCTGTCTCTTGCCCCTCCAGGCTTCGGTGGAGGACACCGCTGACCACAGGGACAAGAGGGCCAGCAGCAGCAGCTGCAGCCAGGGCCCCGGACCCCTGAGCATCTTGAGACGGTGCGGGGAGGGACGCCCTCACCAGGAGGCAAGTTGCCACCTAGTTCTCTTCGAAACCTGCGGGAGGATTCCTTTCCAGTGCCTCCTGGGGGGCTGACGCCTTAAAGAAGGTAAGGATCAGAGGATGGGGAAGGGGACGGGTCGGGGGACGAGGGGAAGGAGAGGACGGGAGAGAAGTTGTGGCTGCGGGTCCCGGCTCGCGCCTGGGGCTCCCTCTCCTCCCCTGGACAGCGCAGCCGGCGCGGGCGGCCGAGCCCGGACAGCTAGGGTTTATATGGGACTGTCCCTCCCGCCCCCCGCGAGGCCCAGGGCGCCCGGGAGGAGGGCCCGCCCCAAGGCCCCCTCCCCTCCTGCGGCTGCCGCCGACCGCGCGCCGATTGGCCGGGGCTCCAAGTGACGTCAGGGGGCCTGTGGGTTCGCCGCGAACAAAAGAGATGCTGATCCCCCGCCAGGACTGGGGCTGGAGAACTTTTTTCGGTTTCCTTTGCGGTCGTCCAACTTTTTAGGGGGAGGGATGGGAAGCGAGTGGAAAAGGATAGACTGGGAAGAAAAGGAGGGGCTGGAGTTACGTGAAGCGAAGGGGTTGCAAGTCCTCCTCCATCCCCCTCGCCCCCGCTTCCTTTTTTTTTTTTTTTTTTTTTTTTTCTTTTTAGGGTTGGGGGTAGGACATTTCGTCATCTCCGAAAAAAAAAAAATCGATGCTCGCTGGAGTATATTTTGGGGGAGGACAAAACCATAAAGCAGCCACCACCTTGCAGCTGTAGGAATGTAGACTTTGCAATTCCAGGGCGGGGCTGGCTTTTCTCCTGTTACCATTCCTTGATTCTAACGTGCGTGGACTTGGGACTCAATTTATTGTCTTCATGGCTTTCTGTCCAAGACTTCTCCCCCTCTCAAACGCTGTACCTGCCCGGTTCTGAAGAGGTGCTAGCCGGGGAGCAGAGGGGAAAATCCGTCCTTTAATGAGCTTCAGCTAAGTACCAGCCGTCCGCGGGGCGTTTGCGGACCTGGGAGAAATTCAAGGAACGAGGTTTCTTTTGAAAGGACAAAGCAGGAGTTTGTTTTAAAGGAAAAAATATATATATATATATACTTTTTGGAAGTCATATATGGAAGTCAGTATATATATTTACAAGGAAGTCCTCCTTTCCTGGGAATGGGATGTCTCTTTCCACTGAAAGTGCGATCAGTCGAGATCGACCTGAAAACTGGAAAGTTGGACCGGCTATGGAGAAAGATCTTCACGCCTTTGCTCGTGTTCTCCGTGCCCGTTACATACAAAGCAGGGATCTTATTTGAATCACTGAAAGCTAAGAAAAAAACATTTCAAGTTTTGCCTTCTTACAGTCCCTTCCTTGCTATTATTTGGCATTTTCTTTTTGCAGACATCGGTTAAGTCACAGAACTCCCCTCTCCCAACCCCGCCTCCAGGTTTTTTAAATTTAAATTATCTACACCGAGAAAGTGGAAAGTTGCCATTTAAGATTTCCCCTGCTTTCCCTGTAAACTCAGAGGGTGGACACGGAATCTGAGAAGCTTCTAGCGTTTAGCAACTCATCAAATCAGTCTTTTTTTTTTTTTTTTTTTTTTTTTTTTCCCCAGACAGACACAGGCCACGCTTGCTTTTCAAGTTCTACAACAGGAGGAGTCCACAACCTTCAGTAAATCCTGAGAGAACCAAGTTTAAATCTTTCCCTTCTATGTTATGTTAGTAGTGCAGACTTCCCGTTTGCTTCGAAAACCTATGAAAGCACTAGCCATATGTTTATTTCTGCAGGTACTTGTTTTCTCCAAGAGGTCCACCTGAAGTAACTGCCATGGGGTAATTCCAACTGCACGGCCTATGAAATGACTAACACATCGAAGACACAAGGCTAACGTTTGTTTTAATTAATGCAGGGAATCTTTTAAAACAGCAAATACCAGTTTCCTACTAATAGTGTAAAATAACTTCTTGAGTTTTTGTGACCAACATTACAAGTTGACAGAGTGTCACAGATTTCCCTAAACTTAGAGTCCTAAGTTAGAGGGTTTTCTTTTTTGAAATTTTTCATCATCACTTGACAGAACAGTTTTCTCTTTCAAATATAAAAGAGATTCTTGTAAATTCTTAATACACATCTGGGAAGACAGTGCTCCTTTCCAGACCTAAGAATACCTGGAAACCAGGCTGTAAGCAAGACAGACCTGAAGCTAAAGCTTTCACAGGTTCTAGAGGAAGGAAGGGAGTGGTGAGAAATGTATGTTGTCAACCAAAAATATGAAAGTTTGATATATTTACTGTACTCAAAATACAGTAGAATAATATATATGAGAGCTTGAAAGAAAAAAGCCCACCTTAAATCTCACAAGAAATTTTTATATTTCAATCCTGTTGACATGTAATTTGTTTAAGGAGCTGATATATCTCTAATGTCTCCTAAGCAAAAACTTAATGATATTTAACCAAATTTTATAGGAATGCTTGGGAGTTAACTCTTTTTCTTGAAAGGGTTTTGTTTTTTTTTTTTTAAACTTTGGACATGGAGATATTTTCTTAGTTAAGATAATAAGGCTTGAGATAGTATTCTTTCATTATCAAAATCCCTTGTCATTGTGTAAGTCTATTATCTCTAACTAGAGAGATAAGATCACACCGACTTTTGATAAGGCCTCAGCAGACATGCCTAGTGTCCAAGATTCCCTTGCATTCCCTTGAAAATCTTAAAGACTATTTTGACACAGTAGGTTCTTCCATTAATAGTATGCTTCTGCTGGTAGGAAATATCCTTAGATTTCTTTTTCTTATCTTGAATAGATAGGGAAAATAAATGTGAGCAAGCAGACAGACAGTAGGTTTCCTAGATGCCTGGGGCTGGGGCTGGGAACGAGACTTAATTGTAAATGGGCACCAGGAATCTCACAGAGGCGATGGAAATAAACGTGCTAAAGTGAGGTTGTGCTGGTGGCTTGCACAACTTGGTAGCTACCAAAAATCATTAAGGTGTACCTAAAGCTAGTGAATTTTATGATCAGTAAGTTTTACCTCAATAAAGTTGTTTTTAAATAATTGATTAAAAGTATTTTTTTTCATTCTTTTCTACTTATACCTTCTCCTGAATCTGTGACAAGAACACTCCCAGGCGACAGCAGCACATACAAGGTGTCCTCATTTCTCAATTTTTCTAACAGGGAGTTTGCCTTTCATACAGTAGTGGATTGTTTCTTCTACACCAGTAACTCCTTACAAAACCTAGTATTTGTGCGATGGCATGTATGTGGTAGAGACAGAACAAATGTTCATTTAGGACTGTGTGTTGTTTCTTCTTGAAATTGCCATGGCGATAAAATTTTCCCAGAACTTAAGTCAACTTACATTTTCAGTAACAAAAAAAGAACACATATATCTGTGGGTGGTGGGGCAACGTCATTTGGATGTTTTGTTATTGGAGAAAGTTAGTGAGGAGCATGAGCAATTATGGAAATCTGAATTGCATTGACTTCATTTGAGGTGAAGATTATGGTTAAGCACAAAAAGAATTTATCAGACCTAGCCAGTTTTAAAGGATTGGAATTAAAACAATTTAAGGGATAAGTTTCAAAAGGCAATTATTTCCCTGTAAAAAAAAGTGGGTTTCCTTTTAGAATAAATGAGTTACAGACAATACTCCCAGCCAAGTCCCTTGCCTATTGAAGAAAAAAAAATCTTATCTTTGATAAGAAATAACTTCTTGACACAGTAGGTTATTTTTAGAAGCAGGTGGGCTGTTTTTTCCTGAAAACCTTTGGTTTTCTATCGTGTTCTTAATCTCTTCTAGTCCTTTTAGAGAGGCCAGTGACTAGGTGACCTTTGGAATTTTCTGACTTAAGAAACTGGAGTATATTTTCTTGATTCCTGACCTCCTATAGGTAGGTTGAATGGAGATAAATTACGGTAATTTTGTTTCTCATAAACTCCTTCCCATCTTCCCCTCATTGAAAACAGCCAAGCTTGCAAAACTGATACTCATTAAAAGCAGGTGTGAGAATGAAAAATAAACACCTCACGGGCAGCCCCCGTGGGTAGAATGTCGAGCAGTTTGTCTAGACATCACAGGACATCCGCCACCAGGGAGAAAATACTTGATAAGGCCTTTAAACGATGCCTTGAAAGCCAGCCAGTTTTGACTTAATAGGCATTTTGTTTATATTTTGTTATTTTATTATTTAATCAGCACTTTAAAAAGCCTTAATCTATGTTCTATGTTTCTCAGCAGGAGGTCTCTTTTCTCATTAAAGGGACAGTAAATCACAAAAGGTTTTGCAAAAGGGTCTTATTCATCCAGGAGAATGGAACTAACTACTGTGTAGCTGGAACACTTCGCCAACACCATGTTATAGAACATTTCAGCTCTTGATAAGTAGTGGATTTTTGGAAAAATTTAATTTTTGAGTGTTGTTCCTCCTTTTTCCAGTTTTGCTTTATTTTATGTTGGTGGACTTAAAGGATGGTTTTGAAAGGCTAAAAATCTTTTTTTTTTTACTTAGAAGATTTCCTTTCACATTTAAGTTACTTTCTACTCTTTTAACATAATTTCAATATTTTCGTATGCAGCTAATCATGAAAGTTGTGTCAGGTGCTTTAAAATAGTAATAAATTTTATCTCTTAAGTAAGTTTTTACACCTTTTTGTAAATAAAATCTTATGCTGACAACAGACTCTGTGATATAGGTGGTCAATGGACACTTTTTTCCCTATTTCTATTGAGTAATTAATTATAATAAATCAAAGACAAATTCACTTGAGTAATAAAATTAAAGTACACATTTGATTATCATTAAATTAATGCTAAACCATTTTCTAGATAAAATTGATATGTTTTCTCATTAGCTATTACAATTTTACTGAGACGGAATGGACACTTAAAATCATTTCATTTTAAACGTGAGAAACACTAAGGCAAGCTGACATGTGTGCACAAGCTCATAAAGATTTCAGTAACTGAAGAAAAATACATTTAAATAGCTAGATTGTTTTATTCAGTGCTTACTATGATCCAGAACTGGTATTAAGTGCATTATGTACATTTTTTTTTTTTAATTCAACCATCGATAACCATCCAAGGTAAGTGCTATCATTTTCTCACTCTTACAGATAAGAGTACAAAGCTTACAAAACTAACTGGAATGAAGTTTTCTGCATCGCCAACTTTGTAGATATTGTGATGTCACTTGATGATCTCGCTCTGGAACAAAGCTATGGGCAAAGCAGTTGGCTAAAAAATCTTGTGGATG